GGTAGTTTATTTAATAAAAAGGCGTTGTGGTTGATAAAAATGGCTATAAAGTAGATAATGGACGGGTGGGTGCGCCGCCCGCTTACATGCGCCGCCCGCTTACCGGTTACGTTAGTTAACTAGTTAGTTAACTGTTGTTATACAACAACTGGATGATGTGTACTTGCAGCCAAGCGACAAAGTAATAACTGATTATCTAATGAAGATTTTACATACAATATAGGAAATCCAGATATACATCTATAATTTCTCTTCAGATGGATATCGAAATAGACAGTCTTGCAGCGTGGTTGCCAACAATGCGCCATTCGGGCTCCATAACCAACTCTCATGGACTGCCCTGTTCTCTCCTGACCGAGGAGTCCAAGCTTCCTGTACAAACCACTTCTTCGGCAAGTCCTTCGCGTCACCAGATGCCACGGAGTCCCAATTGATCATTCTCAAAGCTTCTCCATGCTGATGAATGATTACAGTCAAGGTCAAGCTCGCCAGTGCAATAAAGTTTGTATTGCCCAATGCGCGTGGGATTAACGGGATGGAGTTTTTGTCGCTAGAATACAAATGTGCACATATATAGAGGTTGTCGAATTCTCCCGACTGGTCCTTGTTTTTGAGGTCGAGAGTGTCTCGGGATGTGGCAGGATACTCCGGGGAACCCTTGATCGAGTAAAGGCTTAATTGGCGGTACTTTTCTGGACTCCGATTGATCTCTTCGGTGTCATTATAGCCCTTCATATCCACCTTTCTCACGTTTACCCCGGGGAATTCCCGCTCTGTAATGCTCCCTTCCTGAACATGTTCGATCCACCAGTCGGCATCCACACTTGGACTGGCAGGGTGATCTTCAGGACGCTTCCCGTGCATGATAGACTTGTAGCGTTGCTGAACAGCCTCAGGTTGATGGCTGAAAGTTTGCTTCTTTTCATCCCGTTTGAAAGAACACACGCACGTGAAGCAGACATCACCACCTTGACGTGCATCAACTGTCCGAGTACAGTACAGTTTCCCGTCTCGTATGCGCCGGACCACATAGACAAATGGAACATCCAGACGTCCCGGGAGCGTAAATGTACCGGTCATGGTCTGCCAATTGTAAGTGACATGACTTAAAATGTGAAAGTACTGAAGGATTCTTTTGGCTTACATGTATTGTAAATCCCTTGTCCACGGTTTTGGACGCGGCATACGCCGACTGAGCATATACATGCCCGCCAAATGCCATGAAACCGTCCCCCGGAGAGAAAGGGACAGCTCTCGAGCGAAATCGGTATGCTCTTTCAGGATCATCAACAGTAGCGTTCGATGGCTGGTGGGAATTATTCAGCGGCTCAAGCGCCATCAACTCGACGAATGGTAGTGGACGACATAACTCTCGCGGATCGAGGTCGGACTGATCATCTTTAGAAGACATGGTAAATCCAAGTCAAATAAATTGGCTGAATAATGTGAGACCGTCAATCTGGAAACTGGTGATATTATCTGAAGACTCCACGGGCAGCTAGTGATGCGGACCCTCGGACGGCCCAGTCTCACGGAAAAAGCAAATTAATGGACAGGATGCGATTCCCCTCTTTTATTTTCAGGTGCTTTTCAACCAAATTGTGCTCCTGGCTCGTGCTATGAGTTCCATAGCTGAATTGTGTTGGACACGAAGTCGATGTGTACTTTTGAAACCTCGGCATGTCGGAGATGCACACCCACTGTCATGGTAGATGTGATAGAGTCATCAGCAAACATGTAAACGGTCTGCAATAACTAAAACAGCCCCTGAATTGCCCTATCGACATTTGTTGGAGAATATCAAAAATAGACTCTCATTGTGAATAATCAAATTCCGGTGCAATCACGTGCCCTCTGGGATCTGGGGCACGCACTCTGTACAAGCATAAAAGTTGAATACCATAGAGATTCAGATTTATATGCGCCTGCGACAATGCTGGTATGATAATACAAAACGACATGACCCGTTCCCAAAACATAGTACACATAAGAAAGGAAAAGAAAAAACAGCAGAGATGTGCCTCAATCACACACCCTCCAAACAACCCATGTCATCACACGTCCATTATTTGAAAGTGTCGGCAATGTTGCGGTTGTTATTCCATTCGACCTGCCCTCCCACATCCTTGATCTCCTCGAGCTTGTCACCGAGCTTCACCACCGAGAAACGAATCATCCGTGGGTCGAGACCGAGGGTTCTCCGGACAGCCGTCTGCACTGGCCCTGATGCGTCGAATCGCATGATAAAGTGATGACCGTCTGTATACCGGGCTTGATGCTTCGTGGTGGGCCTGGGCAATCGGAAGTTGCCCCAATTCGTGTAGCCGCGGACTACGCCGCCGGACCGGAGGACTTGGATACCAGCGTTACGGGCGATTCTGTTATAAGGTTAGCGAATTCGGTCGCTTTCTATCGTAATATCGAATCGACGCATGATGGAGAGCGGGGGAAGAACAGCGGAGTAGGGAAACGTACTCTCGGACCTCATGGAGGCTGCCCGGACGGACCTGTCACGTATCAGTATAAATCCAGACAAACACACAAACAAAGGAACACAGAAGCACTCACAATCGCAATCAACTCGTACAACATTGCCGCCAGCGGTCTGCGTTGAATGGCTACAATTCGACAAATATGCGGGATGGGGATGAATTTTTGCGGTTCGCCGGCCGAAGGCCGTCTGGCTTATCAGTAGGCTTGGCGCCGTCTTATCAAATGATCCCGCTCGGGAAGCTCATCGGCCATTCTTATTCTCCAACTTTGCACTTCTTCTCCTTCTTTCACCCTACTTTCTTTCCTGCTCCTTGTTCTTACCTTCTAATCTTCCTACTTTTCTAATTCCTCAAATCTCCGCTCAAGATGGCTTCTGTCGCCCGCTGTATGCCCCGTTTCGCTTCTCGCATGCTCTCGCCGAAGCTCCCCATTGCGCGCATTTCGCCCGCAATGGGTTTCCCGCGGGGAAGTATCCGGAGCTTCTCGCAGAGCACATTCTGTATGATTGTGCCCAATTCCTCATGGAAATGTCTTTTCGAGTCGAATATGATGCTAATATATCTTGCTTTATCTTGTAGTGCAGGCAAAGAAGTACACTGAGTCGCACGAATGGATCGAACTCGCCGACAACGGCAAGACGGGTTAGTTTTCCCATTGCGTTACAGTGACGACGGACCATCCCGGTTCAACGATTGAGCAAACAAGACGCTGACAAGACAATCAATCCCTCAAATACAGCCAAGGTTGGAATCACGGAGTACGCCGCTCAGTCCCTTGGTGATGTCGTCTTCGTTGAGCTCCCCGAGGCGGGCCTGGAAGTCAGCGCTGGCGAGCCCGTCGGAGCTGTGGAATCGGTCAAGTCCGCTTCGGACGTTCTGTCTCCTGTGTCCGGAACGGTTGTGAAGGGTAACACTCTCCTTGACAACAAGGCTAAGGCTATTAACGAGAACCCTGAGGGCGATGCCTGGATCGCCGAGATCGAGGTCAACGACACCGCAGAGCTGGAGGGATTGCTGGACCCGGAGACCTACAAGGCACAGCACGAGTAAGAACCTGATCGGTGAGGATTTGAGATAAATATATCGGTGGGGTTTGCGTTGTTTCTTCTCGTTGTCTACTATTTTGGTCTTTAAAAAGCGTTACATGATTTTGTACGATTGGGTGTGATTTCCTTCAACGAAAATGCTCGATATGTACGTCAAGCTTACAATGGCTAGACCTTTGTTCAACAGTCACGGTCTAATATATATATGTCTAATATCAGTCAATTGGTGCTAGGCGTATTCCGAAGTGGTTGTAGTTTCCGGAGATAGTCCATAACGTAATGAGGTCATAGAGTGAACATCCAAGCCTTTTATACATTATTATCATCATTAACCATTTATATTCATGTCCTGTGTATGTGCCAGCACTATATTCCTCAACTACACTCTATACAGGTGGAATAGATTCACGACAGATCGGACACTGCAACCTCAACCGCATCCAGCTCTCAAGACAAGTACTATGGAAGATATGCCGACATGGAGTAACCATGTATGTGCGCCTCGTCAGAATGCTTGTAGCTCCATCCGTCACACTACTGCTACCCCCAGGTGCACCCGGAGCCCCAAGCACAGGAACTTCCATCTCCTGCATACAGATAGCGCAGTCGAACACCACCTTCTTCCGATCTTTTGGTCTAGGCTTGTCTTCCGCCTGGGGCTCTCTCTCGTCTGCTCGTAGGGATCTAATTGGCAGTGTACCACCTGACTCGAGGTCCTGATCGGGCCCGGCGTTATCGCGCAATATAGGGTGGTATTCGTATGCCGGTGGCGCCCAGCCTTGGGGGACGAAGAAACGAGGGCCAAGGATATCCTGGACAGCTAATAGCCAGACCTGAATCCAGACCCAGCCAGTCATTGCTAGTGCTGTGATTGAATCCGGGCGGATGAACAATACGTTTCCCCGTACGGTTAGGAAATAGATAAAGGGAGATAGCCGGAGAACGCTTTCACCGACGACAAAGTCCCATCTAAACGCCTTGCGACAATTACGCATGGCATTGCGATAGATCTGTGGACACCAGAGCGACAGATAGATGAATGCTAGGGTTCGAGCATACATGGATCCCAGCCGGACCGGCCAAAGGAAAGACCATATCGAAGTGATAAGCAATAGGGAGAGGACGAGATAAAATCGAGCGTACATGGCTCCCACATCTGCCCGAGCATTTCCCGAAGATGGTGTTGGATTGCGGTTAGGTGGTTGTGTGTTTTCGTCTTCAGGTGGATCTTGATCCGGTGTCAAAATGACAGGGGTCGCACCAGTATCGCCCACCCGTCTTGCAGTCGCAGGCGGCGGCAAGCTGTCCGTCGCAGTGTTTGAAGACTGCTGGTTAGAACGACGGTTTTGTTCTTGCCGTTCAGGCGCTTGAACCGCCCAGATTTCCATCATGAACTTCATTCCAATGTAACTGACCGAAAGGAAAGTCAGGAATGATACCGTCGTTATCAACAGAAAAGACACAGCCGAATATAACTCCAAGAGAAGGAAGACAAGCACAAAGGCATCTCCAAATGACATCATGGCAATAGTATAAAAACTAATGCGGCTCCTCGTCGATGGAGTAGAAGCTTCCTTGATTTGTCGCAATAGGAGCGTGATCTGCCCAACCAAGACACCAGAGATCAGGAACAACAGGCGGGAGGAATATTTGGAATATTCTTCTAGTTTGGGACCGGATAGGTACAGGGCATCCGAAGGAGGATAATCTGGCGCTCCTTTCGTCTCAAGGATATACCCACAATCGGGCGAGAACACCACAGCGGACATGACCATGAGAGGGGGAGATGGAACCGGTGCTCCCATGGGATATCTTAGCTCCTTCTCTATCTGCTCAATGACTGTCCCCTCTGCCAAGTAGTTTTGGAAGGCGATCGGGTGCTGCTGCAGATAAATAATATGCTCGCATCTTGGCGCAGGAAACTCGACCTGTTCGGACCCAACTACTGAAGACCACGGGAACAACGTCGGTTGATTAATATCCTTCTGGGATATCGTATCGGACAGCGAATTGAGGAGAAGCTGGTGTGCGAGTTCATATGAATCTGGCGAAAGGGTAAAGTGCGGCAACGCGAACAATCCGCCGAACTTCTCGCTGGTGGTCGTAAGAACAATACTCCCTGTTTCGGGATAATGAATTCCCAGCAACGACAAATACCACGTATGACCCCAGTAATCATTGCTTTCCACGGCCAAGCTCGCCCTAATTTCCCGAGCGCGCCTATCTCCGAGCCGGAATTCTTCCCCACCACCGTCACGGAGGTCCAAATAAAGTGTACCACCTGGTCCTGTAATGTTCTGGCTGAACTCGTGGGTAAAATATTCATGCTCCAAAGCGATAGCCGTTACGTTGAGACGCTGAGCATTAGAGTCCTGCTTGTTCCGCACCCAGTCTCCCCGTAGCTTTCCCGTCGCATTGCGATAAACCGGCAGACGGATTTGGCTGAGATTCAAGGCAGTAGAAGGATAATCTAAACCAGCATCTGAGGTGGAAAATTGTAGTTGATGACGGGCCCGATCTTGCGCATCCGTTAGGAGATCCCATGCATAGCTGTCGTTCTTTCTGACACCGGCAAAGGGTAGCCATCGGTCCGCGCGGGGGTCGAAGTCCCCGTAACGGGATTCGTTTAGGCGACGAAGTGCATCTTGCTCCCTCTCGACCTCTATTTCATGCTCGCGACCCTGTTCAACCAGTGGTGGACGACTCTGCGAACTCAGAAGGAGATAGAGGACGATCAGGAAGAAGAAGAGGGAACCACGGTTATCCATTGATCCCTAAGCAACACAGGCATCGGATTCGAGCCACTTCAGAGTAGGCGCGCTATGTACATTGCATTTCGATCAAGCGGGAAGATAATGAACAGAGATATTTCTACCGCTGCCTATGCCACACGGAATCTGCGGAGCGAGTAACAAGTAAGAGTGATGGAGGCGGCGAAGTCGATGATGCGATGAGGTTAATGAAAGATCAGCGATGGCCTGAGGCAGAAATAATCTTATCGTCTCCTTTCTGGCACATCCTCCGCATTGACCAACTTCTCCGTATCAACCCCCCATTGCCATTCCCGATTGTTATTCCAGGACCGGAAATTGGCACAGGCTGGCTTTTTTAGGGCAATGGCGTCCAGTTTGCCCCTTCCCGTTCCTCCACGCACTCCTACGCCGCCCCCAGATGAGCAGCCTTCGGTGATCCCTGAGCCTAAACCTCAGGATTACAACAGCTTGCGCTTATCGCCAATGGTTGACACGTTTCCTCCGCTGCACAGTCCGTCAGTTACGGGGAGTCAAGATCGATTGAGTCCGACTAAGGCGTCTTTTGGTCCCAGTGCGGTAGAGGTTGCTGCCCAGAATGCCTCGAACGACGATGGCCCGTTCAATTTCAAAACGGTGACGATGGAAAAGAACCCGGTGGTGAAATCTGTATGTTGAAAACAAATTGACTATGGAAGGACGTTTACTGAGACTTTGCGCAACGGAAATTATAGAATATCGGTCAACGACGTGGACACAAGTACAAACATAGCAGCATCTCGCATCAGATCTTCCTCGAACCTCCTCCTAGAGCACCTCTCGCCTTGCCCAATTCGTTACCGATCCCCACGTTTAAAGAATGCCGGGCCAGTATGTCGAAAGACCAGAAGACACGGTTTTGGTGGAGCGTATGTCATATGTTCGTGGCGGCCTATACACTTTGGAGCGCCGAGGGATCGTTGGCCATGACGGCGCTGTCCCATTTGATCCTATACGATTCACTTGGAGCATTGCTTTGTGTGGTGGTGGATGTGTTTGGAAATTTCGAAGTTTGGAGGCGATCTAGCATCCGACATCCTTTTGGGTTGGAGCGGGCAGAAGTATTAGCAGGGTTCGCGATGTGTGTTCTTTTGCTCTTCATGGGAATGGACCTCATTTCGCATAATCTCCAGCACTTTCTGGAGTCGTCTGGACACGAGCCTCATCACCCTCACCCTCACTCTAGAGTCTCTGTGGGCAGTGTCGATATCACCGCCGTTTTGGCGATCTCGTCGACATTGGTCTCCGCGATTGGGTTGAGGAATCATGCTCGAATCGGAAAAGCGATGCAGTTCGCTTATATTGATTCCTTACCGTCTGTGTTGAGTAACCCGTCGCATTTCTTGACACTTTCCTGCTCCACTCTGCTCCTAATTCTTCCATTGGTGTCCGTTAAGCTATACACCTGGCTTGACTCGCTGCTGTCGGGCACGATTGCTATCTCGATGTGTGTCATCGGCGTACGCCTCGTGAAGACTCTTGGATCAATGCTGCTCATGTCCTACTCCGGCAGAGGCGTACCGGAAGTGATCAAAGATATCGAATCCGACCCATGCGTATTTGGCATCGACGACGCCAGATTCTGGCAAGTTCATTACGGACTGTGCATGGCGAACCTGGAGCTTCGAGTCGCTGGGTCCGAGGAAGATCTCGTCCGGCTTCGTGAAAGGATATCGAGTTTGATCAGGAACCGCTTGGGTGGAGGGTATGGCATTGGGGGTCAGAAATGGGAAGTATCGCTGCAATTTGCTGTAGAACAGACGTGATTCTGCCTGTTTCTGGTGGCCTGTTAATGTTGGCCACTACTGTATAGTTTTATCCTGAATAGACAGTAACATACTTTTTGGACAATTGCTTCTGTATACAACTTGGATGACTTGTGAAATACCCAAACGCTTCACTGGCAGGAATCCTATAAATGGAAATCATGATGGCTGGTCAAAATCGTATATCTAAATCTTGATATAGTGGCTGGACCTAATGCATTCACTATCAACATAAGGGCTTGCGGGCACGTATATGAGATACCCCATCTTCTGCTAACCGTAGCATTTGACAATCTGAAAGCAATTCTTGGAGAAAGTCATTATATACTACAGCAAATATGGTATCCTTCTTCGATCTCCCTCGCTCAATCCGCGAAGAAATCTACCGCCATGCCCTCGTCAAAGCCCGCGTCTTCGTACGCCCCTTCATCTCCATGGAATACATGCTACACCCAGATCGAGCAGAAATCTACGATAACCCCAATCTTGCCCTCCTCTGCGTTTCCCGCCGAATCTACCACGAGGCGACGCCTATCTACCTGGGCGAGAACATCTTCTCTATCGTCCAGGTGGACATGCTGGCCGCAGCGCGTATGGAAAACAGACGAGTCGCGAAGAACCTCCGACAGATTCGCAGATTGGAATTGATCTTCGACCATCGGGATTACAATTATATGGCTGAGTTCCTGGGGACTGAAATACCGACTGTTATGACGGAGATTGAGGACTGGGCTGATGAATCGCCGGTTAAGAAGGTTGCTATGAGGGATTTGAGCAAGATACGTGATCACTTCGACGTGTCTTCTGCTATTACTCCCTCTTCTTCGAAACTGAGACGCAAGAGCCGATTGATTGATACTACCGGAAGACGGCAACGGCAAGCGCTTAACCATCATCTGCATCAGTACAAGAATGACAGCAAAGAGACACCCCACGATCGACTGACCGAGAATCTGAAGGAATATCTCTGGGGACGAACACTAACCTTCGTCCGTCAGAATTTCCGATTGACCCACCTCTTTATCGATCTACGCCATTGCTCCTGTCCCGTAGGCTGCTGTCGTCTGGCAGACCAGGTTCTGGATTGGGGCTGGATGTATGTCTGGATTCATGGCTTGCCGGACGAGGTCCAAGTGAGAGGATCGTCGAGGTCGGAGAAAGAAGTTATTGCTAGGAGTCTGGACCGACAGTCATTTCACCCTAAATTGAAGATCGAGGAGGTTTACGACCAGTCTAGGGCTCAGGATTATCGGGGATTGATGCAGTATAATGCTCTGCTTAGGAGTGTTTACCGGAGGTTGAATGAGGTGTAACTGCAAGGTGATTCATCATCTAAACATATGGTACCCAGGTCGCTTAGTTATAGAATGAGAAACGGATATAATCGTGCCTAAACACCGCACTGCTCTCTCGTTGATCGTCAAACAATTGGCCATTAACCTTCCTGTGTTTTGGTATGATACATGCCCAGCAATACAATTGCCGGTCTTTCTCCGAAAGCAGTGAAAATAAACAACAACCAATGCAGCAAATCACGGCGTCGCAGCCACAGTACCCTCCTTCTCGATGTTGCTCAGACCCTCACGGTCGTCCCGTCTCCGACGTTTATCGAGGATGGCTTCACGGCGCTGCGCGAGAATCTTGAGCTGACGACCCTCAACACCCTGGAGCCAGTAACCGAAGCTTCCACCGACACCTGCGAAGACGGGGTAGGCCCAGAGACCCTGCTTGGCGAGAATAGGACGCATTTCGATACCGAGTTGCCAGAGACGGACGGCGATGCCTGCGGGTGCCCAATGCGTTAATGACTATAATATACCTTCTCCGTACATATAGAGCCTACCGAAGCCGCCCCAGAAGAAGATCTTGGAAACCATTGTGCTTTGCGATATGTGAAGGTGGGTTGACGGAGGAGAGGAGAGTTCGATCGATCGGGAGTTCGGGACCAGCAATCAGCGAAATTGCAGGACCAATTCAAGCACCCGCTACCGGCGAGAACACAGCAAGCAATAACAGAGAATCCGGGAAAACAACACCGGCAAACAAGAGAATCAGCGCTCGTTGAAGCAAGCAGACGAGGTACGAGAACGCTTTGAGGTTGACCGCCCGCCGTCGAATCACGGATCCGCCGTTCCCAATCCGGAACATCATTGTCCCGGCACAGGAGGGCGCGGATATATTGCGACTTGCGCGCCGGCATTCTCCCATTGCAAACATTAACGACACTCTGCGGTCAATTTTCAAAGTATATTAGGGCCTCTCGCGATGGCTGGACGAGAGGAGACGCCCGATGTGAAAACGAATGGGATCAAGAGAGCCTCGCCGGAGGTGAACTTCTGGCAGCGGAAAAAGTTCAAGACGGAGGAACTGCCATTGTCTGCGGCGCAACATACAGCGCTCGAGAATCTGTTACACTCGTTCAAGAAAAAGGGTGGCTTTGACAGCGTGCGCAAGAAGATATGGGCTGATTTCGATGGAGGGGTATGTCATTTACGTGTTGTTCTTTCCACCATGGGACGAAATGCTCATCGCGATTCATGCAGGAACACAAGACGGAGTTTACACAACTACTGGTTGAATTAGCAGATTCGCAGATCGATCGAGAACCCGAGCTTCTATCGCGCGAACGCGGCAAGGCAGCGACACTGATCGAAGGAGCGGCGGACCGCAACAACGTCTACAAAACCGTGGAAACATCGATCGAAACGATAGCAACGAATCATATTGATTTCATCCTAAATTCTGTCCGGGAGATCCGTCGCAACGAAATCGGCGAGGAATCCGCGGCGCAAGAAGAGCAAAACGGCAACAAAACCGACGAGGAATATGCGGCCGTCATTCAAGCCAAGCGGGACGAGCGCGAAAAGATTCACCAAGAAGCTATGCGCAAACAGAAAGTGATCGATGATGAGAAAAAGAAGATTATAGATGAGGAGGATCAGAAGAAACGCGAGATCCAGCGCCAGAAGGACGAGGAGGATCGAGCTAGACGGAAAGAGCGAGATGAACAGAGGCGTGCTGAGCGCGAGCGTTTGCGCGAAGAACAACAGAAACTTGATGAGCAAAGAGATCGAGGACGAGACGACAGATACGAGCGACGTCGACGAGAAGAGCGCGAGAGATATCGGGATTGGGGGCGCGAACGCAGTCGCAGTCGCAGCCGGACTAGAGATAGGGAGAGGGAGAGGGAACGAGAGCGAGAGCGAGAGCGAGGGCGAGAGCGAGACAGAGACCGGAACAGGAATTGGGACAGCTACCGAGCTCGTGACCGCTCCCCAAGCCGTCGTTCTGACCGTGCCGTGTCCGAGCGACCTCGCGATTCGAAGACAAAGTCCACGGACCCGACGCCTGCGCCCCCGCAACCGCCCCAGCAACCACAACCGCCCGTGGATGAAAAATCGCTTGAAGAGGCCGCTCTGCAAATGCTGTTGAAAGAAGGTGAAGAGCTTGCAGCGAAAGCCCGGCAGAAGCCCGAGTTTGATTTCGAGGAAGCGGAGGCTGTTGAGAACGGCCTGAAAGCCCCTACAACAGAGCAACCTAAATCTGCAAGTCCAGCGCAGGATACAAATATTGAAAGAAGGCGCTCAACAGCAACAGCAACAATAACAACAACAGCTGATGACAAGCAACGGGTGCGCAAACGTGAGGGCAGCCGCAGTCGCAGTCGTACCCGCAGACACTCGTCGCGCTATGATAGAGACCAGCGACAGGAGCGATTACAGGAGACATCTATCCGGCCGCGGGACCGTGATGACGGTCGAGCTCCTATCCGTGGGTACGACCGTTATGAGAGTTACCGACCTGGTCGTCGGAGCCGGAGTCGATCTACCACACAGGGTCAAGATCGAGACCGGGACCGTGTTCGCGATGACCGGTACAGGGACGATCGGGATAGGGATCGAATACGAGACCGACAACCATCTGAAAGAGACCGAGATTACCGTCATCGGGGCCGCAGCCGAGAGAGGGACCGCGAAAGAGAACGGAATCGAGATGATTATCGTCGCCGACGCTCCCCTGCTCGAGATCGGGGTCAGGATCGAGGCCGTGATCGTGACAGTGAACGACCTCGAGAGAGAAGCCGTGATCGGGATCGAGACCGTGAGCGTGAGCGTGAGCGAGAACGAGAACGGGAAAGACCCCGAGAGAAAGAACAAGATCGCGAACGTGACCGTGATCGAGAAAAACCTCGAGAAGGGGATCGAGATCGCGAGAGAGAGCGAGACCGGGTACAGGCACCCTCCCAATCACACGGCCGCGCATCCTCGCGGAAACGGTCACGGTCCCGAGCAGGCCGCCGCTCCCCCAGCGTCCTCGACATCGACCGCTACGTCCCGCCAACAAGCCGTCGAAGTCGATCCCCGCGTCGACGGGTGCGCTCTCCAGACCGCCCAGATCGACCTGAACGACCTGACCGACCTGAACGGGATGACCGACCTGAACGACCTGACCGACCTGAACGACCTGACCGACCAGAACGGGATGACCGCGGACGAATTGATCGATATATTCCCGGCGGAGAACGTGAGAGGGAGCGTGAAAGAGATCGGGAGCCGGAAACAGCGCGGGATGTTTCGAAAAGGCGGAGTCCGGATCACAGTCGATGACGGTAACCCTAATGACTTATGTACTTGTACTATAATCGTTGGATGTATAATTGGGGGTTTGGTGTATGAACGGGAGGTCTATATACTAATCTCTAATGATGATGACTCTGTATACAGGAAGGATAGACAATGCATTGGCAGACTATGTTCAGGTACAGATGCTTTATACAATGCAATATAAGATGAGCTCTAGAAACATCAAATATGCAGATAGATAGTGAAATTCTCATGGGAAGCTGGTTATTCTTCTCCATGCCGCCGGTAGGAGTAACCATCGGCATGAGAGCCACTAGGCCTCAGATCCGGCGAGAGCCGTTCAAGAATAGTCCGTTCCAGGGTTTTAATAGACAGTTCATTGTCTCCTAGTTTATTCCAGACGGAAATAAGATGCGAGTTGAAGCGGACAGATGAGGAAATCCCGAGGACATGGTCATGTTCTATTCATGTTAGTACACTTGCGCACTGCATCCACGATTTCCTGACAACTAGGGGATAAACATACCCTTTTCCAAAGCCGCCTGGAACTCATTCGCCATACATAAGATTACCGCCTCATGGAAAAACGCCAACGCTTTACCCTTTGGCACCCGGAATTGCCAACACCCTCCGTTTCGATTCTCTGGATCCTCGGGTACAGGATCCACACCTTTCCGGAAGATATGCACGCTGTCTCTTGCACGGACTTTATCCCATGGGTAGTTGTTGTAGACGCGGTAGAAGGTCGCGATGTCGGCGACGTCTTCGTGGAGGATGTATAGTTTGTTCTTGGTCGAGGGGTCGTCGGACTCGGGGGTGTACTTGTCGTACCAGACTGTCCAGTGGTATTGGAATGGTAGGGGACGGAGCTTGCCGAATATGTTCTGGTGGAGGGATTTGCGTGTGCTTGTTTTATCCAGCTGGTTGTGGTTGTCGTCTGGGGTTATGGGGGTGGTGTCGTTGAGTTGGAGTTGGGGGACGCTCATGGTTTCTGATTCGAGCATTTTGAATTTGGCAGATAATATGAAAAGGGATTAGGATTGCGATCAGGAATATTCAATTCAATAAATACTTATAGACGTCAGTGTCAATACTATAGATATCTCCCGCTCCCCTGGATATGAATAGAATCAATTTGTATAGCTGAATGAGGGGCCTGCTTAGTGAGCATCTGCAGCAGACTCTCTAATAACTTATTTCTGTATTGCGTGGATTAATCAATCGCTCGGACTGTCAATCAATCAATCAATTCGTCTTATTGAAGCCATACTGGAGGACACCGGATGTCGTCCAGCGCGTAGTACGGGAATTAGATTGGCCCTGGCAGTCGATCATTGCGACGCCTCGAGCCGCTGGGAAAGAAGGACTATAATTCGGAGTTGCCTGATATTGCGATTGAGAATATATTGAAGCCATTCAGGAGAGGTTGGAGGCTTCAGCGTCTATGCGATAAGGAGTTGTATGGACTGGGTATGCGCTGCTTCAGAGGATCTTGAGGTGAGATCGTCCAGATCTGCCATGTTCTCAGTCCCTGTAGGCGTTATGAAAAGAATAGGCTTGTCTATGAAGAAATCTGCTCTTATGTTAAAAAAGGCATAGTAAATCATAAGGACGTGGACCGCAATGGAACCACGGATAACGACAGTGATAAACTCTTTATCGATTTCATCTTTTCAACTTCTCCATTTTTATCTCCCATTTTGTCACCACGAAAACACCATTCCAACGCCGTTATTAAGCATTATTAACGCATTCTTAATACTATATTTATAATCGGCGCACAAAATAAGAAAGAAAAAGAAATAATATGCCCGGCGCCAGCACAAAACGCGCGCGCAGCGACGACGATCAGCAGCCCTCCCCCGACGAACCCGCACCCTCACCTCCCAAGCGTATGCAAACAAGAAAGTCGAAGACGCTCGAGTCGCGGAAATTAGAAAAGAATTACCACAGTGACGATGACGATGAGACATCCTCCGACGAGCCAACCTCATCTTCGGGTTCCTCGGTAGATTCTTCCGACGACGGCAGCGACGACGACGAAGAGGATGAACAGGAAACAAGAGATCAAGAAGAAAGAGAAGACAGTGGCGCAATTCCATCCATCGCTGCCCGGCAAAAACCTCGGATACACCGCATCGAGAAAGACAATGGCATTATGTCCCGGTTAACGGCGTTTTTGCCGCAAATGAAAAGTGCAAATGAGCATTTGGAGAGGGAACTTGCTGCTGGTCGGGGTAAGGAGCTTCAGGTGGATGGTGTAGATGAGGAGGGTGAAGGGAGATATATTGAAATGGTACGTTATGTACTTTTATGCGACTGCTACTTTACATTGGGAGAAATGCTGATTGTCGCTGCTACAGAACCTAGGCCTGGGTGTTCTAGAAGAGAAACGGTCGGATGATGAGTCGAGTGATGATGAGGACGAGAGCCCTGAAAATGAAGAAGGAAAGCAGCTCCCGACAGAGCTCCCCAGCCGGCCAAAAGATCCGAGCGTGCTGGGTAAATTGATGGGCGTGAAAAAGGACGAGGAGTCGAAAAAGCCTACGATTGAGGAAATGAACGAGTAAACTGGCTGGCCAGTTGACACCATTATGCATATAGACGATGATTTGGATGTGTATTGCTTGGATATCTTTTTTGCATTGCCATATTATATTGAATCTATCCATAGTAGTTATTGCAGTTATTGCATACAGATGCCGCCGGTTGGTAAATCACAACTATTTTCATCAAGCAATAACCAGCCAAAGCCCAATAGAAACACCTCTCCCAGTCTTTCCCATAACAGTTAAACACCCATTGTCTAACATATTTCCACAAAAGAAAAGGAAAAGATATTACTTAAATTCATGAGATCTCCTTAACACGGCATGTCCAGCCAGACTCCTGGCTCAACAAGGGCAAACTAAACCAAGTCAGCGTCGGACTCAAATTTCGAAACGGGGATGACAAAAAACTTACCTTGCACCGAGACACCAGCCCAACTCATTGCCCTTGATCTTCTTAGCAACCTTGACTTCACGCGACAGGGGCATATCGTAGCCCGTGTGCAACAGTCCAAGCATAAAGTTGAGGTCCAGACACCACTCAGGACGGTCGCGCAATTCCCCAAGAGCACCTTCAACGCCCTCGAAGATCTTCCACTTGTCCTCTCCGCCACAGACATTCGCGGTAAGTTGGTGGAGCTCGTCTAGCGTGAAAGAGTCGGGCATGCCTAGTGGCTTCGTCCGGTCGTAGAAGTAGGAGAAGATGTACACATCTTCACGAGAGAACGTCTTCTCGAGAGATGGCTGGTGCACACCGTTGAAGGAGCAAGGAGCCAATTTGCAGTCCGCTTCCTTCCGGAGGATCTTCTCCGCCAGAGCGCGGCACTGAGCAGGAGCAGACTGTTCCTTAGGTCCAATCATCTTGACGGTGACCTGCGAACCAAGAGGGTGATCTGCTTCGTACTTCAATACCACATCGCGCTCCATTCCTGGTCCAATGCACGGATTAGAGATTGGCTGCGTCAACCACGACTGGTCTTTGGGACTCTGGGCCAGCTTGGCATCAACAACAGCCTTGTGCATAGAATCACGAGCAGCCATGAGGCCGTATCCCAGGTGAGAATGCTGGTACAACTCGAATTCCCGTCCTCCAAATTTAAGCGAGTACTTATGGTCGCCTTCAGCAAGATGCTCCGGCATGCCACCCGCCTTGCTCTTCGGGAAGGTGGGCTGGAAAACAATCTGAGTGGAGCCACCACCTAGGTCAAAAACCGCAGCGGTCGGCGTTTCATCGGGTCCACCAATCTTCCCAAGAAGATAGTTGGTGGTAATCCAGGCATAGACACCCTCATCTGAGCCGTCCATAATTTCAACGCCACCCTTCTCTTTGGAGACCACTGGGAAGGGATAGGCGGTTTCCAAACGAGTTCTAACAGCCTCAAGGATCTTCTCGCTCATTTCAGGTCCAATCATACGCAAACCAGCTGTAGCCTTCACGGAGACCGGCGAGCACGACTTGTACTCGTCGGGAACATTTTTCATGGCCACGTCCATAAGGGGGTCGAGACTCTTGGCGGCCCCCTCGGCATCCTCCTTGTAAGAGCTCAGACCAGAGCCACCTGGCTTCTTCTCAGTTTGCTCGAAGATTTCATTCTCGAGCTCGGGCGTAGAGCCGCAGTTGTTGAATCGGTAGACGTGAATGCGAGATCCCGTGCTACCGGCATCAATCATGAGCGCATACTGAATCAACGGCTTCGACGAGTCGTAAGGCTTAGAACACTTTTCTGTCAGGGGAGCAGTGGAGGGCGGTTGTGCTATATGGCCAATTAGTCAGATCTAATTCTATACTCCTCCGAATTATGGGGTGCGACTTTACCCTTTCTGAGACCGCTCACAGTGGGTCTTGATGGTGATAGCCAGAACAGCATCAACAACAGGACACCCACAATGGCACCTGTTTTCAGATACCGCGTTCTTTGAGGCTGCGCCATGGTTGCTGACAATAAATTAGACGGGCTTTCCGGGTATCTACTCGATTCGTCTGAATATGTAGTGGCGAACGAATTGGGTCGCGAACTCGAGCGGATGCGAGTATCTGAATTCGGATTCAAATATAATTCAGCGGCTTGGGAAATTCGACCGTCAACTCCCGTCGACATGCGAGCGAAATCGAACGGGTGCTATGTGGGCGTTTCGTCTCCGAGAAACGCCCTAGAACGTCGAGCTTTGGACTGCGTTGGCGAAACGGACTAACGAACGAAATGTAGAAAAACCATTGAATTTCCAAGAAAACTCCGGACCAGCCCAGAACAGAGAAATAAAAGAGAGAGAGAGAGTGTGTGTGTGTGAAGAAAGAACAACAAGAAGAAAAGACGGCCAAAAAAAAAAAAAAATAAAATAAAATAAAAAAATAAAAAATAAAAATAAAAGGGCAGAACAAGAGAGTAGGCAGAAAGGTGGCCGTGACGGTTTCAGGAGAGGCGGCGGAAATGGTCACGGGTCCAGCTGTGGCGCGTCGGCCTGGACCCTGTGGCGGTGCTTTATCAATTGTCCGCCGCGGAGGTCCATATTATTATTATTGCACAGACAGTTCCACTGCGACAATAGATGGTCTACACACTCCGACATATGCTACTGTCTTGATTCATAATTCTGACTTGTCACGCATAGTCTGGCTTGCGAACAATTCCTTTTTACCCTGCCTCAACTGCCTCGTCGCAGTCCCTCCGGCAAAATGAAGTACATGCGCAATCTTTTTTCTACAACACCAACACTCCGTCACCTATTCCTTTCGTCGCCATTTCAAACCTCACGAATTGCATCGATCCCTTTGAACCGTATCCAGAGCCAAACGTCACCGCGATTACCAGAGCAACCCCGTCGTTACGCAAGTTACCAGTCGGCGAGACCCGCAGAGCAGAACCAATTCATAGATGAAAGAATCCGGGCAAAATTTGTACAAATTGTGAACGAAGACAATAAACTGGGCCCTCCCGAACATATTTTCGATGTCCTGCGATCTATCGAACGTCCCACCTACTTCCTCCAGCAAGTTTCGCCGAGTATCGACAGTCAACCACCCATTTGCAAGATTGTGAACCGCGTAACAGCGAGGGAACATGAAAAAGCTAGGGCAAAGGCTGCCCATGCTGCCAAAGCGTCATTGAAGCAGGTGGAATTGAACTGGGCTATTGACGCGCATGATCTGTCCCATCGCTTGAAACAGTTGAAGAGCTTCCTACTGAAAGGTCGGAAAGTGGAGATTTTCATGAAGAGGAAAAAAGGGAAGCGGGCGCCTACAGTGGAGGAGATCAAGCATCTTATGGACAATGTGGCAGAAACAGTCAAGAGTGTCGGTGCTGCGCAGGTTAAGCCCTCATTCGGGGAGCCGGGGAAACAAGTTATATGGGTAGTGGAAAAGAAGAATGATTAGATTGGCCTGGATGCTTTTTCTCATTCCACTCAGACTATTATGTATATTATGGGTGAAGGACTGTAACGTGTATTATATGGGGCCCCATGTGCTTTAGCATGCTTCTATGGTATCGGAAACACGGCGTTTGGCCCGGCTCGGGGTAGTGGTCACAAAACAACCCAGTCCGGATATCTCCTTACTGTGCAGAGTAAATTACTGGCATTGTCTATTGATTAGCTTCGACTATCAGAAATCCATTGCCATTAGATACCCTGCCCATTGCAATTGCAGCGCACATAGTCATGTTTGTATCTTTTTGTACTCCGCAATCCGCCATCTCTGATTGGCTCAATGCTGACTAAGAACTTCCTAAAATTTGTTCCGCATCCTCACATCTCGACCTCTTTTGTCCAGCCCTCGTTATTCTTCCCATCACGTTTCCTCGTGCTGTTGTGTTTGTGATTCCATTGCCGGGTTGTCAGGATGTCCAACATCACCAGAACCGCCAACCTTCTGCTGCGCACCAGCCGGTCCTCGCTGCTCCGGCCGCGTGCTGCTAACCCGGTCCACCATGTTTTCACCAAGGACCGACTGGTCGCCCGTGGAATGGCAACCGCCTTCGAGCGTACCAAGCCTCACGTTAACATTGGTAATCCGTCATTCCTTGATTTTGCATGGCATTGATGATAGCTAACGAACTCTTTATAGGTACCATTGGTCACGTCGACCACGGAAAGGTTAGCGCTCTATCACTTCCCACCACTTTTCCCACCTACCCGCGAAGGATTACCGACTTACAAGACACTCTGGATAGACTACCTTGACCGCCGCTATTACCAAGTACCAGGCCTCGAAGGGTCTTGCCAACTTCCTCGAGTATGGTGCCATTGACAAGGCCCCTGAGGAGCGCAAGCGTGGTATCACCATCTCCACCGCTCACATCGAGTTCTCGACCAACGACCGTCACTATGCCCACGTCGACTGCCCCGGTCACGCCGATTACATTAAGAACATGATTACTGGTGCTGCCAACATGGATGGTGCCATTGTTGTCGTTGCTGCTTCGGATGGTCAGATGTATGTCTTGAATCTGTGATGCCTTCATACTCGTGTGAATGGTTTATTGACTGCTTCTCTTGAACAGGCCTCAGACCCGTGAGCACTTGCTGCTTGCCCGTCAGGTCGGTGTTCAGAAGATCGTCGTGTTCGTTAACAAGGTCGACGCCGTCGAGGACCCCGAGATGTTGGAGCTCGTCGAGCTGGAGATGCGTGAGCTTCTCAGCGGCTACGGATTCGAGGGTGAAGAGACCCCCATCATCTTCGGATCTGCCCTCTGTGCTCTCGAGGGCCGCCGTCCTGAAATTGGTACCGAGCGGATCGACCAGCTTCTCGATTCTGTTGACACCTGGATCCCCACTCCTCAGCGTGACCTTGACAAGCCTTTCTTGATGTCCGTCGAGGAAGTCTTCTCTATTCCCGGTCGTGGTACTGTCGCCTCTGGCCGTGTCGAGCGTGGTCAGCTGAAGCGTGACCAGGAAGTCGAGATCGTCGGTGCATCTGCCACCCCCATCAAGACCAAGGTCACCGACATTGAGACCTTCAAGAAGACCTGCAACGAGTCCCGTGCTGGTGACAACTCTGGTCTCCTTCTCCGTGGTATCCGCCGTGAGGATGTCCGCCGTGGTATGGTCATTGCCGCTCCCGCTAGCACCAAGGCCAACGACAAGTTCTTGGTCTCCATGTATGTCCTGACCGAGGCCGAGGGTGGCCGTCGTACTGGATTCGGCGCCAACTACCGTCCCCAGCTCTTCCTCCGTACTGCCGGTAAGTTTCCTTTATATGATACCCTATATTCTTAGTGTGATATTGGTTTGCTGACAAACCGCTTAGACGAGGCTGCCGACCTGAGCTTCCCCGGTGAGGACCAGTCCGGGCGAGTCATGCCTGGTGACAACGTCGAGATGGTCCTTAAGACTCACCGTCCCGTTGCTGCTGAGGCTGGTCAGCGCTTCAACATCCGTGAGGGTGGCCGCACTGTTGCCACTGGTCTGATCACCCGTATCGTGGAGAAATAAACAGCCACGCCGTGATACCTTGGAGTTGGCTGGTCTTTCTTTTTATTACGATTAAAAATATACCTCCGTTTTTCAGTTTGTTGACGCCTTCTTGCAACGCGGGAATCCGGGGGAGCGTGATGCACCGGAGTTCAGTGAATTATGTCCATGTAACTGTACTATATTAAACTAGATGTCTTTTTTCTTTTCACTCTTATCCTCTCTTGGATATTGGGATACTTTATTTGACACGAATTCAATGATTTATAATGAGGTTGGCCCAGTTGTAAGCAATAAGCATCCACGGAATAAATGTTTGATACCTGAGGCATAAATACTTATCCATAACTAGTTAGTTAATTAACGTAATTCACAAGCGAGTGGGCCACCCAACGCGAAACGCGTCCATGAATTAGACTTCAATTCTTTAACCACCCACCATGCCACCAATTCGCTCTCGAAGCTCTCAGATTCAACAGAGCAGGAGGGTAGGATCTTCTTAGCTACCCCGATGATATCTATAACTTTGATGAGACTGGCTTTGTAATGGGCTTAACTGGGACTGCAAAAGTGATTACAAGGTCTGAATACTATGGTCAGCGATCCCTTTTACAACCTGGAAATTGTGAATGGGTCACTGCAATTGAGGTAATAAGCATGCCAGGGTGGGCCTTGCCTCCATGCATCATTTTCAAAGGCAAGGTCTTTATTGAGGGTTGGTTTGACAACCTCCCAGGTGATTGGCGCTTTGAAGTTAGCCCAAATGGATGGACTTCTGATGAAATCGGGCTTTAGTGGCTCTAAAGGCTCTTTATTCCATCAACAATTACTCGTACAAAAGGGAAATATCGGCTTTTGATCCTTGACGGCCATGGTAGTCATTTGACACTGAAATTTGCAGTCAAAATGATATTATCCCAATTTGTATGCCAGTACATTCATCACATCTTTTACAGCCACTTGATATCGGCTGTTTTGCGGTATTAAAGCGATCATATGGTCAGCTTGTTGAAACCAAAATGCGTCTTGGGATCAACCATATCAACAAATTAGACTTCCTTGAGGCCTACCCACACGCACGAATTGAAGCTTTCAAACCCAATACTATCAAAAATAGCTTCACAGCAGCTGGTTTAGTGCCTTTTGACCCCGATCGGGTGCTTTCAAAGCTCAATATTCAGCTTCGTACGCCAACCCCCCCTGGAAGCCGGGGTAGTGATTGGGAGCCAAAAACGCCTTCGAACCACGTGCAATTACAAAAGCAATCCTCGTCAATTAAAGCATTGCTCCGTACGGATCAAGAAGCCCACCAAGTCCGCTTAATACCGCGATAAATCGGATTCTTAAAGCGTGCCAAATCGGTATGCAATCAGCTGCTATTCTTGAGAAAGAAGTAAGCGATTTACGCGCTTTGGACGTGAAGCAGAAGCAAAAGCGTACACGGTCTAAAAGGCAGATACCTCGTGAAGAAGGCCTCTCAGTTTCAGAGGCTTGTGAGCTAATTGAGGCCCCAATCAAGGCCCCGATAGCTCCAGCACCCCCGTCCGAGACGCGTTTCATCACCTTTACAGCCGCGTACGAGGGCTTTGCCGAATTGTGGTTTATGTGGAAATGAGAGACATAAAAGAACAGCATGTCCAGATGGGCCTAGATAGCTTGTTTTGTTAATTAATTAATTGGTGTTTTGGTTGGAATAAATGCATTTAAATACTATATATGGGGGGTGGGTGGCCCACTCGCTTGTGAATTACGTTAGTTACCCGATATGTGCCCGATGTATCAGGCAGAAAAACAAATAGACGCCGGGACCACGATCCCCAGCCCGAGTCCTCCCCGTTAAGTCCAGCCACTTCCATCCACCGCAACGTGACTTCGGCCCAATCGCACAAGAGACCGTCCTTGTGACCATTTCCCTTTTTTATATTTGATTGACTGTGGACAGTTCAGGCCGAGGTCCTTTTGTCTACTAGCTTCTGTGAACACTTCATACATCATCATCACCCTCTCCGCATTCTATCCTCTCCTGATATCTGTCGATCCGCAAAGAAGCCACACCTTTGTTCTCCGCGATCCTCACGTAACGCTTGGTTGTGGAATTCCTACTCTGTACACTCCTCCGTCTAAACGATTATCGTGAGGGAAGAAGTACCGTCAGATCGACATTCTTCGCTTTCGGGCCGCAGTTCGGCAGCGCAGCCCATCATGGATTCCAATGGGCATCTCGCATCGGTTGGCACCGCCAGTGATAAAGCTGCCTACGAGCATGGTGTTCAAGTGATTGACGAGAACAAGGAGTTCAAGTATGTCTTCCTTTTTTCTTTACGCCATTGTTTGTTTGTTTATCGGGCGTTTTGTGTTCTCAAGGACACTACCCCCCACCCCCCATTACATGTCTAGCGTAGCTAACAGAAACAACTTCATTCAGTCCAAATCTCTCTACATATCTGAGCGTCGAAAATGTGACCCCCGCCGGTTTCAATTACCACCTCGTCTCCGTGTTCGGATCCCAATCGACTGGCAAGTCCACGCTCCTTAACCACCTCTTCGGTACGCAGTTTTCGGTCATGTCCGAGTTGGAAAGACGGCAAACGACCAAGGGTATCTGGTTATCGAATAACAAGAAAATCTCTGAGTCGTCTGGGGATGCAAACCAGAAAATGGCCGATAACATCCTGGTCATGGACGTTGAGGGAACGGACGGTCGTGAGAGAGGTGAGGACCAGGACTTTGAACGAAAGAGTGCTCTTTTTGCGCTGGCGACGAGTGAGGTCCTTATTGTCAACATCTGGGAACACCAAGTCGGTTTGTATCAGGGTGCCAACATGGGACTGCTGAAGACTGTCTTCGAGGTCAACTTGCAGCTGTTCTTGAAGGATAGGAGGTATGTTGTTCATCTGGGTCAATTGAGGCCCGCTGCTCTAGATCTGCAGTGCTGAACGTGGAATTTAGTACAACCCATCGATCGCTTCTGTTTTTCGTCATCCGTGATTTCGTCGGAACCACTCCCCTCAGGAACCTTCAAAAGACGTTGACGGAGGACATCTCCCGTCTGTGGGACTCCATCTCCAAACCCACTGGCCTTGAGAACTCGAGCGTTCACGATTATTTCGACTTCCAGTTCTATGGGCTTCCCCACAAGGCTTACCAGCCCGATAAGTTTGTAGAGGAAACGAACAAGCTCAGCCTGCGTTTCCGTGAAGGACAGAAAGATCTGAACTTGGACCCGCTCAAAGGCGAATTCTCCGAGGGAGGCGTCTTCCTTCCCGAATACCACCGTCGGATCCCTGCAGACGGAGTTTCGAAATATGCTGAAGGTATTTGGGATCAGATTGTCAACAACAAAGACTTGGATTTGCCGACACAACAGGAACTTCTCGCGCAGTTCCGTTGTGACGAAATCTTGAGGGAAGTGATGGTGGCCTTTGACCAGGCAGTCGTGCCCTTCGAAGACAAGCAGGCACAAGCGGCTCGTCTGGGAGAAGCGGAGATTCTCGGTGGCTTGGGAGCCGCGATGCGAGCTTCACGAACAAAGGCCGTCGGCGCTTTCGAGATGGAAGCTAGCCGTTACCACAAGGGTGTTTATCAGCGAAAGCGGGCGGAGCTGGAAGGAAAGGTCGACACCCGTCTGAAGGCCCTGTTCTACGGTCAGCTTAGCTCAACGCACAAGTCTGGTATCAACGACTTCACCGAGGCAGTTACCGGGGCAGTGAAGGCGGGTCAGAAGCGAGGCACTGGTTACGACTTTGCCGAGATCGTGAAGCAGGAGACAAAGGTTGCGCTGGAGAAGTTCCAGGAGGTCGCTCGCTCCACCGTGGTTGAAGGGCTCGAGTGGAGTAACTACGACAACGAATTGGCATTGTATGAGAAGGAGCTGGCAGAAGTTAGCTCACGACTGAGGAAGGATGAAATGAGGCGCCTGGCAAGTCGCATTGAGCGGTGGGTGCAGTCGCGTCTGGGCGAGTCTGTCGGGCTTGAATTCAACGCTTTAGGGTCTGGACGAGCAGGCGGCGGGGCTCCCGAGGCAGGAGACAAACAGACCGAAAAGGCCTTCTGGGACCGAATCTGGAATGTCTTTAGCGAGACTGTCATCGATGCGGAGAAGAAATTCACGGATCGTGCCAGTAGCTTCGATGCGAGCCTGGAGGAAGTTGACGTTGGTCTTTGGAGACTGCGGCGGAAGTCCTGGGGTGTTTTGCGGACGAAGATCGACGAGGAGATGATCGAAGGCAACCTACTGCTGAAGCTGCGTGAGAATTTCGAGGACAAGTTCCGCTATGACGATGCCGGCGTGCCTCGGATCTGGCGCCCGACCGATGACATTGAAGGCGTATATACTCGTGCTCGCGAGTCTACCTTGACTCTGATTCCCTTCCTATCTCGATTCCGTCTGGCAGACACGTCTGCTCCGCCACCGTTGGACCGCTGGGTTGGGCACACCCCCAGCTCTGCGACGCCGGCCGACGAGGAAGACCTTATTCCCATTGGTGGTGTGGATGAAGAAGAAGGCAAGAGTCTGGAGGAGGAGACGACCATTCTCAGCGATGCCAAACGACAGGATCTCACCGTGCGGTTTAAGAAGGCAGCAGATGGAGTGTATGTGGAAGCCAAGCGGAGCGCCATCGGAGGCATGACCCAGGTTCCTCTGTACTTTTATGGTATTCTCCTTGCTCTTGGTTGGAACGAAATCATTGCTGGTAAGTTTGCTTTGTTCCCTACTGTGCCCGATAAAGATATGGGAAGGCAATGTGCTGACTTGCATTAGTCCTCCGGAACCCCGTCTACTTCATCCTCTTGTTTGTTTGTGCCATTGCTGGGTACGTGACGTATCAGCTCAACCTATGGGGCCCAATCCTGAAGATGACTGAGGCGGCGTCCAACCAGGCGATGCAGGAAGGCAAGCGTCGTCTGCGGGACTTCCTCGAGTCGTCCGATACGGGCAGGCAGGCCATTGCCATGTCGGGTTCCGGTGCGGGGAGCTCTCGGGAGGAGTACGAGATGTCGAGTCTTAAGGAGACCTCATCGAAAGAAGCAGAGGATGACCTGTAAGCGAGAGTAGTGTCTTGTATACAAGCTGGTGTTGTGATTCTACACCGTTTAGCGTATATCTGTATGTACTTGGAATGGATGCTGGTTGTAAGCAGTCGTTTGTTTCCTTTCCTATAGCTATGGTTGCGGGGTTGGGCGGACTTGTTCCGATGTCATCATCTCTAACACTTGACATACGCATTGCTTACTATACTATTGTTCCTACCTTTCATTGATCAAGGTCTTACTTCAATTTATCCAATTAGTCAAGTTCTTTTCTCCTTACAGCAATTCTCGATAACCCCTCCCCCGCCTCGAACAGGCCAACGACGTCATGTCAGGAACGCTGCCAGAGAGATTCGATGACCTCCCAGACAAGCGACGATTCTGGCCAGCACCGGCAGGAACTCAAGATGAAGGGCTTGGAATGCTCCGTATCCTCACGCCGGACGTCGTGGCGGACGCAGCTCGTACACAGATTCAGACGGGGGAGCGAGTGTGTTTGAATTGGGCTCTTGAAGAATTGAACCCGCCAGGTATTTCTCAGCATGCTTTTTACGTTTTCCTTCAATGCGAATATAACTAATATACCAACAGGATTCGGCCGTAAACGCTTCGAGCACCGCATCAAATGGGTCGCCCCCGACAACGCCTTCGACGACGAATACCACTTCAACCCCCAACAATCTTCCCAATGGGACGGCCTCCGACACCACAACGCCCCAGCACCCGACGGACAGACAAAAGCCTTCTACGGCGGTACAACAGCAGAGGAAATCCAAGACTCCAATAACTCACGTATCGGAATCGGACACTGGGCGAAGAAGGGCATTGCAGGCCGGGGCGTCCTAATCGACTACCTCTCCTGGGCAGAAAAGAAGGGAATCAGTGTCAACGCTCTCGAGCAGCACACCGTCTTCCTCGACGATGTACTAGCAATCGCCCGCGAATGCAACATCAGCTTCCAAAAAGGCGACATCTTCTTCCTCCGCGTCGGCCTAACGAAGACCTGGGAGAAGATGAACGACGACGAAAGAATGACATACAGCCTCCAACGCACCCCCAAGCACGCGGGCATCGAGCAGAGCGAGCGCGTCCTGCGATTCGTGTGGGATAACCATTTTGCGGCCGTGGCGTCGGATGCGGTTAGTTTCGAGGTTTTCCCGCCGCTGCAGCCGGAGTTTGATCTGCATCATCATCTACTTGCCGGTTGGGGACTGCCAATTGGGGAGATGTTTGATTTGGAGGAGTTGGCGGGGATTTGTAAGACATTGGGGAGGTGGACGTTTTTTGTGTCGAGTAGTCCGTTGAATTGTGCGAATGGGGTGTCGAGTCCGCCGAATTGTATGGCTATCTTTTAGACGTGGTGTGGTTGTACGGAGTAGTTAGGCTTATGGTGTTTGAGGTGAATTTATCAAGTCATGCTGGCATGAGGCTTCTGCTGCTATAGGTTTCCTTCGAATCCCGAATTCTGGAATAGAAATGAGACCCATAAACCCAGTCTGCAAACGCTACCCAGTTCTAGATATGAACGTGCCGATTCTGAGCTCTCGATACAGACTGGAGGGATTGTCTGTGCCTAGGAAGTCAAATGTGTCCATTCCTCGAAGATGGTAAAGGTATCGGCAAGAGATAAGAGTCGCTATTTCAACAGTTCCAACCCCCATCACTCATTTTATCTTACTTTTATTCCTATTCAACAATCAACATGGCTGCAATCGACTGGGTGGTCACAAACATCCTCTTTCTCTACCACATCCCAACCGTCCCAAGCTTTCAAAAAGTTGAACTGGACTCCTTGAAAGCCGAAATTGTCTCCTGGAACCAATGGGAACTTGGGCATGTTGAAAGAATAATCGATCGCATGATAGAAGAAGGAGAACTCTATATGATTGATTCCAAAAAGGCCATACAGCAACATAAATTTATCCAAACACAATATATGCAACACTGCCATCTCTATGCAAAACAAGTATTCGGCTCTAACATAATAATAGAAGGCACTGATCTGCGGAGATAAAATCATCCTTGTGGGGAGTATGCCGGCTTTTATTAGCGCTATATCCTCGCCAAAGGAGACTCTTAACACCTACATCCATCTATTATCGCATGTTTGTCCGTTATGGATTCCGAAGTTGCCCAACACAAGATCAAAGCGTTGATCGAACAAGGCCTGTTGACTCCCGATGCAGTCCTGAATACCCTCAGCGACAGAATCAAGCGCTTTGGGACCCTTAACCAAGAAAACGAACAGCCACATCTCGAGAGAACATATGATTCTCTTTCCATCGAAGAAAATGGCACAAAGACTATCGGCGAATCGACATTCCTTTCATTCCTCTAGAGCTCTGGGCTTCTTCCACCTACCATGACACATGCAGGAGTCCTTATCTACCGAAGCATTCTTTACCTTTCTCAAGCGCCATTCCGCTATTCGAACCCGAAATCGTTGACATTCGATAGCCTCATGCGAGCAATTGTATGGATGGACTTTGAGCGATCTCAAAACGTCTATGACGAGAGTGCGGATACTCGGTCCAGAACACCGGCTGACTCAAGGAGACTACTCTTCCAGAGATTTGCCACTACCCATGATGGTAATATCTTACTATTCAATGCTAAAGATGCGAGGAAGAAGGCCCAACGTAGAGCCTTTGAATTCCCTGGTACGATCAATGAAGCTCAACGCCAGAAATTTGCAAAAATCAACTTCGATGAAGATGGTGATGAGATGCTTCACGACGTCTTGGATGCTCTCTTTGTCGCTCAACCGACTCTGATCTGGATGGGTCCTATTACCAGGGATGCTTTTCGGCCGCTGGCAAAGGAGCTTCATGGAGGAGAGTCTCTTTATCATCTTAGCATTCCTCAAAAGGAGTTTCGAACGGCCGTGAAATTGCTCCTGTTTACTTATTTTGGGCCACCAACTATTCCAATTGAGCAGCTTTCCAATTTGGACCATGTCGTGAACTGCCTTGTCAGATCATTTGTTCAAATACCAGATGTTGGAATCACTTGGGACATGTTTGATCAGGCTGTTAGTAAGGCAACGGTATTTATATTTTTTTCACCTCAATCCATGCATAAATGTGTGCTAACTGAGTTAGCCGGAGCTATTTACTGGCCTTCATCATCTCCTATATCCCTTCTATCAACCCTCGGATGCACGGAATATCGCCGGCTGTCTTTCTCAGCAGGGGAAAGTAGCCTCCCTACCTGTCCTTGCTCAACTGGGCTCGATTTTCTCCTACCATGTCGCCTTTAAAGGCCTCAAGCTCCACGGATATTATGACACCTCGACTGCTCCCATCACAGCTTCTGCTCTCGCGGACCAAATTACTGCAATTGTGAATGATCCCGTGATTGTCTTGATTTCAGGTAAAATCACCCACACAGACGAAAGGGCCATCTTCGGTTACCACCGTCCCTTGTCTGACCTGGTCGCTCCATGTGTTCTATTTGAACTCAGCCCCATCCATGACGCGTTTAGTGGGAGTGACAGCAACCTGCTAGGAGGAAAGATTAATGGTGGTGATAACCTGGTCTGTGGGGAAAAGGATAATGGAGTGGCATTTGTCCTGCACAACAATCTTAGACACTTGAAGTGTCGCATAAAGTCTCTGGGCAGAATGAGCCCATGTACGGCGCAACTGAATGGCGAGGTGATTGGACGGCGAATTTAGAAGTAGAAGAGGTCGAGATATGGACTGAAGTTGAGCCATGATATTATCATTTATTATACGTTAGGTATGAATAATTACGCATCTGGACACAGTCACAGTAGGTCTACTTTGTAAGCGAAAACTGCCACGGACTACGGCCAAACGCATCAACTAAGTCTACTCTACTAGCCCTCCCAGAACGTCAACGAGCCCAACGGCCCACGACTGGCATCGTCAAAGGACTGCAGATCATACAGTTGGCGCTTTGTTCCTTCCTGGAACCAGATCTATTTTAACTGGCCGATGGTATTTCCAATCAGGCATAACAATGAAGTCTTGCAGCCTGTCGCGAGGATCGAAATGATGGTGTTGAGCGTCAAGCCTTGGGGGAAACTGGGCATCGCTTTCTGGTCGTATACCAGCAGTACGCAAAGTAAAGCAATAAAGCAGAGCGTGCTAAAACCAATTGAAATAATTTCCCAGAACCATGTATCCAGACTGAGAGTTTTCCATCTCAGACTCTTTTCTGCATCTGTGGTGATCCCTCGTATTTGCACGGGCGAATACCGGTAACTATGATTTAAATGAGAACAGTGGTGAGAGGAAGCCTTATTGATGGTTTGTGTTGATAATTTAAGGTGCAACAAGATTATATACTTTCGGTAGTTATTCTTGTATTATTACTCTGTACTACTCATTGCCCTATGACCCCTTTTAAGGCTGTGTGGGGTTAGGAACTGCCGGTCAGTTCCTCAGTCTGTTATTGGGCTGAGCGGACGAGAAGCCCTGTTTTCCACACCCTATATAGACTAGCCTGTTGATTAAGTGAAAATATATTGCTTCGTTTGGGATAAAGTTGAACCAAATGACGATGTCTAGTTTATAGAACCGAAGAATTGTAATGATTATTAGGACACTGTCTGGGACTAATCACGCCTCTAATGTTCCTCTGTATAGTGTTTGCAGAATCTAATTACATATGATGAATGTGCATCAGTATCATATAAATTCCAGTCCCGCCGACAGGTCGCCATACCGGGCGAAATACATGTCAGAGAAATAGTTCGTGCGAGAAACCCACGGTCTCTGTTCAGTCGCCTTGGGCAGTGACCCTTGAGCACGCGTCAAGTATGTCGATTTGAGATCTAGCAGTGGCCGGCTATTCATTTGGCCTGACTTTGACAAGACAGGCACAGCAGCCTTATGACCATTGCGCTCCAGATATTTCAACACCTTACATGTCAGGTACATACCCGCGTCGGCACCGAGTGTCCACGAAGCATTGACATACCCAAGCATTAGCACAGCATTGGGTAGGTCTTGCATCATCAGGCCATTCCATGCATATTTTTGTGATAGATCGAGCCTTTCCCCGTCGATGTAGATGGGAATGCCACCGCAGACTTGGAGTTTTAGTCCAGTGGCGGTCACGATCAAGTCGGCTTCTAGTCGTCGGCCGGACGTCAATTGGATTCCTTGTTCGTCGACTGTTTTTATTGTTTCAGTCTCAACGGTGGCTTTTCTCGACCCAAGGGCTTTGAAGAAGTCGCCGTCGGGACAGACACATAATCGTTGTTCCCAGGGGTTGTATCGGGGTTTGAAGTGTGGATTCAACGGCACACCCAGTGGAAGGTGTTTCAGCATACCTCTCTCAAGGAGAGACCTTGCTGTCTGCGGAAAGGTGCGGCACAACCTGAACAGCACCTGCGAAAAGACAAGGCGCCATATTCGGCGAAGGTAATACACGCATGACTGGGGCAAGAGCCGCGCCCACCATTTGTTCTGAACAGGATTGGGAACAGCGACCATGTATGTCGGGCTGCGCTGGAGCATTGTCACGGATTCTGCTCTTTCAGCCAGCTTGGGGACCAAAGTTATGGCTGTAGCCCCGCTTCCAATCACTGTGATTTTCTTGTCTGTGTAGTCAAAGTCCTCAGGCCAGAATTGCGGGTGGATGACCTGCCCCTGGAAGTTTTCGAGGCCGGGAATCTCAGTCGCAAGGGGTTGTTGGTAATCATAGTAACCAGTTGCAAAGATGAGGAAGCAAGTGCTGAAATGAAGATTTTTCTCCTTAGTTTGGACCTCGACAGCCCACGAGTGTTGATTCCATTCCAGGGAGAGAACGCGGTGGTTGAAAAGAATCCGATCCTTGAGGCGATGGCTGGTTATCGCGTCGTCGAGATACTCCAAAATATCTCCACCCTCGGCAATAGGATTCGACCGATTCCATTTGTGCCAGGTGAATCCGAATGTATAGAGGTCCGAGTCGGATCGAATGCCAGGATATCGGAAGAGGTCCCAGGTACCGCCAATGTTGTCTCGAGCCTCTAGGATAGCAAAACGGCATCGTGGGAGCTCGGTTTGTAAATGATATGCGGCATTGATACCAGAGATACCTGACCCAATGATGAGGACGTCAAATGGTGTCGCTGCCGCGTCGGCCGTGTGAATCTTGCTCATTGTCGGGAAGACACGAGAATATCAGTTGCAATTGTCCACAGCATCCAATGTGAGGAGCGTGGTGACTATTTATGACTTTCGTCCCCTGAGCCGATACTTTGCGTTGTAGTTCCACTCCATTGCACCCATGTTCCCAAGGTATTGCCGGGCAATAGACAATTTCCTAGTCCCATCATCTCACAAGATCTATCAGGCCGATGGATTTGAGGCTATGCGGCGATCATCGCAAGGTGGTTGGCCTCGCGGAGCCTTTTTACTCAAACAGGCTAAAGCCCACAGACACTACCCCTGTAGACTGATGACAAATTCGGTGGAGAAACCGAGAATCAATGATAATGACGAGCCGGTGGTGCCTTTTTTCCTAATATGGACAAAACCCTCCGCTGCGAACTGTTATCCGCATACCCCGCACTAGGTACCTTTTCGCAAACAACCCCCCCCCACGGAGAAGCCAGTGCGAGCGTCCGTAGACCGTGGCATAGTGGCTCAAATTAGTCCATGGATGTTAAGGCTTTCAACTATAAAAAGGTGTTCCGACGTCAACAAGAAGAGGGAAGCTAGAGTGTGTACTAGGCGGCAAATTTAACCACGAAACCACCATGTCAGCACAAGATTTATCACAGTTGGCGCTGGACACAGCACATTCAGTGCTCGCGAAGCTTCCCCCATCTGTACAGCGAGCACTGTTGGACTCGTACGTCCAAAAAGCTCTGGGGGCGTTGGTGGCGCTACAACTCGTCAAAGGTTTGAATAGCTATCTTTCAAAGCGATCACAGAACAACGGACAGAGAATCAGCAAATGGAGTCCACAAAAGGAGCTGGTCGTCCTCACTGGAGGATGCAGCGGCATTGGAAAACAAATCATGGAGGATCTATCTCGGATGAACGTCAAAACAATCATCCTGGATCTGAACGAACCAAACTTCTCGCTACGTGAGTTGCCTATGTGCCGTGGCCTGTGATGGAAAGCTGATGGTCTGAAAAGCTCCAAATGTCTTCTTCTATGCCGCCGATGTCACATCCCGCGCGGTCGTAAGGGATGTGGCAGGACAAATCAGAAAAGACCACGGCTATCCTACCATCCTGATCAACAATGCAGGCGTCGGGTTTCCAGGAACCATATTAGACGAGCCGGATGAAAAGATCCGCTTGACAATGGAAGTGAACACTTTATCGCACTTCTGGACCGTCAAAGAGTTTTTGCCAAGCATGATCCAACGGGATCATGGTCACATCATCACGTTGGCTAGTATGGCCAGTTTCGTCAGCTTTGGAGAGACAGTGGACTATGCATGCTCCAAAGCGTCGGCTTTGGCCTTTCATGAGGGCCTGACCCAGGAGATAAGGCACTGGTACGGCTCGAAGAAAGTCCGAACAAGGTGAATTACTGAGTGTACCCTGGACGAGTATCCCATCCAAGCTAACAGGTCATGTCTTCGAGTGTCATCCATCCCTCGTGGGTCCGTACTCCGATGATTGATGCTATCCTGAAGGCCGGAAAACATTGGACTCAACCAGTTATGGGACCCGAGGAAGTTTCATCTGCCGTCACCAAACAACTCGTCTCAGGAAACGGAGGGCAAATTGTGTTGCCCAGATCCCATGGTTTAGCATCTTTAGTGAGAGGGTTACCGAACTGGCTCCAAGAAAGGGTACGCGATAATGCCTCCAAGCATTTTGTCAAGCTTCGGCAACTTGAGAAGGAAATTGGCCTATGAGTAGTTGGTGTGGAATTGGTGGGTTCCAGCGGCATATAAACCGTGGTGAAACAAGACCACCGTCTGAGTTTGGGCATGAGTGACATCCAGCCTGTCGACTTCCAGCCATAAGTTCTATGTATGTACACTCCCAAAGGCCATGATAGCGCAGATAGCCATTGGCTTTATGTTCATCTTTTATTCGATATGGACACGTATCGGGTATCTTTTGTTAAGTCGGTTCTGAAGGTACAGGTAGGGAGGAGGTGGGCCATTCAGAGGGCTCGGCTGACGTTGAAAAATTGTGCATTTAGCAATAGGATCAAGCCACGATCGGTCATGGCAGGGGCACAAATTTGGGACCATTGTCAATCAGGTCAAACAGAAATCCGTTAAACCCAGATTGTTTCCGCTCCCAGAAATATTGATGGAAAGTGAGGAGGGTATCAAGACATGCCGGACGTACTCGAAGCCTAGTGGAGCTTTTCCATATTTCTAAAGGAGAACATGGAACTTCCAATAAGGCCAGGAATAACGGCAGCACAACATTCTGGAGAGTGGCTTCGTTTCCTTGAGCGGCAAAGAAGGTGCTTCTCTCGGCAAGAATGTCGCTCGCAAGCAACACAGCAGTGTCATCATGGCATGTTAACGGATGGCGCAGGCGATGGATTAGGAGTAGGCTTGCGGTTCGATACATGATCGCCTGGGTTCGTATTGAGGCGACCTCTATGGCGCTAAAACCTCTTGATTGGAGACATCCGTAGTCTGGAGTCCACTGGCGCACTCTTTCTTCTATATTATTTAGCTGATTGACTTGTTTTGGGTCACCACGCAAGGTATGACCGATGACGCACAGATCGTAGAGGATCGGTAAGACTGATGGACAGAGACCGGCCAAACGGTCAATCACTGATGGATCACGCGCGCCCGGCTGAATGATGGGTATTTCCCGATAGACCAGACAGCAGGCTATGTCCCAGAAGATTGGGCTGATTGTTACGGGGTCAAAGAATTGAACTTGCTCGAAACTTGAGTACCACGGTTTCATCAGCGACAAGGAATATCGGAGAATGGACGTGGCGCCCGTGGAGGTGAGAAAAGCATCAAATGCCGCCAACGCCTGGCCCAGCATGAGAATAGCCAAGGCATCCTGAGTATGGGTGACCTCGGCAGTGCGGAGCTTCTGGAGGGATCGGGCACCCCGTTCAATGTCTACTCTTTCGGAGGTGGTTCGGTTGAAGCGTGCCCAATCGATAAAGGTATCCATGGCAATGAAAATTTCGTGCAAAAGCCAGGGAGAATTCCGATGGCAATAGTGTATCACTCGGTGGAAGTCTCTTGCAAAGGTCGATCCAAACATCCAAATATCTAATGCTGCATAGAAGCTTTCATCATCGATGCCATGAGACGCTCCCGAAGTGCCTGATGGTATCATTTCAGCAAGACCGGATTGCTGGGCCGATGGGGAGCAGTGTGGAGATGACTGTGCTAAGTGAGCTTTCTCAAAGCCCCGGTTGGCGTCCCAGATATCAAAGACACCCTCAATAGTGTTCGAGCGCCCGAGGCTTGGGGGTCGTCCAACCCGCCCTTGGCGTCGTGTTCTGGTGCATTGGAGGGACGACCGCTGGCAGAGGAGGCACTGAGAAGAACTGGAAACTATTTGGCATTTTCTCTTCCTCTTGAAACATTCATCACAAGCAGTTAATGAAGACATGATGGTATTGTTGAGTAGAGACAAATGACAATGGGGAAGAAAAATGAGAGGTGGCGGGAAATCACATGCTCATTTTGCTATCAATATATCGTCTTGGCCAGTCCTTCGCACGCTGGGAACAAAATACTTCTTACAATTATTAAGTATACTCTGGGCTTATCAGTCCCTAAAAATATTCTTTTGCGACTGGAATGAGCAACACCCGCGGCTCCGCCCTTATGCCGTCCTTACTCCTTACAAGAGGAAGAGTCGAGATAGATAGGTTTCTTGTTAGTCTGCTCACTTTGGCATAAAACCTTGTCTTTGCCAGACTAGCTCTGCAAGGTGCTCGAGCTCCACCTTGTAAATTCTGAAATCTTTCTCGAACCACTCTTCTGGGGAACGTCCGACAATCTTGAACGGCAAGACTAGATCTGTGGTGAGAAAGGATTCCTCATCATCGAACCTGTTATGGCAAGAGTCAGGATACTGTTCACCAACAACGACCGTCTCGCCATTCAAACGAGAGGGTTCGATGGCAACAGCCCTCCGCGTGGGGGGTGATTGTGCCATTGTTGTCCCAAGTTCCCATAGAGTGATTAAAACTCTGGCCTCATCCCTGTTGATATCGATTGTAACGACCATTTGAATAGAGGACCCAGGTGTATCTAGCCAGCCCTTTGCAGTGCTAGCCAGTTTCTCAGAAGACTCTGATAGCCCAACTTTTAGAACAAGGCTGGGATTCTTCCCCGCCGGGCTCCAACAGCAATCTGCCACCCTGTACCAGTCACCAATCGAAATAGTTGGTGTGATCAGTGTATCCATCTCCCACCTCAGGCCCATCAGAGATATCTGCGTTCCGATGCTACCCCAGAAAGTTTTAAATGCAAAATGTTGGTCTATTCCTGGGAATATTTTAACAATTAATATGCCTGTCTTCCGGTGATAAGACAAAGAGAACAGGCAGTTTAATTACTTCATCAGCCAGCCAAGAAAATTCAGCCTCTAGAACAAATTTCACGACCAGGAACTGTTCTCGAGTCTTGTCAGCATGTAGAGCCTGCTTTTGAGTTTTGAGAGGCTGGAGGAAGGCTGTATGATCGGTAAGTGTATGCTGCATGCTTGTTTTGCTCATTATCTGCTCGAAGGAATCTTCAAAGGGTTCGATGCCCTGAGTCTCGAGCTCAGGATTCTTAAGAGTTGAGACCATGATTTGATGTTGAGAATCTGCGGTAGTAGAGTCTCTTATGGTGGAGATTTCGGATTATGCTTGGATAACTACTGAAGCCTACAGGGGTATTACGTTCCAGTTGATATGTGACGTGTATGTCATTTAAAAAAAAAAAAAATAAATAAATAAATAAAATAAAATAAAAATAGCTGCCTGGCCCATGATGCTCTTCTCTCTGTCCCTACAACCAACTCTCCCATTTTCATACTCCTGCCAACATGGGTCACGATAAGGGACATTTCTATTGATCGCTGGTAAGTATACACCTTGTATGAACCAGGAATGATTCCTATCAACATCAAGCTGATCCCAGCCACAGGTTCATAAAAAAGTAAAAAACGATTTCCCAGCTTTTAAAATTCTTGGTGCTTGCTATAAGGTGGTGGACATGGCAAGATTGGCAGGATCTGTGACGACTCAACGACCAGGCAAACAGTGCCAACATGCCAAAAGATGCCATACAAGCAATATGGACAAACAAGGGCTCAAGCCGTATCGCACAAAGGTTTATAGAGACTGTACTCGCCAGATAGATTTCCTCTCCTTTTTTCCTCCCCAGATTCGATATTCTCGTTGATGGCTACAATAGTCAAGATAGGAATTCAGTTCGTTATTATCTTCTATTCCGAGCCCGTGACAGGATCTGTATCACTGAAAGCTGCACTTGCTGGAATTGAAGCCCAAGATTCCTTTCATAAATATGTTTCCAAGCTATCGTGTTCCGAATTTAATTGCAACAGTATTATATACCCATTTACTGATTCTTTAAGTACAACTATACGAGTATACACCTTCATCAACTCTGCTCTAGAGATTGCATACACTCTGCCCCCCTCTGTTTATCATCCACACTTCGACATTTCAGCTCCAACTTGACATTGGAAAGATGCTCCGTGAGTCCAAGTGAAGGGGTGCAAGGTGCCGGCATCAGCCATGATGGTGATATTCCCTTTTTTTCGATACTTCAATCAGTCTATTGGGTCATCATGACTCCGCTACAACCCGCTTCAGACATATCTCCAGTCCCTGAGCGCCGGACGATAAACCTGCCCCATCATCATGTTGATCAAAGTACAGCCTCCAAGTCCCTCTTCCATCATCGGCATCCAATTGCGCTTCCAGCTCCTCCTGTTGCTCATCATCGGGCAAACGTACAGCCAGCCAACCTTCCCATCCTTCAAGTGTGACCCGCTGCTCATCCTTTGTCCAGTCAAACGGCCCACAGACGTGGCCCTCGCTGTCTGGTCGGCTACCCCAGCGCATTTCATGTGTGTCGGCGTCAAGGAATACCCATCGTAGGGTTGGTGGGTTCTCCCCGGTCACGGTGACCATCCCTGATGTGTTATCAGGGGCGAAGGCTGGATGGGTGTGGAAACCGCCGTTGAAGGGAACCATTGATGATTTGGGATGTTTGGTGATGTATAGCTGATTCGTTAGTCTCTTCCATGGGATGTGGTCTGGTAATTTGCTGGGGACATACTTTACCATCTAACCCCACGTACACTTTAGCATTGTGGACTTGTTCCCGCTGCCGCTGGTTCCCTTGATCAAGACTGCAGGTCGCCACAAGATGACATCGTTCTTTCCGAGAAGAATCGCGGCGACTTTCTTCGCGATCGCGAGTGCCTGAGGTTGCTTCGTTTAGGCCAATCATGGTCGGCAGCATTGCCGACATCATAGCGATTCCCAACACCATGGTCGGGGCGCTGAGACACGTAGGCTTTGGCGTAGTTGATGGTGTACAACGTATACAGCTTAGCTATACTCGCCGGTGGGCGTGCATGGTGTCGGGCACGTCAGATCCATTTGATAGGTAAATAAGTTTCCACTGTCAAAATAAGATTTTCAATTATTTAGGGTAGCAGATATGACGAGGTTGCTATATCAGAGTGTTTGACCTTCCGCATGCGTGCTCTCCATGAAGTAACAGAATACTACCTCTGCAATTTGTGCGCTTTTAAAAATGCTATTAAATACTTAACAGTCGACTATAAGAGAATTTTTATTAACTATCAAGTTCTCGATTGCATCCCGTCTCGAATAAATCCTGTATTATACCAAGATGGCCGATCCCGTGTATTGTCCCCCAAACACATCCGTCCCCACAACTTACCAACCGCTTGACCTAACCACCTTTCTCCAAATCTAGCCAAGCAACCACCGATACCCTCCCCAGAGGCAACCGCAAGGGCAGCCGTTCCGACGAGGAATCCAACAAGGACAAGGACAGCGGCAACGGCGACAAGAAGCTAGTACCAACGAGCGGGCTTGAGAAACCGGGCGAGACAAAAGAGGATAATGAGAAGGAAAGCTTGAAAATAAAGATCCATTTGAATCTGCATGCGAAGGTGAAGTTGGATTTGGATGCGCAGTTGTATGGTGATATTGTTATTGGGCTGCTGTAGGAGGCACGCCAGATCTTTGAGCAAAGCATATTCCATTGACCCTCTATAAATACGAGTCACAGATCACCAACGAGGATGAATCCTTGTCTCATCCATACATGCTTAGCGTATTGCTCCAAGTCCTCTGTGGTATATACAAAGTCGCTTTCCTGCGCATTCGCAGGCTCACACAAGAAGATATCACGAAATTGGATAGCAAACGGCGCCCCAGTAACTTGATACTCTCCCTCTTCGCTCAACGTTATAGTCACCATCTGAGATTTGATTGGGGTAGGCCTTCGCACACCATCATTACCATCACCCTGATTCCCCCCATCCTACCCAGTAGCCCTCCATTTCTCAAGCACAAGCTCCGGTTTTGTACGGTTGAAACCAAGCACGACAGCTGTCTTAATACCCCCCTTCGACGCAGGAATCCACCACGCAGCCCCAGCACGCATCCGCTCAATAAAATCCATATACCCTTTCTCAATAACAAACGAAGGCAATCTCCTCTGACGCCCTGGAATATTTCTATTAATCGGCTCATACGAATCATCTGCCTCCTTGCTAAACCTCTTCCCACCACATACAAATCCCAAGTCGTCCGCCCCGTCGTCATAAGCTCACCATAAAGCCCTAACCCCAATCCCGTCCCGCCCTGTGTCTCAACCATCTTCATTATTATAGTCTGCGTGAATATAGACTTTGCAAACTCCTGTTCGATATCTGGTGGCTTCTTCGCAACCATCACCCGCGCAGATTCATCGTAGAACATCCGGATCTGGAGCATGTCGTATAAGCGTGGGTTCTCGTAAATTCTTTTGACGAACTCGGGTGGGCAATTTTTCATGATGATGTAGGGGTTGTCATCGGGTTCGTCGATGTTGCGGTAGACTTCGCGAATGAAGAGTTGTGCTATGCTGTGGTGGTCGGAGGGGAGGGTGAATTCGGGGGTGCCTTCGGGGAGGCCATTTCTTATGTCTGGGAAGGGCATTTTGTTTGCAGAACCGTTCATTTCTTATGCCTTATGCTGTAGTCTAAGTGGGATGGTGGTGAAGTAGTGCTGCTGCCCAAGTCATACTTTCACTATGACATACATCATGAATCTCTATCTCCGCTGCCCTAATACCAATACCAAGTTAGACAATGATGAATAGTCATAAAAATAAAGGTATTATAGTCGTTCAGCCAGTCCAACGATATGCAGGAGTACACAATACAAGCCCATGTTTCACAGAATAAAGATGCATAAACCGATAATCCAACGGTGATACAACATCCGAGGACGATGCAGATTGGGCTGCACACCGACAGGATACAGCCATGTTAATTACTTACGTTTCCTGAGAATGTAAGCTTTAAATGTTGTTAATGGATGTGCATGGAGGGTTTATCATATGTTTTTTTGCATCAGTGCTTGACATTGATTCGCAATGGCTACATGACGTATTAAATAGGGTCCAAAGTAGGACGCAGCAATTTATGAGACACTTATTGTAGGTCAAAATACAGGGAAGCAAGTAAAATAAAGAAAAGATATTGGTATCATGTCTTTTTGTTGACCGTGGGCTACGATGTAGGTAACGTAGAGATCCAACAGCAACAATTATTCGACTGTGAGAAAGTCTCCTGAAATGTAGCAAAAGAGTATAGTGCACTTATTTTGTCTATCTTCATAAGTTAGAAAATACATGGCCGTGAAGTCTTCCCCAGATTAGGGTCAGTACTCCAGAGTATAAGGCGGACCCACATTTAGACATCAAACATCAGACAGCCGTTGATCACCTCCAAAATGCTTCTGTCTATCTGATAGAACTTATATACGGGTAAATTAGCAAATTATTCCAAGTATGAGTAAAAATTTGCTAGGTGTTAATTCTGATTTTCTCACCCCGAGAAATCTGCTAATTTTTTATATTCCAGCACAACGTATTTAAGCAGAGTGAGTATACAACAACTTCATGTCTCACTATCATCTCCATATCCTTTACTTGGTATATTAGCGATAAATGAGTACTAACACTTGGCTCGCTATCTTAGATCCCCTGAGCTTTTTCCATTCAACCGACCAAGATGCCTTGAACAACCAGGACATCAAGACGAGCGGCCCAGCATCAAGAACTGCAGTAGCAGCAGCAACAACAAAAACAAGAGCGAAGACCGCAGCAAAGACCGCAGCGAAAAACATCACCGGCAAGATCTGTCCGGTCTCTTTTGGCGATGCCTTGTCGTCTGTCTCCCGGCTCAAGCAGTCGTGTTGTCTATGTTCTGTGTCGTTGATATTGAACCGCGCATGTACTTGTGCGCGATGCCAGTACCTAGAGAACCAGAATGGCTTCTGTTTATCTCCTGCTCTACTCCATAGACGACAGCACCAGATTGTTCAGGTGAAATATGCAAGGGGTCAATCCCTACATAGTACGTGTCACTATATAAACAGCCCGACACCTCTACAAATCCCATCCCAGCCAAAAATGCACCGAGAGTGCGTCAGCCACGAAACAAACGACACGATGGCTGTCACCATCAACGTCACCGGTACCTCTACAATCTACCACCACCCAGACCAAGCCGTGTTGTCCGTCCACATCCAATCCGACGGCCCCTCGCGCAACCTGGTGTCCAGTTATGTAACCACCCGATCAAACCTCCTCCAGCGTCATCTGCGAGACTTCGCACCCCGCAATTCCTCCGGACAAATACCCATGGAAGCGCCCGTGTCGAACATCGCGATCGGATCCGAGCGCAGTTGGTCGACAGTCCCGCGCGACCGCAACGGTCACCCGCTGGACCGGGTCTACCACGCCTCTACGGACGTGGAAATCACATTCCGCAATTTCACAAAGTTGGGAAAGATCGCGAAGCGACTAATCACGGAGGAGGATGTCGAGGTCTCAAAAATTGTCTGGCAGTTGACCAAGGATACTAGAGAGGTGTTGGGGGTGGAATCGCGGAAACAAGCAATGAAAGATGCGATTCGTCGGGCGCAGGACTATGCCACTGTCATTGGGAAGGAAGTCGAGCCGATGCTGATCACGGACCGCGAGTCAAAATCGACTATTGGGACGGCCAAGTGCATGGTTGTGAATGCGAAGATAGGGGTTGGGGAAGAAGATTCGCTGGATTTGGCGCCGCCGGATATCGAATTCCACTGCTCGGTTGAGGTGCAGTTTCGAAGTGCTGCGAGTAGGAAATGTGATTGATTGTTGCTTGTTGATTGTGATACTTTGCATTGAAAAAGCAATAAAGGGGATGTACTTGTAGTTACTTGTGATACTAGATTCGTCAGCTCTTGTTCCATCCAACTAACACTTCTGCTGAACCCTGAAATGTTCCTTGCAGAGCGGATGCACCGCAAATCCGTCAATCGGTAGATCGCAGTATAAATGCGCAGGAGTTATCAGAGCGTATCAGAGCTATGCACCCTCCTTACTGCTCTCCCACGTTGATCTGCGCTGGACGCGTTGTCCGTGGGTCTGGCAGTCGATCCGGGAATCTATTTTCCAGGTTTGATATGAACAGGAGCAGTGAATTGGTCCCCCGTAGTTGCGCCGGGAGACTCCCGGGAGAAATTTTCACTGTGGACCGAAAGCGTCGTTGGCTACCGTCTTCCGTTCAAAGCACGCTAACTATCAAAGTCGGTCTGGATGATTAAGAAAAATCTCTTCCCAGGCCCATAAAAGTTCTTCTTTCTCTGGTCTCGCTGGGCCTGTTTCCTTCTTTTGATCCAACAACTTTTTTTCCTAAATATATTCGGCCATGAAAAACCCCGTCGAAATCTCCGCGCGTCCCGTCGGCGATGCTTCGACCATCCCCGAACCGGCGCCGGCCCGATTAAGTCGTCCCGGATCGGCTTCGGGTCAATCCTCCTCCTCCACCCAAGTTGCGACGCCGCCTCTTGTCCCGAATAACCCTATCGAGTTGGCCGATGGTCCCACAACGGCGACCGAATATCCCGATGTGGGCAAGCTTGCCTCGTGGAGAGGCGCGATAATCATGCTGGTGACTGGTGGCTCGCAGTTCTTGGACAATGTGTTTATGACCAGTGCCAATATCGCCCTACCGTCGATCCAAAAGGAGTTTAATGTCAACAGTGGGAACCTGCAGTGGATGATCTCCGCTTACACTCTGACGTTTGGTGGGTTCTTGTTGTTGTCGGGGGTTTTGTCGGATCGGTAGGCCCACTCACCCTACTGTGCTATGGAGATGAATACTGATGGGTTTTAGATATGGCCGGAAAAACCTTCTCTGCATTGGATTGGTGTGGCTTTCTGCCTGGTCTATTGCCATTGGTTTCGGAAATTCGTTCATTGAAGTCGCTGTGTTCCGTGGTCTTCAAGGCATGGGCGCTGCCATGACCGTCCCGTCCGCCATTGGTATTATCAGCTCTTACTTCGTTGGTCCTGACCGCACGCGCGCACTGTCTATCTACGGTGCTTCCGGTGCAGTAGGCTTCTGTGCAGGCCTGATCTTCGGTGGTTTCCTCTCCTCGTCCCTTGGCTGGAAATACATTTTCCGTCTCGTGGTTATCCTCACCGCGTTTCTAGCCGTGACTGGTTGGTTTGTGCTCCCTAAGGACCGCTTGGAGGGCACCACCCGGGCTAGGTTGGATTATGCTGGTGCGGCACTGTCGACGGCTGGTTTGATTCTGTTGTCGTTTGTGCTTTCTAGTGGTGGTGTGTATGGCTGGAGCAAGCCGTTCATCATTGCCTTGTTGATTGTCTCGTGCTGTATCCTGGTGGTTTTCACCCTGTTGGAGAAGTACGTGAAGAATCCGATCATGCCGCTTTCTTTGTGGAAGATTAGCAACTTTGCAGGATTATGGGTTGCTGGTTTCAGTGAGTGTCTCTACTCTCGATCTCGGATTCCATGCTAACCATACCAGCTGTCTATGGAAGCTACCAAACCGTTATCTACTACCTCGTCCTTATGGCACAAGAAGTCGACGAGCTGTCTGCTGGCGAGACGGCGATTCGTTTTCTGCCTATGGGAGCCGGTGGCTTCATTGTATCTTTGGTCTGTGGACGGGCCATCGAGGTGGTCAACGGCAAATTCTTGTTGCTTATGGGAATGGCTCTGTCGGTGCTGGCGCCGGTTCCAAGCTGTCTGACTGCTCAGGATTTGAACTTGTATGTTCTTTTCTCTTGTCATTATTGATACATGTTGTACTGACAACTATAGCTGGACAAACGTCCTCCCTACATCCCTTATCAGTGTCACCGGTGTGTCCATCGCGTACATCACAGCCAGCACTACCATGTTGGCCAGTGTGCCGGTAAACGTCAAGAGCCTTTGCGGCGGAATGGTACGTTCCTTTCCCAATTTCCACTGAAAAAAGTATACTAACGAAGAATAGATCAACACAGCGTTCCAAATCGGCAGTGGCGTCGCCCTCGCCGTCTCCTCGGCCGTGACTCAGTCCGTCGACGTCAACAAGGGCCATTCCCTAGCGCAGCAGTACCAAACAGGACTGTGGTGCTCTGCTGGCTTGGCGGGTGTCGGTCTCTTGTTCTCGATTGTTGGTATCAGGCGGAAGGGGTTGGATCTTTCGGAGTCGAACAAGGAGGAACCCGTTGCGTTGCCACATTAATTGGGTTATTCTATTATAATACGACTTGGTTACTTCGGTTTCTTTATGATTGAACCTCTCTGTACATCATTAGATGTTACGATAGATTATGGCAAAATAGATGTGTTCTCTAATACAGCACTGTAATCACAATCACGTGATTCTCTGTCCCAAAGAAGTCTAGACCCTCGGTAAAACGACACTAACCCACTAGCGTGCACGGACCTATTCTCTCAACATATAAATACCTCTCATCCCCCGCCGCTCTTTCAAATTTTTTTCTTTTCTTCTCCAGCTCTCTTTGCCTTTTGGCTTAGATCAAGTGTAGTATCTGTTCTTTTCAGTTTAATCTCTGAAAGTGTTCTAAGGAACACAACATTGATTAATCTTATTTTTGGTCTCCGTGGCTGGGCCTCTGTGCTTGCGCATGTCTGGCTACACAGTGTCATCGGGCTTACACTATCCCCGATAGACGCGAACCCCCTTTTCATCAATACGGTCGGCTTGTCTGACTGGTTGGAGAAGAGGTTTTTTAAAGTAGACTAGTTCAAAATAAAACGACTTGTTTTCTTGTGCTTTTGGTGTTTTACCTTTGTCCTTGTACTCGTAAAATAGTTGCTCATGTGGCGAACAGTCATTCGATGATCAGGTCCTGCCAAGGTCCCTTTTTTGGTCCAAATTCTAGTATTGCCGTACGGAGTAGAGCTATATGTCGGCAGTCACCAGGCAGGTTGACAGCATAATCCTATGATTCTTGCTTGAAGAGAGCGAGACTCGACAGAAACCGAAGAAAGTCCTTTGTCTACATAACTACCGAGGACCCTGACCCTGGCTAACCAAGCACATTCACAGTCAACCACGGTACAAGCTCTTCCTCACGTGGGATTGACAGCCAGATAGATCTGCACACCAGGATTTTCGTGGGATCCTTATGCCCGGGTATCCGGTGGTTACAGAGTAATCCGTATGCATTGCTTTCGGGAAGCTTGGAATTTGGCTGGCATCACATCGGTCTACGGAGTAGGCAGCCTACATGCAACGTGAACACTATCCCTCCATATTGACTTCTCTCGATTTGTTCCCGCCGTATTCCTTGCTTCGGTTCCGGTTCATGGGGTGTACGTGGATTCCCGAATGACTGAACTCTTCCGACAAACTTAGCACCGACTTTGCCCGTGTTTATCTCAACTTTCCGTGATTAAATTCCACGTGCTCGAGACTCAAGCTCGGGATCTTCTCAGTTCCGGACCGGAATATGCAGTGTGTACCTTGTAGCTACTCAGAGAACAATGTTTTTTTTGCCTAAGCTAAGACAACACGGTTAGGTTATAGGTCGGCTCGAGCAAGTCCTCGGAGAATACGGGTACCTGATTGATAAGATCCCATTTCGGTACGAGGCATTTACAGCTGTCCAACAGGAACAGTAGGATTCACTCACGGACTATTTCACGCAAATATTATTTCCCGCGAACATTTTGACATACATTTTATTGATTCCATGTAATCTTGACATCTGACAAGTGTAGCCATCCCCAGCATATCCAAACATCCCTAGCTAGCTACCTCCTATGACGTCCAGGTGCATATCACGCCTCGTAGCGAGCCTCGTGTCGAATCTTGTTCTAAGGCTGACCAGAAACCGGGCACGTGAAGGGGATTCTCACTACTGTGACGGCCAAGAAACAGCATCGTCCAATATGAGTCATCTTCAAAATCAGATCAGCGGGTGCTGATAGTCCATGCCAAGAATAGCCTACTCTTGACTATAAGCAGATCATTCCATTAGCCGAGATAATAGAGTTACTCCTCTTGGTTGTTTTGCTTGGGAATAACTTACTTAGTCAAGCATTTGGACGCTGACGCAGACTTCGAGTACGGGATTCCCCCGGACCTTCCTGAAAGGGCAGGGTTTGGTAGGCCCCACCCCCGCATTTAGCGTTATGACCAACAAGCTCATGCCAAGAACCCCCGCGGGGTCCACTTGTAGTTGCGAACCCTGGTCTTGGGATTTCTGCTTCGGGGTTCCCTGCTCGGATGGTGACCTCCACACGAGACGAGGCATATCATCGGCTATGTATATTGCAGGGGTCCCCTCGTCTTGTCTTTGTTCCTTGTCACAGACCTCTTTTGTATTTTTTCTGAGGCCTCTATTCTATTAGACGGGGTTCACCATATTGCAAGAACTCCGAAATATTAACTCTTACAACGCCTGGGTCGTGGTCTTTGTAGCCGTCGGCACCATCGCCAGTGCCTATGGACTGGCTATCATCGGTTCGGCCGTTGGAGAGCCCGGTTTCTACGATTACTTCGGTCTCGCCGCCGAAGGAGAGCCGGGATATGACCATACCACCACCATGGTCGGCGCCTTGAATGGCGTCAACTCAGCCGGCAACATCGCGGGAGCAATTCTCCAAGCCTGGACAGCAGACCTCTTCGGATGCAAACGAACTATCCAGCTTGGATCTGTGGTCTTGGTTATTGGCGCTACCGAAGCAACTTCATATGCATATCGCTCCCACAAAGCGACCCTTCTGGCGCAACCATTTATCCATATGATCAAAACACGTCTTCACCGTATCCCCATACTGCCCCGAATACGACTCACACTCAGTACAAACGTTAATAGTATGCGACGCACCCTCCACAAACGCAATCGACTTATCATCACTGTCCGAGTTGAGATAGATCTTCTCCGCATTGAGATACTCCCAGTGACCCGTCATACCCATAGCAAGGATCGGGACGCTGACACCCGCCACAGAAGAAATTGGTGCCGTCTGGCTAGAGTTCCACTCGATACCCTCAAGTCTGTCGGGGAGGTACTCGAAGTTGTCGTTAACACGGATGGCCAGTGTTTCCAGGAAGCGGTTAATGGAAGACTTGATGGCGCCGTCGTAGAACTTGGATGCAAAAGAGCCGATAGCCGTGGGAACACGGACAGAATGCACAACCTGGGTGCTATTGGTACCGCCCTTGTGGAGAAGAGGCCAGGCGTGTGTGGTGTGTGCGAGGAAGCGGGTATCCTCAGCGAAGAACTTGTTGTTCATACCGACGTAGTTGGCATCGGGGATAGTAAGCGGCTCGTCGTCAGCGTAGAGGCCGTTTCCAGCTGCGATGGCCTTGCTGCAGTTCAGCGCGTGGTCGATGATACGGTTCCAGCGGGCGATGACGCCAGTCTGGTAGGACTTTCTGAAGGAGGTGGAGTAGTTGGCGCCGTTCGACGTGTAGCCGTTGGCCGGGTTGTACAGGTCCAGCGAGGCGTTGATATTCAGACCGCTGTCCTCGTCCGTGATGGCCGGGTTGACACTGAGGAAGGTCATCGTCGACAGACCGTAGTTGGCGTCGACGGAGATGAAGCCGTCTGCAGCGGGGAGGTTGGCCAGGTCGTCTGAGCAGGGGTAGAGCTTCTCAGGGCCATTGCATGCCGAGACGCCATTCTCTGCAATGTTCTGATAAGCTCACAGCATGGCACCACCACCGCTATGGCCAAGAACAATCACCTTGTCGATGTAGGTCTGGTTGCGTAGGTAGGAAATGCCGCTGCCGGTGTTCTGCAACATGTCTTCGAAGGCCAGGTCCGTCATCTTCCCGGACTTGCTGGCGTTGTTGTTGGCACAGAGGAACCGTGTAGCCGCGCTTGTACAGCTCCGTACAGGCGACGAAGTTGAGGTAGTCTTGCTCGGTGTGCATGACGAAGACGGCAACGTTCGCCCTTGGGCCTGGGTTGGATGGATGGTACAGACCCCCGATAACGCCATTGCCCAGGTCGAGGAGTCTTGCAGGTAGAGTTTCGTTGGCGGCGAATGCTGAGCCCAGCAGGGCCAGACCGGTCAGCAGGCTCTTGAAGACCATCTTGACTGGAAGAACGAATGAAGAGATGTGAAGACCTGTCTCTACTTGGCTTACTCTGGGGCTTGTAGCTTTATAGTTTCAACCGGTTGACCTTATATCCGAGCTGAATAATCCGGGGCAAAAGTCATTGCCTGATGCTGCATCAACTAAATGTCTAAGTGGAGATTCCTCGCTATCAAGACTTTCTACGGCGATATCCCGGTCCGACTCCGGGCATCACAGCCACTGGCATTGAGTCCATTCGGGCCCTGACAGTAGCGGCCGCATAACCTGATCATCGCAATTTTGAAGCAACGTTGAATTAACGTGAAGAAACTGGTATGGAAACTCGGTGATAAGATCAAGGTACGTCGTCAACATCACGCTCTGCCCAAATGGTAATTACCCCCGAAGCCTATACTTTGTTTTGCCCCCGATGTTTATCCGGCCTGATTGAGATTGATTGAGACGTTTCGAGAATTGGTGAAGATTCAGGGATCATCAGGGGTGCTCGGAGATAGTCTTCGGGATTCTTATCAATCAGAATGACTCGATGAACCTGGGCCTGCGGTGTTTCTTACTAGCGGTGAGCAGTATAATGTAATGTTGTCTTTGATTCTAAGTGCAAATCTATGTTTTTCGTGAAAAATCAACAGAGCAGCTCCTTATAGACAGGAAGCAGTACCAAGGGAAAGCCATATCTATTCTATCAACTCTAACGCTGTGATCATCCCTCATTAGATTATGTATATGCATCTATTGATACTCCCATTCCTGCTGCAGCTTCACATCCAGGGTACTATATCCCTCCACCACCTTTAACCCTCTCAGTCTCTCCTGCTCGATCCTCTCCCACGTCCACTCGTCCGCAGACCATGATTCCGAATTGACCTTCTTCTGCTCTTCGAGCGTTTCCCGACCAGGGACCTGGTCCGCATCAATCTTCAAGACCTCCCGCACGAGCGAGTCATCCACTCCAGCTGTAGCCCTGAGTCCCTCTCCTTCCGCGGGCGTGACAATTCCAGAGACATCTTTCGATTCCATAGGCAAAGGCGTCTCACCAGCACTTCCCGGTCGAGGCGGCAAAAACCCACTAGTACGGAGAACCCGCTCCGGGGGAACCGTCAAGCGGCCTTTCTTGACAACATACTTGGTGAGAGCGGTAGCTAGCAGAGTCTTCTTCCCGTCACCACCTTTCTTAGCAGGACGGATGTAGAAACTCAACACGTACAACCACTTCTCGTCCCATGCGACGGCTTTAGATTGGATATCCACACGCTCAAACGGCTTAATCTCCCGCTTGAAACTGCAATACACGGACCCCACGGCGATGTACATCCATGGTAACTTCTTCGGCACGCGTTTGCCTTCTTTACGGCATTTCTCGATGGTCTCTTGATCGAGTACTTTGCTGAGGATCCCGACGCCCGGGGATAAGATGCGCGTGGCAAGCGCGGTCCGCGCAATGTCCAGGTCGGAGAAGTAGGTGCTGTTGGATTTGTGGAGGTTGTAGTCTGATTCCAGGAGAGGCGTGCGGGTGCTCAGCCCGTACGACGCGAAAACGGGATGTATCGGCTTGCCATTAACGGTGATGGATTTGCCATTGGGGTAAAATGGAGCATCTGGTTTCCACCGGATATTCCTCAGGAATACATGGAGAAGACGGATCTATGAGAGTTAGCTTGTGGTCCATCGGTTGGGTAAGATAAATACCCACGTGCCAGACAAAAGGGAGATTCTTGAGATTGATCAAGGCTAGGAGCAATGCCAGGGTCTTCCACGATGCTAGCGGGACTATGGATGACAGTGCTTGGCGTATGTTGTCAATAGGTAAGGAGATCGGGATGCTCATGTTGGACATGTATTACGATCTCGGGGACATGGAATGTAGTACGGATATGTCAAATTCAGCAGAATAATAAGAAAAGATGCATTAATTGTCTGCGATTGAAATCAAAAGCATACATTAAAGATATGTCGGACAAGATCTAATAAAATAAATGAATGGCAGCTGATAAACGATCAGCCTCACGATCCTCAACAGGTAAGCTGGAAGTCGCGATTTTGTTGGGACGATAAGCCGAGGTCCTTAGAATCACGTGTGTTGATTATGTATTTTTGCATAAATGTGCATAACATGCATAATGGTCACGGTACATTTGAAATAGGTAGGGCCGAAGTGGAAAAATAGTACATTGAATCTTAGACCTCAATTGATATGGCATAAAGACAACAATTTTGGTCTATGGTGTATGCGCCATATCCAGCCATGCGCACCCACCGTCGCAAAACCGGTACAGTTGTTTTAGATCTTGGGTCGCAAAGCATAGGATCTGACCGGCAAGAGCTTGAATGTTCTGGGAAAGCCCGTTTGCAATTCTGACACAATCACATTCATTCCAGCATCTCTGAAAATGTCCCTGAACTTCGCATCTGTCCTGGTCACACTGCAATCCAATCCATCATACATGTCATCGCCATTCGGATCTGTCGAAAGATTCTCTTTGAAAACCAAGATTCCAGTCTCGGTTAGGGCATCACGGCATCGTTTCACATACTCAATCAGTTGCCAGTCTTTCAGATGCCCCACACAGAACTGCGTCCAGACCAAATCATACTTCTTCTCCGGATGCCAGTTTTCTATGCCGACAGTATAGATCACATCAACCACCCCGGATGCCTTCAAAGTGCTCTCATGGAGCGTCTGGGTGAACTTTTCGACAGGTTCAACTGCATCAACAGTTTCACAAACTTGGCTGAGGAAGCCTTCTGTCACACGGCCGACTCCCGCACCGCAGTCGACTCCTGTTGCTAGCTTCCCCTCGGCCATGCACGTGGATACAAACCGTCTAGCTTTGGCTAGGAAGGACTTGGACCCTCGCAGGTCAATTCTCGAGTACCATGGATAACCCCCCAAGGCCGCCAGCATTCCGTTTGCTGTGGCGGGAACACTGTTCCAGTATTTGATGGAAGCGGCAGGGTCTATGCCATCATCCACCGCGGGGAAGGCATTGTCGCGAGTCTGTTCCTCACTGATTGCCTGGGACATGGTGGTGGATGAGAGAAAGTCCGTTAAGCATGTATTTTTCTCTCTAGTCTGTTTGTGTGGGGATGAAGCTGACATAATCCAAAGCCGCTGTTAGTTAACTATGCCTTGATTCACCTTCCAGGTTCTGCTGGCTCCCCGGACTAATCCAGGATGTCAACTTTGTCAACCCTATTAAGTAAATGAAGATTGCGGGAGCCGGGATCGTTCTTGAAGCCATCAGAAGATAAAGTCGACAAGAGGTCATTATCAAAATGCAACCGGAGGGACTTCAGTCTTTTGAAATGCCTGAGCAGTTCATGTAGCTATGCCCAGAGCTCAAATCTTTATCTGCAACTGATTCCTGTCACTTTTGCTTTCCCAAGCGAAGCTCATTGATTCGACATTATGGCGGCCGGTTTTTCCGATCGAGAGCAAATTTGATAAATTCGTCCATATCATTCAGATGGATAGATGTCTTGCGATAAACCAGCCGCAGTGCCTCTTTGCGCATCTGTCTGTTCACAGCGAGGATGCCGAGATTGCTTCTAAACGGAAAATAGAAGCCGCTAGGATCACCCATTCCTCTGGCAAAACCGACACCAGAAACATCTCTGGAGCCGACTATTTGCATTTCTGTTTCCGGGATGGCATACGCATAGATATCGTCACGGACTTCTCTTGGAAGTCTAAAGAATTGGGATACAGAATCAGAGACATTGCCATGTCGCAACTACCAAACGGTTTAGCCTCAATTTTGAAGAGAGGAAAAGCGGGAGCTTATCTTTGCAACGGACATTGCTGCTAATGCTTCATTTTTGGTCAATTGCAGGGGCAAATGGAATCCGAATTCAAAATCAATATCCGCTGTGAAGCCGTACTGACCGACGCAGTTTCTGCGTTCAAGGACGACAGTGTTCCGACCACTGGTGATTTTCCGGGATCATGATAAGTCTAACGAATAATAAGATATTGACAATGGCACGCACATGGCTTACACCTGGCCCGGGAAGAAGGCTCTCTAGGGCTGTTGCAAAATTCTTGTGCCGTTTTGTTCTGGAGTATTCGTCGAGTTCGTTTCTTGTCCTCTCATATACACCGAGGGAACTGCTGTGAGGTCTGAATAAAAGCGTTGCTTATCGCCGTAAGCATCATTTAAAGATGCAGCAGCCTTGTAACCTAAGATTTCCTCCGTTCGATATAAGGGAACTGTAGGCCTGCGTTTCGCCATTTGGTATATCAGTAATTAGCAAACCACTATCGTCCGATGCCTCCAATGTGAGATTTGAGAGAATTTTGAATGCATTTTGCTGATCGAAGACACGTCTTTGTTGTTGATGCACTAGTAACTGCACCGTTCCAAACCACCGGGTTTTTGGATTCTGAATAGTCGTTATCTACGATTAATGCCCTTTAACCAACAGGGATAAAATTCTCCGCTTCGCGAAAAGACTATGATGCACCGGATGATCGGAAAACACGGCGCTTATGCTCGTATTTGAGAATTTAGAGCATGCGGCATCAAAGTTGCTCTAGATAGTGCCGAGCCTCCATGAAAGTGAGAACCCATGACGGCTATATTGCACTTCAAATAGCTAGCAACTGGCGATCAAGCAATACTTTAGTGGCCGGTGGAGCATGGAGCAGACATCGATGCCGGCATCTCGGACAATAGAGAGCATAATGTAGTTGCAGCTGGAAAAGAGCGGAGCTGACATTGAGGTAAAAGAGGCACCAATCAAAGGTCGTCACTATATTCTCGATTGTTCATTCTGTACTTATCAAGTGACGACTCTCGTTAATCTAGAAAGTCTACTGAGACTTTGAGAAACGGCAATTGTACGAAAATTCATGCATTGAAATTGGTCTAACAGGTTCCTCTACTCTATCAGGTAGTACCAACCATCTACGGGTAACCCTAAACATACCAGAAACACAAATGACAAACATAGGAAACACTGGTCTTTCTCTCCATAGCACCACTTGCACAAACTATCCTTGATAATCGCTCGATCCGCACTTACCGTTTAGTCAGGTTACTTTCTGAAATCGATCAAAAACGTCGAGTCCCTAGATCCCCAAAAAACTTAGCGCCAATGCAAAGCAGGCTTCGTATACGGCAAAATACGCCCATTATGCATATCCTCACGGATCTGCGCATGCGCATAAGGGATAACTTCATAGTACCCATCAACGGTGCTGGGGGTCTTGACAATGAGACATACCTCGAGGAAGTCGTCTTCTCTGTCACGGCTGCTGCCGGGCATAATTCTCACGCGGTGGGAGTCGATATCGCAGAGCATTGCGTGGAGGATATCGCGTTCGTCGGTGAGGTTGGAGTTGAAGTAGGGGAACCAGACGCGCCAGTACTTGGGCATTTTGGTTTGTTTGAGTTGTTAAAACGGTTGAAAGGTAGTGGCTGCTTGCTGAGGGTCAGCGAATGAATAGAGATTGATTGTAGAGTAGAGCTGGTTTGTTAGAGAAGAGAGGATTGATGATGATGGGGAGATTGTGGTAGGATTCCCAGTCATATTTATGTCCAAATCCAAGATATTGGAGAGTAAATAAGTTGTATTTGCCATAGGATAATAGTACAGAGAGTAAAGAGATGAATTACTATTGTTCATTTCATAGCCATTGGTGGTATGGAATAGTATCAATCCTTTGTTCTTTGACGGTTTTGCGGAAGAAGCCGTACCCTACAAAGCTATTGGCAAGTTCCATGTTTCGGTCTTTCAAGGAAAAGCTTTATAACTGTTGTTTCGAAAGGGAATTGTCCATATTCATTCATTTTAAGTATGACACCCTGTCAATCATGACTGTTTGTCTTCAACTAGGCGCTGAATGCCAATTGTTTCAGGAGTCGCAACCATTATAAAGCATTCCTGGAGATATCTTTATTAGTGTAAATGGAACAATCCAGTTTCATATCAACAGGTCTTTATGTCCGGCACAATCAACATTTAGCGCATGGGCCTCTATAGCTCTTCTTTCTCCCAAAGAAAAGTAGAGGATTCCTCCGTTTCATCTTTAAATAACCGTTAGCAAACCATTGAATTTGAAAACGAAAGCGAATCGCTTTGGATGTCCCGCTAACTTACTAGTTCAAAGAATACTACACTGAAAAAGGTCCATAGCAAACACCCAACCTCCGCACCAGCCCTATCCCATGAAATGCCCCTCAAACCTCTCCAGCCCATCCCCCGGCACTTCAAACCACCCAGCCTTCTCACTCAGAAAAATATGACAATCCGGTCTCGGAATATCCTCCCCATCACTCCCCGGATCAATAGTTCCCGCCGGAATCCCGATTAACTCCGGCATGCTCTTATAGGCCATAGTAAGACTCGACCCGCATTTCGGACAGAAACCGCGTGTTGCGATGGTGCTGGAGGAGCGTGTTGTTGGCGGGGAAGTGAGCCAGGTTACTTGAGAGACATTAAAATGCGCCCATGTTTGGTAGGGGGCGCCGGATTGTTTGCGACATGTGGTGCAGTGGCAATTGACCAGTTTGGTTGGGGGGTGCGTGGTGGTGTAGCGGATGTGGTTGCAGGAGCAGCTTCCGGTTGTCATTGTAAATATGTAAAAGATGTAAGAAGTGTTTTTATATGTTTGAACATGGAAAAAACGGCAAAAAAACAAAAACCCCTTTGTTTATCAACCCCGCAAAGCATACCATAGCATATCAGATTGTCGTCATCTCATATCAAACGAACCCACGGCTAATCGCATCCTCCACCTGTTCCTTACTCGCCTTTTTATGTCCCCTATTCTCATTCGTCTCCGGATCCCGCCAGTACCTACCCCCTATCGACTGTGCATCATCTCCCCAAAACCGCTCGAACCCATCCATCTCAAAATACAATGATTCCCCATCCACAAACCCCGCAGGAATCACAGCAGCCGGGTGTCCCGAGCAATGCGCGCAGCAACCACCCTCAAACTTCTGGTAATGCTCCATTATACTGCCTGATTCTTCGGCCTCCCGTAGCATGGTGTCGGTTTGTTCGTAGAAGGCCTCGAAGAGCGGGTCTAGGGCGAGGTAGTCGAGACGGGTCTTGAGAGGGGCGTGCTCCTCTGTGCATCGCGAGCCGCAGCGGATGTAGAAGGTGGCGAGGTTGTTGAGGTCGGCTGTGCCGGTGAAGTTGGGGTGGGAAACGAAGCGTTGGCCGTTGGGGGAGAGGAGAGTGGTGAGATTGGGGGTTAGGTCGAGGAGGGCTTGGATGGCTTGGAGGAGCGGGAGGGCGTTGATTTCGTCAACGCGGGCTTGGAGATTGATTTCCTGGTCCATTTTTCTTGGTTCCTTGATTGTGGTTATGGATGGAGATGAAGTGGGGAATGGAAGAGGGGGATAAGACAGGGAAGGCTGATTCCTTTTATAGTGAATCTTGATCCCAACCAGCAACAAACAACGCCGTGATTGGTAGAATAGTTATTACACGTTAAAATTAGAGCCTCATTATGCTGACAGCCTTATCAATCAGCAAATAAGGCTGTATGCCGTACGTCATACATACAAAGTCTGAGCTCTATTGTATTCATAAAGCAAGTCAAGGACTTTGCTCAGACTGGTTCATCAATCATTACATACAGCAAGGCAACTATTTCTTCTTCTTCGTCTTATCCACCACCTCAATCCATTGCGTCTTCAAACCCCGTCGAACCAATGCAGTCTCCAAAGCCCGTCTCTGGTCACCTTGCACAAAGACCTCCATAACTCCCTTGGGGGCTCCTGTAGCCTGCGTGACGCTGGTGCTGCTCGCGCACTTCTTCTGCAGTTCCTCAGCCAGCAAGTTGGGAATGATACCAAAGATCTCCAGGCCGTATACTTTGGTGGCGGTCTTTGAGCCCGTTCGACGCTCAAGTGTAACGTGCACCTTGGGCGCTGCGCCAGCTTTGGGCTTGACATCAGAAAGTGTCTGGCCGGGTTTGAGGATCACGTAGTGTGGTGCCAGGAAAGAATGGTCTTCCACCAGTCGTTTCAAGAGACCATCCCGAGTCGTCATTCTACGGGCAAGTGTGCTCCTGTCTTCCCCTGACGAAGATGAGAAGACGGTGTTGGCGAGGAAAGGGTTGAGAGAAATGATGCGGCGGTTTTCTTTGGAGATGAGAGGCGGGTCTTGAGATTGGAGGTACTGGTCCAGGTGGTTGGAAACGTCGGAGTATTTGTAATAGTTGCTGGGGTTGGTGGTAGACAGAGCTGGGAATATCGTCGGCGTCAACTTTTGCGTCGGCCGGTAGAGAGTCTGGACAGTCAACGTTTGGCCGACGGAGGGGTCATCCCCTGTAGGCGCAGGCTTCTTATTCACAGGGGCAGCCTGTTTCTCTGCCTTCTCTAGGGCGTTCTTGGACGGAAGTTTGTATGGAACAAACTGCTGGACTAAACGGTCGTTGAAGTCCACATCGAGGATGACAGTTTCACCTCCACTGCGATCCTTTGCCAATGCCAGCTGAAGTTTGTGCAAGTGTTTGATGTACTTCTTGACGTTCTTCCAGGTTGTCTTCTTGATATTATACCATTGAGCTTGCCGAGGGGTATAAATCGGCAAGAACGGGGTGATGAAGGTGATCAATTGTGATGGCTGCATAGGAAGCAATATGTTGTGGTTTTTCACTGTTGGGTTGTCTTGCTTGAGTTTGTAGAGAGCATAGATAAAAGCATTCACAAAGGCATCATCGATTTCTGCTTATAGTTAGCATCCCCTCGAGAACAACGTGAAGAGAAGACATACCCTTTGCTTTTGGTTCCTTTTCTTCCATAGCAGGCGCTTCCTCCGGCTGCTCAGGCGACTCTCCCAAGGGCTCCTCGCCATCGCCGGCTTGTCCATCTTGCAACGCCAACTCATCAATCCCTTCCTTCACTTCATCGACCTCTTCGCCACCTTCTTCCTCACCTTCCTCGATCTCCTCATCCCAGCCTTCCAAATACTCCGGGGCCGGTTGGCCAGGTCGAGAAGACGAGCTCCAAGCCCACAACTCATCGCCCTCCCAGTGAACACCGCGAACCGCATGTCCCTTTGTACCCTGAACCTCCTCCAGTCCCACAATATCAATCTCGCAAACCCCAACAAATAACGGAACCGTATACCGATCCAAGCCAGCCACAGCAACCACCGCGCCCTTCACTGCACGCTCGGGGAACGGCGGGTCGTTGGCGATACCAGGCGTCATCAGATCCGCACCGCCATGTAACTTCTTCATCACCATCTCCGGCGTGTAAAGAAGAGGCACGAGGTTCGGGTTATGCCATAGCGTGTAGACAGTGGGGTAGAGGCGGCCATCGGAGCCGGGTCCTTGGTCTAACCTGAACCACAGAGCTCGTTCTTCGCTGCCGGGGTGTGCACCGACAAAGACAGTTCCTTGAACTTCGCGGAGTTGCGGACCTGATGTCGTTGTGAAGCGTGCGGAGAGCGAGTTTTCGGGGAGGAGGGAATTGCGAATAGTCGTGAGGGTTGGAGCCGTGGGGTTTGCGGCCGGACCCTGGGCGCTAGATTCGGTTGGTGAATTGGAGGGGACGGTTATTTGGTATTCCTTTATGATCTGATCGGCCGTCTTTCGGCGGTCAGAAGACCGCAGAGGAGACAGGTTCTTGATCTGCGTTGGAGTCAATATCGCGGTCCCTACGTAACCGCATCGCAAAACTTGTGCGGGAAGGGACGATACGCACCGTAGGCTTCTTTTTGAACATTATGCTTGAGATATGTTGTATTCAGCAAAGAGATACTGATATCAGGCAATCAGGGAAGTGTAGGTACAGGGCCCTTTCTGGGCGATAAGTAGTTGTAGGAAAGCAATGGAGCTGGTGGTCGAGGAATGAAATAATTGTCCCGCAACAACGATCGGCCGCGGGTTTCTAGTTTCGGTTCCCCACCGGTAACTCCTTGGTACAGCGATGACTACTTCGATGACTGCCAATGGATTTGAGTCATTAATTTGGATTTGATACATTCATTATTCATGGTATTCACTTATTCATCCGTGGGTCAAGAAAACGCAATAGAGACACCCCTTTTCTTAGGCTCGTAGGGCATATTGTCATCCTTGAGTATTCGATAGTTGCCCTGTTGTATATGTTTTCGCTTTATCCCTTCACCACAGTTAGCCATACAAATAATGCTGAAAGGAAGTCAAAATTCATACCCACATTCAATATAGATCAACGCTCTCATCACTATAATAACCATGCCCCTCGCCCCAGTCCTCTTGGTCACTATGCTCCGGTTCACTATACTCCCCCGAGGTCCCTAGTTCATCTTCACATTCCCACACTGAGAACTCGCGTTCACATTCGTCCTGATCACCAGAATCCTCTGAGGTATACTTCTCCTCCCAGAACTCTTGCTCATAGTATTGGTATTTCCAAGCCTCTTGTTCATCATACTCCTCATCCCAGTCCTCGTCGCTCTGGTAGCCATGTTGCTCCTCCCAGGCGCGCTGATCGATCTCACGAAAGCCATCGAGTATCTATCTTGCTTCTTCGTAATTGCTTGGTTGGAGCTTCAAGCCATAGGAGTGCATGAATTCGTGCATGCTGTGGTAGCCGCCTTCCCTGAGCATCTCGTAGTTGCTTTTGTCGTATAGTTGAGGAGGCATGATGGGAGCTAAGTGAAAGATGGTGAGAACTTTTGGTCAGATAAAGGTGGTGATAAAGACGGTGATGAAGGCAGAATCTGGTCGATAATATGAAGTAAGAGGATGAAGTTGGGATAGTTGGAGTTGTTGGGGACTAATGGGCAAGACGGTACAAACAAGCGTAAACGAAAAAGCAACAGGTCCCTTATTAAGAAATATTCTACTATACTGATAGTATATGCAGCTCTGTAATGGAACACTTTTCTCTATTGTCTTTTTTTCCCTCTCGTCTGCGTAAAACTAAGGGAAGTAACCACTACAATTGCAAGAAGACTTGAGGAACGAATTCTGCCTTCCTTTTTGATCTGACACTCATTCATAAATCATTAGGCATATCAATTTGCATCATGTAAAGATTCACCCTCAGCTCAGACAAACGCCATATCCCGGACAACCAGAGTACGAGAACAGTCCATCGCGTAGTGGCCGCATCTATCCATTCATCCAACAGTTAGCCACTCGTCAAACGTACAGAAGCAACACTAGAAGAAAGTCAGAATCAAAATACTAACATTCAATAGTATCCATAGTCTCCCTGATCACCGTAGTCACCATAATCATCGCCGCAGTCATCGCCGCAGTCATCGCCGCAGTCACCATGATCATTCCAGCCCTCGTCTCCACCGTTGTCATACTTCCAAGCCTCCTGTTCGTAATACTGGTTTTCCCAAGCTTCCTGCTCATTGTTATAGGAGTCCCAAGCAACTTGTTCGTCATGCTTGTCATTACAGTGGTCATCCTGGTAGTACTCCTGCTCGACCTCGCCGTGATAACTGTACTGTTCCTCCCAAGCCTTCTGATCTATCTCACGGAAACCCTCCAAGATCTGCTTCGCCGTCTCGTAATCGTTCGGTTCCCAAGTCTTCAAGTAGTAGGAACGCATGAAGTCGTGCATGTTGTTCCAGCCGCCTTCCTTGAGGAGCTGGTAGTTGCTCTTGTCGTAGGGCTGAGGAGTGGGAGGAGGCGGCGGCATGATGACGGATAGAATGGTAAGAAGGAATTGGTTAGATGGAGAAAATGGGATCGATAACTGGTCGATGATAGCGAGTAGGAAGTTTGAGGTTGGTTGAAGTTGTTGAGGAGTGAAGTTGGAAGAAGAGGGTCGACTAATTGGGTAAAGCGTCAGAGATGTGAAAAGCCAACATTTACAGCGGGTTATCCTTCTACCACAGTAGTATACCATTTAACAGTATCTGTAGCTTCCAATGACTTGTTCTATATTCAGATTCCAGCTACAAATAATGATTATATACTTTCTCTTTTCATCCAGGAAAAAGCCCTACAAAGACACGAATTAAGCCTCAAAAGTAAATTTGTATAGATACATACATGATCGATTATGAAAAGAAACTAAAGAAAGACAGGATTCCTGATCCACAAGAAAGTCCGCCAGTCTAGATGCTGGATGCGTGACCTCCAAATTGTCACTTATTTTGAACCCCTTCCAGTGTCTTTCATTTATGCGGTCGAGATATCACGGGCGTGGATCTTGTCAGTGACCAACCAAGACAGAGTCTCGCTGATAACGTTGAGGAACTCCTCAGCGCTCAGGGAGCTGAAGTAGTCGGACAAGCTGCCAGAAGTGGCAACGGACGAAGCGCTAGGGGTAGAGCTAGAGACCTTGGCCTTGACCTGGGAAGCAGGGGTAGTGGAAGCCTGAGTGGATGAGGCAGAGGAAGCCGCGGCAGAAGTAGCAGTAGCAGTAGCCGAAGCAGTGCTGGAAGAAGAGCCAGAGTTGGAGGACGAGGAAGCGCCAGAGTACAGAGCAGGACCGGGGATGTCGTAGGAGTCGAGCTGCTGGTAGATGTTGACGAGGATACCCGGGTCGTCCTCGTTGTAGAGCTTGGTACCAAGAGTACCCGAGGGAGAATCGCTACCGCCACCAGTAACCTTGAGGTTGACACACTGAGGATAGCTCTGGGCACCGTCCTCGTTTCCAGCGGAGTGCAGGGCAATGATTTCGTGGCGCAGGACATAGTTACCGGCAGCGATGTCGCCTGGGATAGTGACGGTGTAGCTGTTGTTGTTGGAGATCAGGTTGTCGGTAGCCCATGTGCCAGGGACGTCACTGTCATCGATGAGACCCTTCTGGTCGATTTTGAAGAACTCGAGAGAGGTCTTGTCGACCTTGGAGCAGTCACCGTTGCAGTTGGCCAGATAGGTGATGACAGGGCCATGGTGACTCTCCGGCCATTCGGTCCACTGCAGCTCAACATCCTTACCAGCTGCCACCGAAGCAGAGATGGCACCGGGCTGCGCACTCTTGTGGCAGATAATATCCGGGTCAGAGAAGGAGCTGGGAGAGACGAAGCCCAGGTCAGTGGCTTCGGTCGACCATCCAATGGTCTCCGGGGGGCTGTCGGTGTAAGCGTAGGAGGTGACGATGTATCCTCCGTAGTATTGGCCATCCACAACGGCACCGGAGACATAACCGTGACCAGCGACCATAGCGGCCGAGCCGAGAAGAAGACCAGCGATCTTGGTGACAGACATTTTTGTGAATGGGTTTGGTTTCGGTGATCAACGCACAGCGTGTAGACCGGACGAAAAAAAAAGAATGACGGTAAGAAACGAAGGACTTCAGTCAATGAAGCCGGAGAAATAAAGAGAACGAAAAGGTAAAAAGACCTAGATAGAAATGAATGCAAAGGCGAGGCTGATGAGGAGGAAAAGAAAACATCTCTGCTCAAGGACATGCTGCCCTTTTATCTTTCGCTGTCATGGAAGTCATCTCATCCATGTCATCCACTCTCACGCCAAATTGATGAGGGCAAATAATGAAAGGCTCATTGCAGGATCCTCTCAAATTGCGACCATATTGTGCCATAGATCTCCGGCACCTCCTATTGCTAGGGGTCGGTATAGACAATTCGGTATTGGAGTCTGAAATAGATGAACCATTTTCACCCACTAAACCACGCCAGGAATCCTCCGAGGATCATGTCATTCCGATTGCTACAAGTTCCATCACTTCGGGAAAGTGCAATACGAGCGTTCAGCTGTTCCGGAAGCCGTTGGTGAGAGGTTGATTAGCGCATTGATCAATGGTTGGCGGACGGTGGGCAATTATTGAAATGCGACACAGCGGGTTTCACACCTGGCTCGAGGTTAATTCAGACCTTCATCTCTTCACATGTCTTTTCATTTGGGGCAATAATTTTTAGAGATTCTCGATTGACAAGAAAGCCAAGATACTGCTTCTTTCGCGATTGACAGGAGATTGACAGAAGCGTCGATTCGGTTGTCCGTTCCGTAACGATGATCGGATGGTGGACGTTCCACATGTTCCTCTGCCTTTGATTTTGATCAACATGGAAGAACTTGTTGTATTCCACAATAGAACCTGTACATTTGCTGGCATTGGCCCAGTAGCTCGACATGGGTTTAATTTTTTTTAATTTTTTTTTTTTTTTAGGGATCAGCCCAAGCTCCAGGAGAGCCCACTCACCCTGAGCCAGCGTTAACTCTTGCGCTTCTCATTTGGCATATTGTATCAGTCTGAAGAGACTAAAGGATTGCAGAGAATACAAATGGTGGACCCAATCGAGTCCCAAAGACCGCGAGGCGTGACTCCGCGGCCCTATCCGCAGCTCGATATAAACTTGAAACGCCCAGCAGATTCAAGCGCCACCATCCGAACACATTCAATTTACAGGATCACACTTCAATCTATTCACATATATGACCGGCTGGAGTCATTCTGGACCGTTGCACTATGTTGACTCGTGCATCCTGGCGTACGGCTCTTTGGCAATATACGAGTGCCCTATGGAAGTCAAAAGCGGGTATCTCAATCAGGTACAAGTCTCTACCATAAACTTTGGGAATCTTATCTGGATATGAAGGACGATTGTTGTCATATTGACAGGACCCATGAGCCATTCGCTATCCAGAATCTTGGCAGGATATGCCTGCGAAAATGCCCCTGTACTCAACGGCTTTTCTATCCTTTCATCCTCCCGGTATGGTTTGGAATGCAAGATTCGAGGCATGAGTAGTCTCTCCCAGGAAAATTGAATACAAGTCATTACTCTGACGGCTGGCATTCCTTTGCTGATGCCATCGAGTATTCATTGTCAGAGAATTCATTACCTCATCAACAGACGTAGTTATAAATGCCGGTTGTCTTCTAGTTCCTCGGTTAGTAATGTATTGCGGATGCCTAGTACCAGTTCTTGGCTCTTCTTGGGCATCCTTTGAGCAGGTGCTCCTCCGTCAGCATTCATAAAACGGTGGGAGTGTCGTGCATGGCCAACGCGTGTAAATATAGCGATGTGTTGGTTTATGGAAGAATATGTAGTTTGACGGCAAAGTCGCCATGTTTTATATAGGAATGAAAAGCCTTCGATGTCAGATCAACGATGATGAGTATCCCCGCTTCCTGTGATCCATATCAAATCAATGATATAACGGTATGGTAGCGATGATTTGCCGACAACAATCCTCGGTACGGAGCAGATGTCGATATCTTGTGACACAATTTACAATTCTAGGACGACAACATATACAAATCCAGGACTTCGCCAGTCGCGTCAAAAGATGCCAAACGCGCCATAGTGATTCTCAACCAGACCGATACTAGATCATTGCCCGGTATTCCCTATTCGAAGCATACCTCGACCGCGTTCAATTGTATCCATTGACACTCGTAATTGCAGGAATGGGCAGAATACAGCCCGCCGTAATACTGTTAGTACAGGACCTCATGATTTGATAGTCTCTTGCATCTCAACCTTCGGCCGTCACGCACGGGTCGCTGATGCACATGCCGAGCTGAGATGTAATTCCAGCCATATCTTGCATTGTTTATCCATGACCGTCAATAAGTCCGTTCAATTGTGCAGTAAGCATGATGATCAACAATGAAAAGGATCTTGTAGTTGACAGGCATAAGAAAAGACTGGATGGCAATCTGTGCTTTAATTATGTGCATGTCTTCCCGATCGGGATTAGCGCGTTATCCCGCTTTCCGGCACTCACCGCCCGAGACCGTCCACAATTCCCATAACGAACCAAACAGAACAGACACAGTCAGCCATACCCTCTCGCCTTCATCCACGGCCCTTTTGGGGTATTTCACTTGCTATCAACCTTTTTGTCACGTTCCTTCGCTGCGATATTACCTTAATTCATAACCCTTCCTCCCTCATAGTCCCGGCCTCCCTATACTGTGCCGTCTCTCGCCTCACCTATCTCCTTTTCCACCCGACAGAACTTGTCCAGCCGCACGCCAATTTCCCTCCCCAGATCTTCGACTCCGACCGTTCGAATCCATATCCGTTTGCTTTTGTTATCTCCCTGTCCTTGAGCTGCGCTCGAGGATACTTTCGACGGAATAGACGCATTGTGCTTTGGTTAAGAAAAAAAAAAAATTTAAAGAGGGCTGGTTCTTTGGGCGTCCGCGTGTGAAACGCATACATATCATTACAACGCACACATTTGCGGTCAACGCCGCCTCGCGTTTTGACCGGTCGTCCTCCCCCTCCCTGCCAGTTCCCGAACGGAAGTGCTTGTGCGACAACTCGAGACGACAGTTCTTTTCCGATAAAGAAAAAAGACCCAGCCGGATTGGATTTCAATTCTTCCGAATTGGGTCCCCACGTCGCTCTATTCACTGGGTTTCTCTTGTTCCGTGAGAATATCAGAGGATGGCCCCAGCGGAGACTCCTTCACCTGCGTTTCCCATATTGGACCCGGTTATCGTGGACGACGAGATGGAAAACGCCTATCAAGATGCAGACAATGACTTTCTCGATCCTGCAAGGCTGCAGATGTCATCGGGATCCGCTGGCCAGGAATTCGACGACCTCTTAGCGCATACCTCCTCGCGAACACTTACGGATTCTGAGTCGGCATGCTTGTCCCCATCCGAATTGTCTGTGAAGAGGCATTATGCAGAACAGGATCACTTGCGACAGCCCCGCGTCATGACCGCCGACTCGCCCGCAGAGTCCCCAGACAACTCAAGTCGGAGCTCGTCGTCAGAGTCGCCGCGGAATCAGCATCTTCGACACTCGTCAGTCGCCTCGTCCGCGGGTGAGAGCTCAATGATGCCGTTCGGATATACACCGTCGGAAGATTGGATGAACCCTGATCTCGAATCAGTCAAGGAAGAACCGTTATTCGGGTTGGACTCGTCACTCCAACCCATGGATAATGGACTGCCACTGGATGGCGATCTCGAATTCAGTAACAAAGCGATGGATGCTGCGTTCGATTTTGAGAGTGCTGCCAGCAGTCCCAGTCTCCTGAAGGCCAATGTTACACCACAACCCAAATCACAGAAGCGGTTTAAGTCCCAACTGCGAAAGAACTCCTCTAACTCTACAAGGAAATCTACTTCTCCTGTAAGCGTCCCAATTGGACCATAGCGAACACGTTCCGCTAACATTCTTAATTCTAGCTTCCAACATCTGCCTCTCCTTTCTTCCCTAATGGTCTTCGAGAAATGTCTCCTTTCCCAGGTTCTTCGAATTTGTCCGCTCAAGGGAAACCGTCACCTGCCAGCCAATGGGGCGGACAATCGCCATCATCCATTTTAGAGGAAAGCTTTGGAGGAATCAACATGAACGGCGGTTCTCCCATGAACTCGAGCTTCAACTTTGGACAGAACAGTTTTTCATTTGGCATGGATCTTGCTCCATCACCTCCACAAAACCACATCAAATCGGAGCCGCCCCAACGTCATGTCCTGACTGTGCATCCAACCTCCTTGAAATCACGTGTGGAAACCCAGATTCCCATTCGGTTAACACTCTTTCCGCTGCCCCCTGGAGTGAAAAAATTACGGTTACCAAGTCACACAATCTCGAAACCCAAGTTTCTTGCCGCGGCATCGACCGAGCGATCGCCCGATACGATGGAGTTGCACACTAGTCTCGTCTGCACCAGTGCAATGCAGGACCAGCAAAGACTCCAAAGAGCATTTGCTAAAGCCCGAGGCGAGGTTTACTCCAAATTATCGTCTACAGATGAATTACAAGAAGAGGACACACCGTTGGGCGGTGGAGAAGTCAAGATCTGTGCCGGCTGTATCCAACGTGAACGGAAACGTGCCTCCCGGAAGAAGCAGAGGAAGCCCGAGGAAGATGAACTGTTCCAGAAGGATGAGGAGAAGAGGGTTATTGTGTTCAATACCAATGAGCTTAAGGAGTGGACAGAAGCGTCCAAAAACAGCGTACCGAGTTACAGCGACATTCCGCCTCCCAACGTTCCTGCTGGCGCGATGCAGGTGGAGTTACCCATGCGAATAGCATGCTATTGCAGACACCAGAATGAAAAACTCGGGTTTCAGTTCGTCCCCCTTTCCCGTTACTCACGTCAATTCTGTCCAGATTGGTAAGCTGACAATGTTCGCTCCCTAGGGTCATTTTCACAGTCAAGGATTGGGTGGGAAATGTCATTGCCCAGGCCATAACCAATTCGATCATGATCACGGATGACCATAAGACACACGCACCGCCTGCACCTCCTGCCCCTGGTCCGTCCCCCGCGTTACCCGATGGGACACAACTCCCCGGTGTCGGTGTCTTCCACTCAGGAACCAACGTCGATACCGGAAAATCGACCGCCATGACGCAGCCTTCGTTCCAAGCTGCATCCTCGGCGACCGACTTACAAGGTCTCCAGCAACGGCTGAACTCACAATATCAGGCGACGCCAGGCTCATTCGCCATCCCTCAGAACTCGACGAATGGCGCATCGAATTCACAATCGCATCGGAGTCTTTCGCGGCAAACATCGCCCAATGACTTCCAGGGCCCGATGAGCAAGCGACGCAAGCATAGCAGTTCGAGCAGACTTCCGTCGGAGTTAACCATGACCAAACTCGAGAATTCTCAGTCACCGTCTTCCGGGGCCACGTCGCAGCCCATGAGTAACGGCTCCCAATTGCCAACGACACGTGCATTTGCATCACCAACCGAGAGACCTTTTGTATCGCCGTCCGCTATGCCTGGCCAATTTGCAAACGGCCCTCCTACACCGAATAGCAATGACAATAACCCGTTCTTTAGCCTTAATGCTCAGCAGTCGAGAGCAGATAGTCTTCAGCAATTAATATCGGCTCCAAATTCGGCCCAACCTAGTCGCCCGGGTTCTCCTGGATCGTCGGCTCGCAATAACTTCCAGGAGCAAAGTTTGAACATCCTGGGTCCTAGTACGTCGACCCCGATGTGGCCTCCATTGACCAATACTGGAAACCGGCTACCATCTGTCATCCACAAGCTGGTACCTGCAGAAGGATCCATCACAGGTGGAACTGAAGTCACACTGCTTGGCAGCGGTTTCTACCCGGGTATGGAAGTTGTCTTCGGAGACACTCTTGCAACGACCACAACTTTCTGGGGCGACAAATGTCTGAATTGTCTGACTCCGCCGGCCCTGCAGCCTGGCCTGGTAGCAGTCGTCTTTAAACATGAGCACCCAACTTTTGGTCAGATGCAGACTCAGCCCCTGATGCCGAAGCAACAGCAATTTTTCCGCTATGTGGATGATCGCGAACTTCAAATGTACCGTCTGGCTCTTGGTATTCTTGGGCAGAAATTGGGAAGCCAGGCAGATGCGTTCCATACAGCCCAGCAAATTATGGGAAGCGACCCGAAGGCGATGTTCAATCTTCACAAGGATTTCCAAAATGGTTCCGGCGGGGGTCATCAACGCCAGGTTCCTGGATTAGAGTCTCAAGGTCAATTGACGGATTTGGATTCGAAGATGCTGACGTATCTCGAATTCGTTGACCTTGACGATAGCCCGCGTCCACCCAAGTATAATTCGCGCTGCGGAACGGGGCAAACTCTTCTGCATTTTGCGTCTTCCTTGGGATTGACACGGTTTGTTGCAGGACTCCTTGCCCGGGGTGCCAATCCGGACGTGCAGGACAACACTGGAAACACACCAATGCACTTGGCAGCTTTGAATGGCCACGCGCACATCGTCCATCGACTTCGCCTGACTGGTGCAAATGCCCACGCCCGCAGTACCAGAGGCTTCACGCCAGCTGATCTCGCCTCGACACTGCCTGCCCATCAGGCCGCGTTGCTGCCCGCACGACACTATCGCTCGCGCAGTGTTGGTTCTTTGGGATCGGCACGGCGTCGGCACGGCAGTTCTGCGTCGCTTCACTCGCTCTGGGAAACATCGTCTGGTTCCAGTTCGTTCGACAATGCGATTGAGGACTCGGGTGATTCTGAAGAGGATGACGATTCTGACTCGGAAGCTGATCACACCTCGTCTCGACGTCCGAGTGTCCACCAGGACGCTCATCCTCCACTCACATCCGAAGGCACAGAACCAACTGAAGTTGCCCGGCCATTCTCCCCTCCGGCAGCTCTCGTCGCTTGGCGCAACCAGCTTCAGGCTCAGATCAACCAGTTCCAACAAAGTGTTTCCAACGCATTCCCTAATCTTCCTGCTCTGCCTCCTATGCCGGCTTTGCCTGACTACCAAGCACACCCGATGATGCGCCGCATCACCAACCTGGTGCCTAACCCAACCGCATCCTGGTCGACAAGGGACGGCTGGTGGGATCTGCTCAAGGGTAACGGCAGCAATACCTCGCCGACTACCGGGCTACCCTCATACGAGGACCTGTACCCACGGAAGGAAGACGAGCAAGAGACAGAAGAGACGTCGGACATGAAGACGTCTTTGATGCGGGCAGCCACCGAGGCATTGGTGGACCAGCACTTTGAGGCGCAATCCAGTCGATCCCAGATCGCTCCTGTCAAGGAGGATAAGGAAGACCTCAAAGACATCAGGATCGGCCGGAAGGTGATCTCTCGCGAGCAACAGAAACATCTCCGAGCACAACAAGCGCAGAGAATGAAGGGATTGGGCAGTGATCGGAACTTGTATTTCATTTGGGTAAGTATATTTCCATGGTTCATGTCTCTTACGTTACTGACTCCAATTTTTCTTTAGATTCCTCTTTTGCTTTTGGTCATTTGCGCATGGGCACGAAACTATGCTCCGGGTATTTGGCGTGCTATTTCGGATGGGTATGAGTTCATTGCAACTCGCAATACACAAGGCGCACTGGAAGTTGGCGTGTAATGGGAATGCCTTTTTTTTTTTTCATTTCCTTTGACTCGGACTTTTTTATTTTCTATGGGATTTTTATACTGCGTTTTCCTTTGTTATTTTCGAGCAAGCGATTCGGTAGGTATTACTTGCCATTTGATGACTTCTTTTCTTATTTTTCCTTTTGCTTAACGATGATATGCCTACATGCTTCTTTGGGTTTTTTATGATTTTGTACAGGGTGATACTCTCTATACGCTGTAGATTCAGTTAACTAGACCCTATGAATACACATTTGTATACTTCAAGTATGGAACTGCCAAAGTGTGGCCTGTGCGTATCTGGACAACCGCCGCGCGGAGAACAACCAAACAACAGCGTCAGGCACTCTCCAGGAACCGCCTGCGATTGTCGCAATTGAAGATTTGGTCTCGTGCTTCATCGTTTGGGGAATTCTCCCTTTACTTTTACCCGAACGGAATGCCATTTTAAAGTACTTATTTTCTTCCCCTCTTCCCCTCCCCAGATAGAGTACGGGAAATATGGACACATCACCGCAGGCGGGCTCCAGCAATGTGACCGGTAGGTGGGAGAGACATCCCCCAATTCCTTTTGTTTGTTCATTGACTAATCGTCTTTCTATAGTCGAATACACTGATCCTTCCGGCTTATTCCCTCTGGTCCAGCCCATCTTCGAGAACAAACTCCCGTTCAAGAACCTCCATTGGAAGTCCCCCAGTCGTCCCGTCCGCTCGATCGAATCCCTCCGCATCGGCTTCGTTCCTGCAGCGCAACAGGACAATGCAGAGCGCAAATCCTCCAGTGATACAACGCCCGGCACCGTTCCACACCGACGACACCAGATTCCAGGTCTACGACAGACGCCATACTTGAAGATCTACCTACTCCGATGCGACGATAACGACACATACAAAGCCACCGCCCGGAAAGCAGTGCGCGAATGGATCAAAACACAAGCCTCAACACCGCAAACCAACACCTCTTCTTCGTCGACGACTGCCCCTAGTAGCCAGGAGAAACACGATGCCTTTGAGTGGCTGGTCGTTCATGTCGTGCAGGACGGGGACGGTGCTGAGAAGGCCGCGAGTACGTCGAAATGGGGCCAGCGCACCACTTCTGTGTTGGAGAAGCTCAAGGCCGACTTCAACGGGTCGTCCAAGTCTTCGGTAGACCGAATCGCTCAGTTACGGCTTCCTAAACCGGGGACGACGCAGAAGCCGCCTGAGTTGCCTGATCAGATCGAGGACCTGGTGGAGAAGATGAAGAATGCGATTCTGGCGTCGTTTGATCTCCGAGTTGCGCAGTATGAAGAGGATATCAAGGAGAAGGACTCGCAACGGAGTCTTCCGGGTTGGAATTTCTGTACGTTCTTCATCTTGAAGGAAGGTCTTGCGAGGGGTTTTGAGAACGTGGGCTTGTTTGAGGATGCGCTGGTCGGGTATGATGAGCTTGCTGTTGGGCTGGATAGCGCAATTCATGAGCAGCTTGAGGGAAGTGGTGATCATCATGGTAGCGCTTTATTGACGTATAGCAAGGATTGGAATGGGATGGCCAAAAGGGCGCTAGAGTCTCTACCGGCTGGCGGTGATGATTCGAAGGATGAGGGCGAAGGGGAAATTACCCCGATTCCAGAAATAGAGCCTAGCGATTTCCCATTCGATTCGACCAAAAAGCCCTACCGGGAGATGATCTTGGCCAGTGATATCTCCATTTTCGATTTCCGGACCTACGTCTTTTCGCGACAACTGACGCTGCTCCTGAGGGCAGCACGAGCCCCGTCGGTAGTCAGTGAGGACCAAGACTTAGTCATGAAGGAGAAGAAGCCTGAGAACCTGATGCTTCTTTCAGAAACATGCGAGAGAGCCACTGAGTTCATCGCTCTTGCGGCACGGACGCTCCGATGCGATCTGGAATATGGCCTGGCCGAGGTGGACAACGCAGCCAAGGCCGAAATCATCAACAACCTTGTGTCTTCCTGGACGTATGCTGCTGCATCGCAAATCCTATCTCAGACTACAGCACCAAGCCTTACGCTTCCAGACACCATTCGTGCCATCGAAAAGTCGATGGAGTCATCCTCATCATCAGCTGCCGCCGAGATCAGACCCGATGTTCCCAAACGCTCTAGTTCCTTGATCACCCCGCCTGCTCCTCGCCCCCCTCGTCCAGCAAGTCAGGACATCTTTGATGTCCTTGCTCCTGTCCACACCCGTCCTGGATCGGATCCGAAGCCTGTGCCTAATCTAAACCCTAAGACCGGCTCTGAGCAATTGGCGTCAGGAAGGGGAGAGCTATATTTATTGTCTCGCCGAGTTCTGGAGGACATTGCCGGGCGACGTGGCTGGAAGGAGAAATGGAATGACCTCGGTCTTCTTTTCGACAGTAAAGGCGCTGGTGAGGGAGGAGACATGAAAGAAGTATCGTTGGACGATGCACAGCCGGGCGGGACCCAAGAGCCTCCTAAGTCAACCTCATCTTCTCTTTGCGGTATTGACTTACCTGGACTGAAGACTGCTTTGCAATCGAGACGAGCCTTCCGTACTCAATATGAGGAGCTTACAGATCAAATGTTCCGTCATCATATCGCGGCAAATCGCCCCTATTCAGCTGAAATGGCCATCGCAGACACGGCTCTATTGCGATACCGCCAGACCGACTACAGCGCAGCAGCCGCCCACTTCCACCAGATCGCCCCGTTCTACGGCAACAAGCACTGGAACGTCCTGGAGGGAGCCATCCTGGAGATGTACGCGCGGTGCTTGAAGGAGTTGAAGAAGAGTGAGGAATACGCCCGCATGCTTCTCCGCCTCCTGGCCAAGTTCGCCGCGCATACGCAGGCCAACTTAACCGGGCACCAGCAGAAGATGCTCGGTACTTCGCCTTTATTATTACCGGTTTCTCCGTATGTTGACGAACTATTCGAGACGTCGAGTACGCTGCAGAAGGAAGTTTCTGCTTCTTTGACAGATTTCTTTGCGGATATGCGGGTTGACCCTGTGGTTCTTCATTACGAAGATAGGGATGGGTTCCAGGTCCAGATTTACTTGCGTTTCCTGTTAGGGAAACAGATTGATGTCGATGCCGTCAAGGTTCGGCTTGTCAGTGCCAATGGGTCTCAGAGTAATGAGCATTGGATTGAGACTTGCGCTAGGACTGTTGTCAAGTCGACCTCGACGCGGTTGCTCATTGATTCTTCGGTAAGTAAACCAAACCTAGTTGATGTGTTTCGTGCTAAGAAAAACAGACGAGTCTTCAAGGCAAATACTATGTGGATCGCATTGAGATGCGAGCAGGCAACATTGTGTTTACGTTGGGAGGTGGAAAGCACTCTGCCCTCCCCCTAGGCCTCCGAGAAACCCTAGACGCTACAGATGAAGACAGTCGGTCTTATATCTACTGCTACCCGCCACCCGAGGGTCTTCAGGCCAGGGTTGTGTCCACCCACCTGATCAACCTGGAAGAGATGCGATCACTGGAATTGGAGCTTCACAGCGGACGAAACGATATTAAGAGCGGGACGATTCGAGTGCGGCCCGCGACGGCTGGGCTTCGACTACGGAGCGCAGAGGCGGAGCTTGTAGAGGGTGACATGAACATCACGGCCAATAATGAATCAGGGAATATCGAATTCTCCCAGTTCGGGTCAAGGTCTTTTGTTCGGTTCCGAATTCCGTATACGGTCGAGGAGAATCACCCGACGCTGTCTGCGCGGGCGGAGGTTAATTACGAGACGGAGCATGGGCGGTATTCGTACTCGTCGGTTCATAATGTTGTTTCTGCCCTTCCGATCAGTGTCAATGTGCAGGATATCTTCAAGGATGAGGCGCTATTCTCGCGGTTCACGATCAGTCCGGCTATGATGGTCCCTCTGCGGATACTTGGCTGCAGCATTCCCAGCTCGGATGTATATCAGGTTGAATCGAATATCCGGGAGAAGGTGGCGTGGGATGTATTCCCCAAGCAGCCAGCGTCATTGCTCTACAAAATTCAGCCACGAAAGGATCGCATCGCTTCCCCGGGGGCCAAAGGCTCACTGCGACTGACTGTTGAGTTCACATGCATTGACGACGAGTGTCTAGATTCTGTTGAGAAGACATTCCGAGCCGACATCGAAGCGAGCGAATTCCGCCGTCATACGTCTCTACTCACGTCACACGTCGTAGACGCATTCCGGACCCAGTTATCAACGTCAGATATGGAAGTAGTCGCACTAACACGGGAGGTTGGGACGCTCGCGTACGAGAACGTCCGTTGGGAAAACCTCTTTGGCGCACTGAAAGGCCCAGCTGATGGCTTGCGAAAGTGGCTCGTGGACTGGCACCACAAGCACCCGACCATTACCCTCCCGCCCCAGCAACCCACAATCCCCAGCCGACGCATCGTGATCCCCGTCGACATTCCAGAGATCCAGGTCGTGCACACGGCCGAACTTCGACTGGGGCCCCTGGCCGACGCACAACCCACCACCACCACGCACGCGGCAGTTGGGCAAATGATAGCTGCGGAGCTGCGCCTACGTCACACGCGGAGATGGTGCTCACCAGAACACCAGGAGCACGCCGGTAGTGCGCTGGAATTCGCATACGAACTCCATACCAACCCGGAGTTATGGCTGGTGGGGGGTCGCCGGCGAGGAAATTTCTTGGCTTGCGAGGGCGAAACCACGACGTTTGCTATGATACTTTTACCGCAAAAGGCGGGCCATTTGCTTTTGCCAGGATTGGAGATAAAGGCCTTTGTGCCAGCCTCGTCTACGCCCACTGTGGTCACAACACCGTCGACGACTGCCGCCACCACACCAGCCGCTACTGCTACTGCAATAGCAGGATCGGGCAACGCCGGGGCACCCTTGCAGCGGAGGCAAATCGCGTGCGAGGTGGATTATCGCAATCACGGGGAGACGGTGCAGGTGCTACCGGATCTTCGCAAGACGACAGTGAGTCTGAGCACGTCTGGGGGCCAGAATGGCGGGGGATCATGGTTGGTTGATTCCGAGCGACGGGTGTATACCAATAGTATCCCTAGCCAGTAGACATACAAGTAACATAATCCATTTGGTATAAGTTCAGTTCAGCTGAGATGGCGGAGTATGGCTCCGATAGGTGTGTATTGAGAGTGTAATTTTCAAAGTGTGATACGGTATGATATACTAGCGCCCGAGATTGACAACCTAAAAGGGTAAAGGCAGGGAGACCCACCGGCTCAACAAAAACGCAGAGTTTTCCCCAACAAGACTAAGACTCGGCTCTGCGCTGTCTTGGTAGTGTGATCAGTCCTTGATTTACCCCGTCTATGAAATGCAAAGTACTATGTACGGAACATACAACAGACAATAATTGATATTGATACTAACAGCATATATTTCTACTTGTACAATACTTATCCTGTACAATAATATCTACTTTATGTATTTGTACTTGTACCGCAAAATCACATGTTACAAGAAAAGCTAGCTGTACATGCATGATGAGCATATATACCGTCTTTGATTGGTCAATTCTAATAACCACAGACCCTGGGCTGATCTTGGGATTTTTGTGGCGGGAGAAGAAGTGGGTCGGTCGATGTTCTGGAAGGATTGGGCTGGACTCACATGTTCAGACTACAGTACGGTATGTATTGAATAGTGCAGAATAGCGCTGATAAGGTATATATATTTTTTTTTGAAGAGAGAGTTGAATTATAATGATGCACATATTCATTGTATGCAGGATAACCAATTGGGTATAAGCGTAGAGAACAAAGTTATGAAGGTTGTGTACTCCGAAACATGTGATTTGGATTTACTCCAGGTCTGATAAGAAAGCCCCGAATCATCTCCGCCCCACCACTTTCGGTTCGAGTACGGAGTACCCCTCACGCAACTACGATCGTTCTCTGCACATGGACGGAGTAAGGAAGTACCTCATATAGCTTTCTACATAGCACTGTATTTGTATAATTCTACCTCGGAGTAATACTCTGTATACTCTATAGAGTACATGTGATTGTTGAGAAAGCCAAACTTCCCCTCTACCCGGATCCATTCACGATCGCCATTGGTGCGGGCGGTGAGCTGCCATACAGTACTCCATACGTACAGAGTATCCGTGTACTTGTATAATGTCAATGTTCTGTACAGGTCAGTACAGCAAAACACCTGTTCATATGCGGTGTGCGCCCAAAGAAAGCTGGACAGTGGTTGGTCATTAGAGTTGCTGAGGCTGAGGTGCAGTCACGCTGCAGAAGAGCTGAACCACGGCAAACTTGAAAATTACCGCTCAAGGCAAATCTGCAGAGTCTGCACCAATGGAATTGTAAATCACCACTGAAAAATACCAATACGATCTTTCGGTACGGTACCTGGCACCCATCCAAACACAGATCCTCATCCAGATTCTCTCTCCCCTTTCTCTCTCTCTCTCTCTTCTGAATTTTCTCTTCAGCTGCTTGTCGTCTTTTATTTTTTCTGAGGGTTCCGCTGGTCCCTGCACTGTCATCACTCTCTCTGTCTTTCTTTCTCTCTCCTTTCCTCGACCCTCTTTTTTAACCCTCCAGTCGCCGTTGAGCAGTTGAAAACCGGGGCCCTTCCAGACGCCGTTTGGTTTGTTGGTTGGTTGGTTTGTTTTTCTCTTTTTCTGCGTGTTGATCCCGGTGAGTGCGTGGCGTTGTTTAGCTGTCTGACATCCGTCCCTCTCCACACCCTCTCATTCTTCAGCTCTTTTAAGAGTCTTATCCCCCCTCCCCTCCTCCCCCGACTTTTTCTTTCTTCCCACTCCAGTTAGAACTTCTTTCTGGCACAGTCCTCCGGATCAATTGACTGACAAACAATTCGACTAGTCAGTCTATCCTTACCGGAGATCAACCAACCATGTCTTCCACCGCTCTCCCTAAGCGCGTTGCGCTGCACCGCAACCCTACCACCGACTCCAGCAACGTCTCGGCCTCTCCCTCGCCCTTGGATAGCCCTCGTCACTCGCCCTCGTCCACCTCTCTCTCGTCCATGGGGTCGGATGCTGAAAAGGAGGGTCAGGGCAAGATGATCGACACCTATGGCAACGAGTTCAAGATCCCCGACTACACCATCAAGCAGATTCGGGATGCTATCCCTGCCCACTGCTTCGAGCGCTCTGCCGTCAAGAGTTTGTCCTATGTGGCCCGGGATATCGTCGTCATCGCCTCCATCTTCTATGTCTTTCAGAACTTTGTGACCCCCGAAAACGTGCCTTCTTACCCTCTCCGATTTGCTCTGTGGGGGCTGTACACCATTCTTCAGGGTCTCTTCGGCACCGGTATCTGGGTTTTGGCTCACGAGTGTGGTCACCAGGCGTTCTCGCCTTCCAAGAGGCTGAACGACACTGTCGGCTGGATCTGCCATTCTGCTCTGCTCGTCCCTTACTTCTCGTGGAAGATTTCCCACGGAAAGCACCACAAGGCTACCGGTAACATCGCTCGTGACATGGTCTTCATCCCCAAGACGCGCCCTGAGTATGCTTCCCGCGTTGGCAAGGCTATCCACGAATTGAACGAGCTGCTCGAGGAGACCCCCTTCCTCACCGCCAGCAACGTTATCATGCAGCAGCTGTTCGGTTGGCCCATGTACCTCCTCACCAACGTTACTGGTCACAACAACCACGAGAACCAGCCCGAGGGCCGTGGCAAGGGCAAGCGCAACGGTTACTTTAGCGGTGTCAACCACTTCAACCCCTCCAGCCCTCTGTATGAGGCCAAGGACGCTAAGCTCATTCTCCTGAGTGACCTCGGTCTCGCTATCACCGGTTCGGTTCTGTACTTCGTCGGTACCAACTATGGCTGGCTCAACTTGCTTGTGTGGTATGGGATTCCTTACATCTGGGTGAACCACTGGCTTGGTAAGTTCTCTTCCGTTCAAGAAGAGGAAAGACAAGAAAACTGACTCAGATTAGTGGCCATCACTTACCTCCAGCACACCGACCCCTCCCTCCCCCACTACCAGCCTGAGGTTTGGAACTTTGCCCGTGGTGCCGCTGCCACCATCGACCGTGACTTCGGTTTCGTCGGCCGTCACATCCTCCACGGAATCATCGAGACCCACGTCCTCCACCACTATGTCAGCACTATCCCCTTCTACAACGCCGACGAAGCCAGCGAGGCCATCAAGAAGGTCATGGGCAACCACTACCGCACCGAGGCCCACACCGGCTGGACTGGATTCTTCAAGGCTATGTGGACCAGCGCTCGCACCTGCCAGTGGGTTGAGCCTACCGAGGGTGCCAAGGGTGAGGGCCAGGGTGTGCTCTTTTACCGCAACGCCAACGGTATTGGTGTCCCTCCGGCCAAGGTTGCTGCCAACTAAGTCAAGAACAAGCAAGCATCTGGTCCCATCTGGTCCAGTATGGTGAAGACACCTCGTGGTTACTCTCGCAGGATCGAAAATTGCCACGGTACATGGAAACAACACATTTGTCAGATGAATGATCGATTTAGTTAAACATATCATGTTGGTTGATTAGAAAAGGCGTATTTGGAGGTGAAAATATTTCTGTCCGTCTTTTTTTTTTTTTTTTTTTTTTTTTTTTTTTTTTTTTTTTTTGTTGGTGTATCTTGCTTCTCTCCCTTTTCATCCATCATCCCCCCAATAATACTTATGATTTAATCTGGGGGGACAGCCCGCCTGTGTGTGCACATTTCTGTCATCCCTCACATTTCTTGCATGATCATTCGTTTCATACATAGACCGCCGGCACTGTTAGTCGGCGGAGTTGCCACGAGATCACGAATCAGCTAGTTCATTGCCATTAGATGGTTGCAGTTGAATAAACTTGTTCGACGAAGAAAGGTTCACAGTAAGAAGTGAAGTGTACAAAGCAAACATGAAATGAAACCAGGAATATGCGGGGTTGGAATGTATTCGGCTTCCGGGAAAACCGCTGAGCCTCATTCAAGGTACCATTTATAGCAGTTTTATAGCAGTGTTATATATTGGTTTCTAGTCTTTATGCACGTAAGAATTCCGATGTAACTCCGAAAGCACGCTATGCTATGCTATGCACATTCATATCACATCTTGTTCTAACCACAACTGATCTATGACTCCGGTTGAGAACCAACACTCCTCAACCCACCTTTCCAAATCTCGAACTCGACTTCGTCTTGAATAATGCCTGTAGTGTCCTCGTCGAAGGTAGATCCTGCAGTCCACGGCGCGAAGACGAGTTTCATTGTTCGTTTGATGGGTCTTCCCATGGGTTTCGGTGCCGGTGCCGGTGGTATTGATGGGGGGAGCTTTGGTGTTGGGGTTTGTTCTGACGCTTGCTGTTTCTCTGGATTGACAGTTATGTTGGCTTCTGGATTATCCCGTACCGTCTTTGCTGTTGCGAATGGATCAGGTTTGTCCGTAGACGGTACTTCATCCTGAGATTGAGATGTCCCCAGACCATGGCCCTGCGTGCTCATATACCCATCGTCATAATCACCTTGATCAAACGCCAGCCCAGAATCGTCTTTCTTCAACGCAATTCGACACGCGATCTGCGTCGTCCAAACGAACCCCAACGCTGGTGTTTTAGGTGTTTGTCTCTGCAACGACGATGTATACGGTGAATCACCCCAGCCTGTAAAGAAGCGTTGCTGGTGTAATAGGCTCAATGTTTCGTTGCGGACGGGGTTGCCGACAAGATACGAGCCGTCAAATTGCGGGTCTTCTTCTAGGGGGAACGGAGAGGAAGGGAAGGCAGGTGAAGAGGAGGGTGGGTGTTGGTTTTGTATTTGTAGGAGGTCGGTGTTGCTTTCTACTCCCGGGCCTGGTGCTAGGCGGCTTTTGGGCATGGGTGAATCTGGGGTTGGTTGAGGTGCGGTGGCAGCAGGTATTCGCGATGCGATATATGGGATATTATTATCCATCGGATCGAACCGATCCGAGACCTGGTTAGCAACCACGATAGCAATGTCCTCCTTTGCCGCCATATTGCGGAGTAGCTGTCCCAACTTCGCTAGCTCTCCGGAGCGCGTTGATAGTGAATTGATATTATGCGACGAGTGCTCTGCGCGGAAATTCGCGGTTATGGAATCGATAACCACCAATCCAACATTATACCGTGCTATCGCGACAGGGAGCTGGTAATTGAGGATATGGTCCTGGCTCTCCAGGTCCATCGCGTTGATGGCCAGGACATTCTGTAAGGACGGTCGTTGCTTCGGTGGGAGCGTCGAGAGGTACGGGTTGGAATCGAGGTATTGCGAGAGACGCGGTGTGGCTAGGGGCGCTTCGGTGGATATGTAAATTGCTCTTTTGTTCAAGCCCTTGGGACTGGGCAGTTGGACGGCGAGGAGGAGGCTTAGGAGGAATTGCGTCTTGCCGCTCCCGCTGGTACTCTCAGCATGCCATACACAAATCCAAACAAACCCAGGGGAAAAAGACCAACCTTTCACCCGTAATCTCCGTCACATAACCCGCCGGAATCCCACCCTCCAACAACTCATCCATCGCAGGATCCAGCGTACTAACCGCACCCCATTGCGACAAATCCAACCTATTCAACACCCCCGGAACAACCGCCGCATCCGTATCCAAACTCGAAGACTGCGTATTCCCCAGCTCCTCCGGTGCTATGTCCCTTTCAAACCCCACATCGCAGTGCAGGGCGTCGACGATTTGCGCGGACAACCGGCGGACGTCGGCGGGGGGCACATGGGCGCGTTTTGCGATCTCGAGGGTGTCGAGGGTGATGAGGTCGACTGTGTTGATGTTGTTTCTTTCGAAAGGGGGGAGGATGTGCGTATAGGGTTTTGTTGGGAAGGAGGGGAGGATTGATAGAAGATCCATGTGTTGTGGAAGGTGGGAGGTGAGATGAAGGGAAGATTGGTGCGGAGCGGAGCGGAGAGTTGGACTCGGATTATGGAGTGCAGATGTCAACCTATCGACACTTTGGGTACTATTGAATATATTGCCTGAATATATTTATGTTCATATACATACTGGTTTTCTACAGACAGGTCCTACTTCCAGATACTCCCCTAGGGGGGAAATTGGGATATATATTGGTCACCGCTCATCACGCGATCTATGAATTAACAGCTAGTATGATTCTGAATGTTAGTTACACTAACGATTGGGTCTCTGTGATTTGTCCTTAAGAGGCTTGTAGCCCTAGCTTTACTAACTGCTTCACACGCTCATTCTCACAAGCTAACTCATGAGGTGCGATTTGGTAGCCCCTGGGTGATAATAACGAGTACCGTCTGCCCAGTGCAATTCATTTGCTAATGGTACGTGACTGGCTAGTAGCATGTTAGCTATGTAGAATAACACCAAATAGGGCATACATGCCTCTTCAGTCCACACGCGACCACCTTCCATGCTCAGCATACTCGTCAATCTTTTCAGACAAGAAATAGGGTGACTATACGCTGGTCAATCGGTCCCAATCTCTTCTCCCCGGCGAACCAGAGTGTCACATTCCCGTCAATAACTTGGAGATCGCCAAAACGGCAGGCATGAAGAACGGGAATCGAGGTTCGTTGAATCTTCGGGGTCAGCATCATACCGAAACGTATGCTTCAGAGCCTATATCTTTGTCTGATATGGGTTTCCAGGTGCTCAATGATGGCGTTTTCGACCTCATTTTTTGGATACATTTCCAGCATTTGGTCGATTATCATCAACTGAGACCTTTCGCGACCTCCATGAGCTAACCGAATAGGAATTGAGCCATATCGATAAAGAAAATGAATGGATTAAATGGCTATCTAGAATATGTTACAATGACTCGTTCATCTGCATTGTCAAGAGCTCGGAGGCGCAAAGCCAACTGGAACAGACACTCCGCATTGAGTAATGGCGTCTGTATGTATCAGTCCTGCGCTACTCCTGATGAATATCTAAAGTCCGACTTACTTAAGTTGCAATCTCCAATCCTCGCCAAAGATACAAAACAGTCGCGGTTTCCATTGTAGCCCCAGCGCCTTGAATCTAAGAAAGACTGTACAGACATGAGGAGGCCAGTAGCAAAAAGGATTAACTTACTTGTCGCCTTGAACTTCCTCGCCCCTGTTCCAGAGGCAGTCGATATCCCGGGAGCTGCCTGGAGGGAATGTGCTCTTAATATCGCAATTGCCAGGGCAGAAACGGCAATTTGCAATGCCAGAGCCGGTAATCCTGCAGGTTTCAGCGGCAGCGATGCCTAAATAGGCAAGAAAGGCGTACAGGAGCATGTTGCTCTTTATTGGGATGTTGCAGAAGACGGCAATGATTTATGGCGAGAACTATTTATCTTTGATTATGTGTGCTTCCATCATGGTGACCCTTATTAAGTATACGGTATGATGTCCGGAGTACAATTCCGGGAGAACTTTCCACTCGTTTCTGCCAGAAAGTACAACGACTGAACAAAACCTTACCACATACTTACAGAGTATAATTAGGACCTTCGTGAAAACATAGGTGCGGGCACATCCAGCCCTGACCAAGTCCCATGAGCCGGCCAGAGATTCTTCTAACATCCGTGGGACCTGACAACTACAGGATTTCAAGGGAAACAAAGACAGTGCCTGAGACTCGACTCAACTCGACCGATAGTAGTCATGACATAATTAATGTATACTCGTATGTCTCACAGTAAGTTATCCAAGTTATTCATCATCATCATCATTGCCGCCTTCAGCAACAATGCGTCTCCACTCGTTGTCGGGGCCAACGATGCGGCATCTTGCGGTAGCAGAAATGCCTATAAAGGCAAGGAACACGTACAAGTTCATCTGCATGGTTCGATTGTCGTTGTCTGTGTTTGCTGTCTGTTTTTGAAGGGAGGAGTAGTTGGGAAACGCATCTCAACTGAGCAGCCAATGCTATTTATATCCATTGTCCACTGGGCAATATAATGGATGTCTTCCATCATGGTGACTCTTATAAGTTATCGAGTACTATAGTGAGTATTTCCCTGCTGGTGGGCTGGCCCTTCGTGGACATCTAAGCGTCAGCGTTCATTATTCGCATGTTGAGCATCAATGACGAGTCAGAGGTAGCTGACATAAGACGTGCTCGGAAGTCAGCTCTGCTCAATGAGAAAAAGGCATCAAGGGCTGAGAATGTAAGATAAAAAGGACAAAGCAGCAGACTAAGTATCACTCGATCCATGACGTACAGTCTATATAACAAAATGTCGATTCCACAAGATGTCCGGAATACATTTCCGAGAAACTCAATTCCTCTACTTCCAAAACTGCCACCATTTCGGCTGTTTTCGCTTCTTCAGCTCCGCAACCCCGGCTTCGACCAAAGACATGATTTCCTTACTCCCCGAGTTCCGTGCTTGTTCCAGCATCTCCTCAATAGGGAGGGAAAATGTTGCCTTCTCGAAAAACAGTTGAAGAGAATCAAGACGTTGCTTCCTGATTGCCTCATCAAAAACAAGAATACCTACCACGGCTCCCTTATGAATCATCTTGTTCATGGTCTCCAGAGACCGCGAAAACTCCAGTGCGGAGTAGAGAGCACCATAACCATTCCAAGAACCCTCTTTTGGATCAGCCCCATTGTCCAAAAGATAATGGATGAGCGGTAATGTCTTGTCGCTTGCAGGGGAACCATATTGCCAGCCTCCGCGACAGGCTTCTGTTAAGAACGTTTGCAATGGATTGAATTCAAAATTGACGATGCTAGGTGTGTGCGACTGAAGAAATTTCAATATCTCGATGTTTGGATAGTCGATGATTGTTCGGACGATTTGGTCACATCCTATGTTGCCTTCTGGGTGCATTGAGAGGAGATAGGCGCCATCGGGACATATTCTTGGATGATGGCCGCGGTAATCAGCTCATACGTTGGGAGTGGTCCATCCTCGGTCTCAAAACTGCTCCAAATAACTAAGTCGGGACCCTTGCTGGACTCCATGGGCTTGGTATAAGTGCTGTAATGTTGAGAGATCGCCAGCCTCGCAGGCTTTTAACATGGCTTTATTGTGAGCTGGTTGTTCTTCTTTTCGAGTCACAGGTTCAGCCATGACAGCTGATTGTCCTCAGAAGTAAACGTAAGAAAAAAGGGAGGGAGAAAGAAAAAGAGTCTCTAGAAGATACATGGATACTCCTATAGATGGACAAATTATAGCTTTCGGTACGCGCTACAATGTATCAAGATGCCCCAGCATACTGATATATAGTTTCTCCAAGCAAACCTCTGCCATTGACCATAGTACTGTACTATTCGTCCCCAAAAGACACAAAAGTACGGAGTGCTCCGTACAAAAGCTCGTATACAAAGTGCAAACCCAACAAACATATCACATGACACCGTGTTTTGTTTATTTCGAACTTCATGTCATGCCACTGATCGAAACATGTATTCTCTGAATGAGATACGGAACTGGTGAAGAATTGCAGGAATACCCTGCGTCGACTCGACGCTTCCGGCTACATCATGAAGCCCACGAAAGCAGACACATCCAACTTCGACCAAGTGTTATCGGCCAGACAAGTGGAAGGACTGATCACTAGTGGCCATTCAATCATCATCCTGGATCAGAAAGTCCTCAAAGTCGACGCGTGGATCAAGTATCATCCCGGCGGCCATAAAACGATCGAGCATATGGTGGGAAAGGACGCAACAGATGAAATTACCGTGTTAGAATAATTGCTCTTCTTTCTTTCGGGCCTTTCTGCTGCTGACAGTTCCCGGGCATTAGTTTCCACTCGGACGAAACGCGCAGTCAGATGTTCCGGTACCAGATTGGGAGGATTGAAGGGCGATGGGAGAACCTCGTGCCTCCTATCCAGGGAGGGCAGCATCGAGAATACCCAAAGGCCAATGGAGAGGCCTCGTTGCAGCAATCAACACCGAGGCTCGATAGCCCGTGTGGACTTTCTTTTCTCGATAGCTTGACAGTGAATGAAGTGGTGCTCACCATGGACAAGTACCCTTCACTGGACCAGAATACGCAGGATGGAATTACCGAGAAATATCGGGAGCTTCATGACAAGATCCAGGCTGAGGGATTATACGATTGCAACTATACTGCCTATGCCTGGGAATTTGGGCGCTGCTCATTGATCTTTGGTCTCATGCTGCTTCTTCTTCATGCCGGGTGGTATTGTACCAGCGCCATCTGTCTGGGCTGGTTCTGGTCACAGCTTGTTTTTGCGGCCCATGATTCTGGCCACATGGGCATTACGCATAATCTGACGATTGACAGCCTGATTGGTATGATTATCGCTGCCCCGATTGGGGGTCTTTCGCTGGGCTGGTGGAAACGTACGCATAACGTACACCATATTGTGACCAACGCGCCAGAACATGACCCTGATAACCAGCATCTGCCATTCTTTGCCGTGAACCATCGGTTCCTTGGTAGTTTGTTTTCTACCTATCATGAGCGGCTCATGTCTTATGATGCTGTGGGAAGGCACTTGGTTCGTTACCAGGCTTTCCTCTATTAACCGGTTCTGATGTTTGGCCGGTTCAACCTGTATGTCCAATCGTGGATCTTTCTCATCCTGGGCCAAGGCCCTCGAAAAGGCGCTGTATGGTAGCATCGCTGGTTTGAGATCGTGGGAAACTTGGTATTCTGGTATTGGTTTGGTTATCGCCTTGTTTACAAATCAATCCCAACAGCCTGGGCTCGATTCACCTTTGTCATGGTCAGCCACATGGTCACGATGCCACTACACGTGCAGTTTACATTATCCCACTTTGCCATGTCAACCACCGACCTTGGCCCAACAGAATCCTTCCCCCAGAAAATGCTGCGGACAACCATGGATATCGACTGTCCGGAATGGCTAGACTTTCTCCGCGGTGGTCTTCAATTCCAGGCGATCCACCATTTGTTCCCCAGGGTTCCGCGCCATAACCTCCGACGAACTCAGAAATTGGTGCTGCAGTTTTGCCGTGAGGTTGGCATTCCGTATGCGCTGTATGGGTTTGTGGGTGGGAATCGGAAGGTGGTGGGGAGCTTGGCGGAGGTTAGTCGGCAGGCTGCTATTCTGGCGCATTGTCAGAGGACTATTGCGAAACGAGGGGATCTGATCCATGGTCGTTGACTGATCATGTTTTCAAACAAACTCACGAATTGTATGCATACCAGCTTTATCCATCCTAGACTTGACATCATTGTAAGTGGCTACCACCGTACACCATAGATATACTCCTCGCACTCTTTCTCTAACAGGAATCCAACAGATCGATCTAATCTAAATCTACAAATTTGCAAACACCCCCTCCCCCCACTCATTCAATTATATCAACCATCCTTTTAGCCTCGTGGATGTAAAACATCTCAACCTGTCCTGCAGGTCCCTCTCGATACGACAAGAACCCCGAGCAACAACGAACCAATAGAACACCAAGCGAATATAAGACACGATCGGGCGATCTCAATTGATTGATTGATCGTCATCTGGCGTATGGTTTGCGTGGGAGTGAACATTTCATGGGTATGGGGCGGTCATCGGAGTTCTCCGTGTTCTCTGCAGATACGATGGATCCCGATAACTTTGTTTATAAATTGTGGCGATGTGAAGATTGACCGAGTATTGAACAGGTGACTTAAGTATTCCGTACCACGAGTATGTATCTGATAGTTTATATTGAACTCTCTCACACTCCATCACATTCTCCCCTATTATGGTGTATCTACCGAAATGAAAGTTCGCCCAATCAGAAGATCATGTATACTATCTCCGAAAGAAGGTCCTTAATTGGCCGCTCGGCAAATAGACTTTGACAGGGCTCAGGGTTTAATTAGAACGAGGAATGCGATTGGTGGCTGTTTCGGGTAAAAAAGAAAAAGCAATGGTCTGTGCGTGGTCATAGGACCGTGTACTCATGAGAGGGTGAGGATAAGAGAGTACGAGTATGTTCTGGGTTGAATTGTGTTCCATACGGAAAACGGACTTTCTGTATGCAAATGCAGAGTGATGTATGGGCGCTCCACTACCATCCAAGCATGAACAATCAATGGCTCGTGGTCGCACAATACAATCCCATTTTTACAAGTACGTAGTACTGCAGAATGCAGTGCAGGTCGTATTCCTGGTTACTGGTTACTGGACACCGACCCAAAGCTTCGTTCTTACATATGTGCAGAGTCCATCAACCTGGTACAGCCGGCCGTATCACCACCGGAGAATTGACCGCATTAGGCCCCAGCCGATGAACCAATCATGACTCGCACGAGGGAAGGCTGGTTAGCTTCGGCTCCGAAATCGTGAGTCATGTAAAACCATGTAATCCCACCGGTTAGGTTCTGGTACGTATGTCCCATGGCTACGGTCTGCCCTTGTACAAGCTTAGCTGAATTCAATCATTCATCAATTTTTTCTCATTCTCAACCACGGATTGACTAAACCTCGGAATTCCGTATTTATAGACTCATTTAGCCTGAATATTCCGTCACTATTCAACTATTCTACATTTGTACTAACTCGGTCCTGTTAATACCGGATTTGGCCGGAAACTGGAGACATTTTTTGATTCGGTCCGCACCGCCGGGGCCTGAGTGGAGTCGGTTACCTCAAACCAGCCAGTGGGAAACCATGGCGAGCGCCACGGTGGAGCTACTAAGAGGATCACGGGCCACTGACAGGCCGGAATTTGGGGTGGTGGGGTGCTTCCGCATGTGGTATGGTTGCACAGAGGTATTCTTCGTACCGCGTGGCCTCTTTGGGATAGCGTGTCAAGGTATTTGATATGGGTATGGAGTAGGAGTAGAGTTAAAATGTTTGAAGTGTGTATAGAGTTAATTCAGATCGATGAAATATGAAAGGCATGAAAAGCAAAGAAGGGCAATCCAGCGATCCAGCTGATAATTAGTCACCCGTACTCCGTGCTGTGTATGGAGTATGTACAAGTAATACGACCCGACCAAAACCATCCCTGTCGAATCCATCGGCCAACGCAGTCCGGGATCTGTTCGTCGCAGATCCAATTTACCGTTGTGATAGTATCGGCATGCTTGCACAAGTAGCACCATCCTTTAATTAAGGGTTGACACCGTTGGAAACACCCCCGGTACTATTGGGACCGGTACTGCGGCGTGATAGGTATGATCACCTGGTGGCCCAAAAATGGTACGGAGTGCTTACTGTGCTTATTATGTGCTTCTCAATGTCATGGCTGAATCTCGGATAATCCGAATAAAGTGCGTGTACTCCTTACATACTCTGTGATGTAGGAGAAGATAAAATTGGGTGGAATATACTGGGAATAAAGGCAGCCGAGATAAGCGCAATAAGTCTGTGTTGTTATGGAGCACCTATATTACAGCACATATATCCAATCCGTTGGACTGGGACACAGCATGCTGACGAGCTCCAGCTTGGGATTCTGCAGTTATCTGTGTTACTCTTTGTCTAGTACTTGTACTGCTCTCCCTAAATGGCACTAACTACTCCGTACTCTGACAGAAGCACTAAATAATAAATAGGAGATCCGACGGGAAAAAGTTTCCTCTAAGCGAAGCACCATCCCTGTCGCCAAGGGCCACTAATCGCACTAGCCCCGGATATAGTGGGGCCAACAAAAATAATTCCTCCCATGACAGAATGAAACCACGGACCACTCTCATTGTCCGCCAACCCGCTGCCCTGCCTGGGAAACCTAAACAGTCCATTTCGTTCCCTGTAGCCAATTAAAAAAAATAATTACTCCCAGTTAACATCCCAGATCCACTACTCTGGCTCGACCAAGTGGATATTTTCTCCACCATCCAACCACTCAGAGAGCTCGCGTCAGAATTTCCGGTAAAGAAAAACCTCGTACCTGACGTACGGGTTCGATACCAGCAGTCAGTGCCCCTTGGCACTCTCGCCGTGTATGTACATTACCGTAAAACTGCTGCCGCTCTCCCACTCTCTGGCCTCCTCTCTCTCTTCTTTTCTTCTCTTCTTCTCTTTCTATCTTCCCTCTTTCTATTCTTTCTGTCTCTTTTTTTTTTTTTTTTTTTTTTTTTTTTTTTTTTTTTTTTTTTTTTTTTTTTTTTTTTTTTTTTTTTTTTTTCTCCTTCTTCCCTCTGAACCATATCCCGCTCTACCCCAGACGGGATCTTCGCTGGTTCCTCCCCCCGGTTACTGTCTGTCGGGTTGTTTTTCTTTGCCTCTTGACTATCTTCTATACTCCCTTTATATATACCTCTGATTGACGTCGTATATCTATCGGGTACCCGCCTAGTGAGAAAAAGAGGATCGTTCTTTGTTGTTTTCGTCCCAACTTCTGCAGTTTTCCGACCTTCACACGTCTACCAGCTGGTCGGTTTCACGCTAGGAAACGGGGAAAGACATATTTCTTCAGAGCTTCAGAAGAACTGGTAGAGACGTGTCTCGATCAGCTCATTGATTCTGTTATCGTTGGACTAATCAATTGTCTGGTATGTGCAACGAGATCGATGTCTCGGGATTCAACTGGCAAGTGTACTAACATTTGACAGATATTACCAATCCCATCAAAATGGCGACGCGAATGCCCCTCATGCCTCCGGAGAACGAGACGGAGGCCCATTTCAGCCGGATTACCCGTGAGGGCAAGAGGATATCATACAAGCTCAGTGTTATGCAGCAACCTGAGCGTGCCAGAGCCTGCGGTGCGGGTGCCAAATGTATGTCATTACCCCTCTGATAACTTGAAAGGAAATGCTAACTGAAACAGCGTCTGCCGACCGTCGACCAGTTGATCCTCCGCCCGTGGTTGAACTGCGCATCTTCGAATCCGACCCTAACAACGACCTGCACAAGACTGATATCACCTTTGCCTACAATGCCAGTTTCTTCCTGTACGCGACATTGCAAACGGCACGCCCCATTGCGAATGGACGAGTCGCTGGTACTCCGAGCACTCCCGTGTTGACCGGTGTGCCCGTCGCAGGAATCGCCTATTTGGACCGTCCATCGCAGGCTGGATACTTCATCTTTCCCGACCTGTCGGTCCGTCATGAGGGTCAATACCGCTTGACCTTCCACCTGTACGAGGAGACCAAGGACCCCAAGGACGCCGATAGAGATCCCCCGATGCCGGACACCACCGTTCAACCGCTTAAACCGGGCGCCAGCACTCCTGACGCGTTCAACTTCCGTCTTTTGGTCAACTCCGTCCCCTTCACCGTCTACAGCGCCAAGAAGTTCCCGGGTCTGGCCACCAGTACTTCCCTGAGTCGGATCATCGCTGAACAAGGCTGCCGTGTTCGCATTCGCCGTGATGTCCGTATGAGACGCCGCGGCGACAAGCGCAACGACGACTACGACGAGTATGCTGCAGCTCCTCGCCAAGCAGACAACCGGTACTCCACGCCAGATGCCTATGCCGCAGCTGCTGCTGCCGCCGCCGCAGCTGCTGCCACTCCCATCGAACGCCCACGATCTGCCAGCACCAGCACGATTGAACCCGCTTTCCCCTACGCTCCTGATGCGCAGCGTCGATCTTCAGCATCTGATTACGGATACCCGTGTGCGCAGCCCTACCAGAGAGCCATTCCTGCCGCGCCTCCAGCTGCTCCCGCTCCGGTCCCTGCGCCGCAGGCATCTCCGTATACCTCGCACCTTTCATTTGGCTCTGCTCAGCCTCAGTACCACGCTCCTCAGCTCCCACCCACTCCCCAAGCGACCGCACCGGTCAACCCGTACTCGCCTCATCTGTCATACTCCCACACCAGAAATCCGTCGACCGAATACGAACCCACAGGGTATCCATACCCTCAACCGCGGCCACACACTGAGCGGACCTCCAGCTACCCCACACCTCTGCCGCCTCTCCGTCTTGAGCCGCCAAAGGGCTTCATGCAACCAGCGGGTGAATTCCGCTCCTCAGATCCCAACGCCTATCACCAATCTCAGACCCAGCCTCCAGCGCCACGGTCTCAAACGCCCTCAACAGGTCTGGTACCTTCCCTTCCGCCTCTCTCGTCCCTGTCCGGCGGCAGTGAATACGTCCACAATATGCCCAGCAGCATGGTTCCACACCCGAGCCACGAGATGACTCCGGGCAAGCGGTTCCTCTACGATGTTCCTGGACCGAAGTTGAGCAAACGGTCGCATGAGGATTCATTTGGGTTCGATGAGCGCCCGATGCAAAACGGCATGCGACCAGATACAGAATTGTATCCGAGCATGGAACGGAAGCTTTCTGAGTCCAGTCGGGCCTACTTTTGTGGTGAAACCCGCGATGAGATGGCATATAAGCGAGCCAACGGCCGCATGGCCATGAAGATTCCGCCGGCTTATTCTAGTTAATTCTTCTTAATTTTCTTTCTATATATTCGGACGGCGTCCTGGGCGGTTTTTCTTTTGTGGATGGGTTTTGCGCATTATATCCCCTGATCTGCAGATTGGAGAATTTTCATGGGACGGAATTGATGTTTATACCACTTTGCTTTGTCGTTCCTTATTTTCTTCTCTCTTTTTTTTTGATTTTTGTATATGATTTTCTTTTTTTTTTTTTTTCTTTTTTTTTTTTTTTTTTTTCCCGGTCTTCTCTGTTCTTGAGTACCATTTTCGTTTGTTTGGGATTCCACTCCTTGACTGGCTTTCTCCTGTTCATTGATTCCCCCCTGTCTTGTGTTTTAGCTGTTCTGTTGGTTATGGACACTGCATATGAGCAGCCTGCGCCATGATACTTGAGATGCTGGATTCAATTCAATACGTCTTGCATATATCTATCCATTGTAGACAGTATGTACCTGAAGAAATTGAGTGACATGTCCAACCAAGACATGTATATATAGCAGTGCACCGATCTATGTAGGGCATTGAGTCCTTGCAGGCACATATGAAACATCTGACAGCTGGACTTGCATTTATGCGTTGAATTGACTATGGATTTTACATGTCTTCTGCTAACAAAGAATTGTAACTGACTTGGCATGTTTTGCTCTGGCATTTTTAGTTTCAGTCGAGGATCGCCGCAAACTCCGCTATGTAAACAACTCCCATAACAACAGCGGCAGCAATAACAATAACATCGACTCACGGTGTTTTTCTTCTTTTCTTTTGATCTTGTGTTCTTCTTTCTGTTTTCTTCGATTTTGCACTTTTAATTATTCTCATTGTCGACATCTATCTCAATGTCTACGGATTAATTCTCTGAATATCCGTTGTTGTTCGGTTGCTAACAAACAAGCAGGTAACCATGGTTGAGGTTCGCCCCCCCCCCCTGCTCCTAAATATACACTCTACTAACTACAGAACTAATAAAAGACCCCCTGCCTCGAGGTAAACCTCGACCTAGGCCCCCTCCACGCCGACCACCAACTCCAAGAAGCCCTCCACCTCAACGCCAGCCGCGACGACCTAGCAACCACGTCCTCCGCAGGTCGCAAACACTCCCGCTCAAGCTCGAATATCAGCGGCAACAGCCTGGATTCGAACGGCTCTGATGTTTCTGGGAAGTTTGATGACGCGGATGAACTTGAGTACTACAATGTTGATAAAGAGGGGGTGAATGGTTCACCGCATTCCCCGAAGAGACGCCGGTCGAACGATTTGCCCGAGTCTCGTGGACAGGCGCATGGACAGGACAAGGGACGAGAAGAAGTGAAGAAACACCACGAGAACGCGAGTAGTTTCGGGCGGAGATGGAGGAATCGCATGAACGGTTCTCCTCGTGTAACTGCTACAGCCTCGAACTCGAACTCGGCAAAGAGTCCCAAGAGTCCTGCGCCCGGTGGTCGGCGATCACGTTTCGTCGAGGGGACTATGAACGACAGCGTCAGTGAGAAACCGCCTAGTATTTACCTTCGCGAAGATTTGTATGCACAGGAGCATCAGCAATACCCCCAGCAACAGTACTTTCAGCACGAAAGGGGCTCTGGTGGTGCGAGTAACCACAGCCATAAATCTTCGGGGATCTTTCGATTTGGAAAGGCGATTGCCTCTGCGTTTAATCCATTCGGTGGATGGGCGGGGGCTTGGAAGGGGGATTCCTCTATTTCTGGTTCTGGTTCTGGTTCTGGCTCTGCGTCTACAGATGAGAATTACAACTACAACCAACAGCAAGAGGATGACATCACGCGCGTGCACAGGGCCTACGAGGAGCTGAAAAAGTCCGGTTTCAAGGGAACCGTCAAAGGCGCGTACATGCAAGATGCGCAGTCCTCGAATGCACTCCCCGAGCAGGCGTGGAAATCCATTCAGGAAAAGATGGACACCAACTACAAGCCCTCTACTCCGGGCCACCACGCACGACAGATATCTGGAGAGAGCCAGGACTCGACAATTGGGGGATCGATTAGGACATCGTTGGATCTGCGGAGCTCGTTGGATTTTCGGGGCGCGTTGGATCTTCGCAGGGCCAAGTCGTCGCTTGGTATCTCTTCGTTGGTTAAGCAGCAAGAACCTGGTACTCCGGAAGTGCGAAAACAGAAGTCCCGGAAGGATCTTTTGAAACAGGCGAAGTTGTTGAAGAAGGTTAGTAATCTGGAGGATAAGCTTGAGCGCACTAGACGTGAGCTTCGCGAGTTGCAGGGTTCTCAAGACAAAGTACCGAAAATACCGAAAGAATATGAACAGGAACAGATCCAGGGACAGCGACGTGAGGAACAGCCACAGTCAGAACCACCACAGCAAGAGGAGGAACCCGAACAGCTACAAGCGCAGGAACCGGTCCCGCTGTCAGCATCGGAACAAGCCATGTCTCTCGAGCAACCCTTTTGTCCCAAGCAATTCGTTCCTGGCACTCTTTCCACCCTTCCATCGGAGAGGACTTTGGAGAACCAAGCGGAGGCTGAGGATAAGAAACGTTCCCACGCAACTGATACTACTGAGACTACTGCTGCTGGCGTTACTGATGCCGCTGGTGAACCATTGCAGTCGCTTTCACCAAACATCACTCGTGAAGCGAATACAACCACCACGCCCAAAAAGGAGACGAAAGAACAATCGTCCCTATCTGCGACGACTGACAGCTCCTCCCTTAAGCGCAAGTCTCCCGATCCAAAGTCTCTAGAGGTATCGAAAGCCCTCGACCCAAACCAAGACACCAACACCACTTTCGAAAAAGGAACCCCCTCTACAACTACCACACCCACCAAATCAAACAGCACCCGCCGTCGCTCCAAATTCCAAAAAATGGGCAAAAGCGACAGCCCCGGCTCCGTCGAACGCAGAAAATCTCAATCCAGCACTCCTGGATCAATCACACGGCGTAAACCGCGCTACCTCAACCCTACTAGTCCGAGATCTTCCTCGTCAGCGAGAAGAAGATCCAGATCGATTTCTATATCTACCTCTGCATCGCCTAGGAAGGCGCAGGCGCGTCTGAAGACGAAAAAGGGATTTTATGATCTTGCGTCCGCTTCTGCTACCGCTCTACCTCTCACTGATAAGGACGTCGGTATGGATATAGACGTGGACTCGGATGCAGATACGGATATCATGGACTACGATATGGATTCTGCGCAGCAACAGCAAAACCATTTCTATATGCAGGGTGCCCAGCAGCTAGACCCCAACCATAGTGCAGACTCAACACCAACCCCCACACCCAGCCGCAAATACTACGATTTCGAATATATCCCACCCGTCCCACCGCTGCCCAAGGACCTCGCTGCTACCACTGCGAAGGTTGATCAGCGGTTAGCTAAGGAGTTGGTGAGGAGGAAGAGTATTGGGGCGACTGCTGTGCATAGTAGTGCACAAAAGAGCCAGATGCAGGCGAAGCAGCAGGTGGAGGTGCAAGTACCTATGAAGGATGATTTTGAGTGGCCGGAAGACATTTTTTGATGTCTCTGGTTGATTGTATGTCTTTTCTATGTACTTTTTATGTTTCTGTTCTGGGGTTCATGTTCAGACTTGGACTTGGAGCAGGATGATGATATGACGATTTATGACCATGTACTAATCTTGTTCGTTTCTGTCTGGAAATCTCAGATGTTGTTGGTTATGTTGGCTTATGTTGGTGTTATTTCCTTTGTCTGCTAAATAACAATAATGCTATGATTGATCTGCTTTGTAACCATAGTAGTATGCTCCTGTACAATGCAATACACAACACAATCTACAAAATAGCAGTACCATTACCATGCGACCCAACACCCCCCGCCACATTCGCCGGCGCACTCGTCACAAAAAACGTCCACTTCCCCAACTCGCGACACCTCCCACTCAACCTCTCCAAATCCCACATCTCCCCCAACGGCATCCCCCACAGCGCCAGAATCTGCTGATGAATATACCCATTCTCCTTCTTCGGCGGCCAGCACTCAAACGTCGGCGAATCACCCACCAACGCCGCAAAGTAAGAATCATGCAGCCAGTCCAGGATCGCTTCTTCCTGCGCCACACCTGCGAACTGCGTACGCTTTGCGCCCTCCGTGCGGGCTTCGGGGGTGAGTTGGTTATAGCGCTCGATGAAGCCAGTGCGCACCATGAGGATGTCGCCGGGTTTGATGGAGCCGCCTTGCGACTCGGGGCAGATGTTGAGGCCTTGGGATTTGGCGCAGGCGTCGAGGTCGGCGAAGGTGATGGGATGGGGCGTGTAAGGGTCGTAAGGGATGTTGTTGGTGTTGGCGTAGTGGCGGTAGTCGAGGAGGATGGCGCGGCCGGCGATGCCGTGGGTGGACCAGTGGTGGATGCTGCATTTGAGGTTGGCGTTTTCGCCATAGATGTCGGAGGGTTTTGTCTGCGACGTTAGCTTTGGCTTCAAGAGGATGGAGGGATGGGTGCATACCCCGTTGTAGAAGCAGCCAGATTCGATATGGCCGAACTAGTTTCGTTAGTATTTACCCCATGCGGTAGATATATATCAAGTGAAGGTAACATACGTGACGGAATCCATCCCACTGCGTTCCACTCTGCGTGTTTAGGTTATATGTATCATCATAGGCAACTCCAGGGAAGAGCTCCTTGATGTTATGCTGGAAAACCTCTCGTCCGAATGCCGGTGTCTTGGGGACGTCCAGTGGAAGACTATCACATCAACACTCTGCACATATACTCAATCACAATTGTAAACTCACTCCAGTCGAATAATTTCACCAGTCTTGACCTCCTGGATTGCAGTTTTGACACGAGTCGGGGTCAACAAGTTCAATCGTCCAATCTATATCGTCAGTTAGCATAATATATCATCCATGCCTCGGAAGCAACTCACGGCATCATCTTCTCCCCAGACCCAAGCCGCATCTTCCGGCGCACCAGGGAGCTTGGGCAATTCCTTGCGAGAGGGGAACCGGGTCGAGTCCGGGTTCCAGGGAAGTTGGTTGGGGTCTTGGACGGTGGACATGTTGATAAAGTCTGGGACAAAAGTGGAAGAGAGAATTGGGGATTTGGACGGGAGAGAAAAGGGCGGGAAGCCTGAAGAGAGAACAGGGAAGAGAAGGGGATCCCTTATGTAGTATCATTTTGTGGTACTGGTGGGGGAACTCCACCCCCTCCGGGACTCATCCGGGGAAGAGCCATAGCATCCTGGTCGCCGATTAGAGGATGAGTGTCTTTCACTGGCCGGAGGAATGGGGAGACAACGTGTAAAGACACGGATAGAGTTAATTGCTCGAGTTTGTATGGAGACAGAAGAGGAGATGTCCATGGGTTTCATGGAGCGTCGTGGAGCTGTGGAGGTGTTGCTGGTTATGAATGTTTTATGTTAACGTGGGGAAGACGATCTAGTTATGAAGTTTCCCCGCATTTCGGAAGACTGTTCCTGCCGGCTACTATGTAGTAACTATACATTACGGAATACATAACATGATTCATGACCCAACGGTCGTTTTTTCTTTTTTATTCAGTCGGTAGTACGTGTAGTACCTTTAGGATATGATACACTGCCAATTGGTGTTGTGGTGTCCATGTCCGGTGCCAGAGACCAAAGACCGGGCAGACCGCGGACAGGCAAAGAAAAATGATCATTCGTCAAGGATGTCTTCGAACCTCTGTCGAGACAAGCCCATGCAATATGTGCGAAAAGTAAAAGGAAAATCAGAACGCCGAGGACGAAGCAAACTTCGCCTAAGCAACAAGTCACCCAGACCACCGTAAACCATGTGCGAATCCCAATCGTATCGGAAGAGAAATGACAACCCGTCGGTCGAAATGTGAAAGACCAGGAATTCGTAGGACGCTATCATCCAGACGCCAGCAACATGAAAAATGACAATAGGTTTCGCCACGCCAAAAAAAGACTCATAATAATAAACACCAGATAGATAATAAGATACGACGAAATAAAGATTAAACACCGCTAAGGATACGGCGCCGGTAGACTTTCATCATCACGCAAGTGTGATTTAGGTGAGCGTCGGCACTCCAGTGGACTGAGAGGCACCACGTCCACCGCGGAAACCACCACGGCCTCGGGAGAATCCACGGCCATAACCACCGCGGCCCCGGCCGTAGCCTCTACCACGACCACGACCTCTGTAGCTGCCCCGGTAGCCGTCGACACTGCCTTGACCGAAGGTCTCAATGTTCCGCTTCTCTTCTTCGCCGCGCCATTCACGACCAACAGCGCGGGCTCCAGTTCCTTCCTCACGGTCACGGGACTCGCTGGAGATGTTGTCGAAGAATGAGCTGGTCCTGCTGTAAGAATTGACAGTCGCAGAAGCCGGCGTGCCATTATTGTCCGCGTCATCGGGTTGAGGATCACTCTCTTGGGGAACTATTTCCGCCTCGGCCGCAGGACTACCAGTGGCGATGGCTTCCTTGAGCAAGTCCTGTTTGTTGAACCTCGCATTCGCGGTTTCAAAATCATAGTCGGTCTGCGGGACCTCGACCTTCTTGTGTTGTTGTTGTTGTTGTTGGCCTTGGTACTGACCACGACCGCCACGCCCACCACGGGGTTGATAACCGCCACGCTGGGGACGACTGCCATCGTGGGTCTTCAAGTCATTCATCTGCTTGGTCACATGTTCAACAGATGTATCAGGCTTCTTGGGAACATTGGGCTGTGGCAGTTTAGCCATGGCAGCAGCGACTGCAGCAGTGGCCGCACGAGTAGCTTCAGTAACGGCGGCGGCTTGAGCAGTGCCCTGCGGCACATTGTTCCCTGGAGTGCTAGCCAGTGGAGGTTGAGCTACAGCAGGAACAGCAGGCTTAGCAGGTTGGGAGAATGGAATCGCCGGTTCCACGCGACTGCTCCTGGGTCCAGTAGGCGGCACCTTGGATGGAGTTGCCGTGGCAGCTCCGGGCGCAGCGTGTACAGCTTCAGTTACGTTGGGCTTAGATTCAATAGGCGGAGTTGGAGGCTTCTGAGCCGTAGCGGCAGCAGCAGCAGCAGCAGCAGGTGCAGGTGTAGCAGCCTGGCTGGTCGGCTTACTGGCGGGTGTTCCACCGACCGGAAGCTCAGAGGTTGGGTTGAGAGGGTTTACGGGACCCACACCCGGCATCCCAGGACGATGCTGTTGAGGTGGGGTTTGGTGTTGGCCTGGAGGTCCGATGGGCACCTGAGGGAAAGCTCCGGGTGTTTGGGGAAAACCCTGACCCGGAGGAGGATACCACCCTGGTGGGAATCCATACGGCGGGAAACCAGGTCCAGGTGGGAAAGGAGGCCCAAAGCGTTGTCCATAAGGCGGGTAGAATCCTTGGAACTGGGGCTGTTGGGGATAGCCAGGAGGAGCTTGATGAGGGACCTGAGGCTGTTGTGGCGGCTGGGATTGAGGAAGACCCTGCGGACCCGTGCGGGACATACTCTATTCATGACTGTTAGCAACTGATCGGACAAAGCGAGCAATGCAAGTCAAAACAAGAATAGTTTGATCATATCAGAAGGAAGGCAACGGAAAGATCCACATAAATTGTTTGCGCAATTCGGAACAGGTCTGTGAGTTTACATCCGAGATAATTCATCATATGATCAATTGCCCGACCGCGGCAGGTATGCACATGGAATGGCCGGACAATGCAACAAAAAGAAGGGAGAATAGAAAAAGTGAAGTCACTTACTCCTAGAATGGCGGGGTCATCCGGAACCTGAGGTGGCTCAGGCTGTGTGTTTTCCTTTTCCTCAGCTACGCTGATGTCCTTGACATCACTACCCCGGAACACGATATATTCGTAAACACTGCCAGATGGAGGGATCTCCTCGGCCGGGTTGCCTCGTCTACCTTCCGTTCCGAAGGAGACAACATTCTCGAGAGCTATTGTCGAGGCCTCAGGGTTGATCTCATGTAAAGTACCAACATAACTAAGGACAGCAAAGCAGTTAGTTCGACTGCTCGAATGAATAGCAGCTGAGAAGCAAGGATAACATACCGAATATCACTCTTAGAGATCAGGTTGAACCGCTGACTGCCAGGTGTTAACTCCAGCCGAGCCGCACAAACCCTGGTTCAGACCAGTAGGCATAGAAGACTGACCCTATTAAATGGTTCATATCCATGCTGACAGGGAGTTGCGCGACACGCGCGAGTGAGAAGGAGAGAGAAAAAAAAGCAACGAAGAAGAGGTGGAGGGGAGGTATTTAAATGGTCGATGGAGAATGGGGAAAAGGGAAAGAAAAAATGTGCGAGCAAGCGAGAAGAAGCGAAGAGAGGAGGGAGGGAGAGGGAAAAAGGAAGAAGAAGCGAAAAAAGCGGGTTTTGTGGCCAGAAGTCGGCTACGGCGGACCGCAGGAGCTTGATAGGCAGTTTTGGTTGAAGAACAACACAGCAGAGGTGAATATCGTTGGGACCGTCGAGTAACGAACGCTTCTTTTCTACGCCAATAACACCATAATGGCTCAATCTTCTCACAGAGACGATTTCTTCCAGACCTCGTTTGTGCCAAAATGCATCTTCCAACTCCAGGCCCGTCACTGACCACCACGTCTCCAGGGCTGCTCTGGGTGAGCAGGAACGAAAAGATACCAAATCTCAGAATACAAACGGAAATCCCATTCGATTGCAAAGTAAAATCCTGGCTATCCAAGCGGGTCCTTTGAATTCCGGCTCTGTCTTTGTGGCTCAGAGTACCGGTGCTGTTCGGAGGGTCATCCTCGAAGTAGGTACATGGTGTCCTTAACAATCGGATGCCCGGCCAAGTCTCCTAACGCAATTCTCGATCCAATGGTTCACAGACAGGAGAAACTGCCGCTTTATACAAAGGACCAACTGCTCCGGTCACCAGCATTTGCTTCAGCCCAGATGGAAAGCTACTGTTCGCCGGATGCTGGGACAAGACCGTATGGAGCTGGGATGTGGCCACGCGGCAACCTAAACAGCGGTATGAGGGGCATACCGACTTCGTAAGGGCCGTCACCAGTACAAGACTGCATGGACAAGATCTTCTCATTACCGGAGGAGCCGATGCGCAAATCCTGGTATTCGACATTGCCAGTGGCCAACGACTACACGTTCTCAAGGGTCACGCCAAGGGCCTCCAAGATCTAGCGATGGATCCTGCCTCCCTGGACCCAGAAAGCAAGGAAATGATTGTATACAGTGCGGGAAGCGATCGTGAGATTCGACGCTTCGACATTTCCGCTGGCAGCCAAGATCTCACTCACACGGACCCTCTGTTGGTCCATGACACCAGTGTCTACAAGCTTTTCTTTGACAACGATGCTGATCTCTGGACCGCCTCTGCTGACAGAACGGCAAAATGTCTCGTAAGAGACGACAACTGGAAGCCTAACCTCGTGCTGCAACACGATGATTTTGTCCGGGATGTAGTGGTTTACGAACAAGGAGGCTGGGTGGTTACCGCCTGCAGAGATGAGGAAGTTCGTGTGTGGAATCGATCGGTATGTTTCAAGTCCCATCGCTAGAGCAGCTGATATGGGGAATGGTAATAACATCTACACTACAGACAGGAAAGCTCTACCATACATTCTCCGGCCATTACGAGGAAGTCACAGGACTTGTGCTCATTGGGTCGACCGTCGTCAGCGTTGGCATCGATGCAACCATCCGTCAATGGTCTCTCAAGCCGGATGAACTTCAGACTGCGGTGGAAAAGGTGAAGAAGACTATACCCGATGAGGACGAGGAGAAGCCGAACCCCGAGTCCATGTTGACCGAGGAGGAAGAGCGGGAGCTGGCCGAACTGATGGAGGAGGAATGAACGGCCATTATAGGCACAAGTCCTATAGATTATGATAATGACCAGGCATGACATGTAAATACTTAATGCTCAGTTGACAATCACGTGGTGATGAATCAATGACGTAGTGCGGTAGGGATCTCCGGCAATTATGCAGGCGTATGTCAGCAATGCACACGACCTGCTCCGTTCTCGAAACGCCCGCGGTTGGCTACTGGCCACTCTGTTGCGACTGGATGCTACCACGCTAGACTTACTTACTACTGCTGCTACTATCGCTATAATTAAATACCCTTGTCGTATTCTATTTAGCTCCTGACGATCTGTCTAGTGAGCTTTCTTAGCCTACTGCATCGCCGTGTTCTTCCCTCGTATCTTATCGGCTTCAGCCCCTCCTCGAAACAACGTGGGCTTATCCTCAGCGCCGGACGGAGCACGTTGACACCAACAGTCCATAACCTGCAGAATGGCCACAACGTCGAGCATGCATGTACAGACGCACGATGGCGGGCCAGAGACTGAGCCCAAGATGGTGAATCGACTGAAGGATAGCAAGTCGCCTTATGTGAGAACTGCCGCTTCCACCTGGTGGGATGGACGATCGCGAGACTAAACTGGTTGGAATAGGTCAGAGCGCATATGCATAACCCAGTGGCATGGCAGATGTGGGACGCAGAAGCCATGGAATTGGCTAGGAGACACAACCGTCTAGTCTTTCTCAGTATCGGCTATTCAGCATGTCACTGTGTGTAGACCATCGTTGTCGGTTCGCAGTTAGCCTGGCTAACAAGAACATAGGGTGCCATGTCATGGAAAAAGAGTCGTTTATGTCGCCAGAAGTGGCATCGATTTTGAACGAGTCGTTTATCCCGATCAAGGTCGACCGAGAAGAGAGGCCCGACATTGACGACGTTTACATGAACTATGTACAAGCAACTACGGGGTCAGGAGGCTGGCCTCTGAACGTCTTCTTAACACCAGATTTGGAACCGGTATTTGGTGGTACCTACTGGCCTGGACCGAATTCGTCGACCTTACACGGACAGGAGACCCTGGGATTCGTCGAGATTCTTGACAAATTGAGAGAAGTGTGGCAGACTCAGCAGCAACGGTGTCGCAACAGCGCAAAGGAGATTACGCGACAGCTCCGGGAATTCGCAGAGGAAGGGACACATTCTCACCAAGGCGACCTAGAGGCGGACGAAGACTTGGATATTGAGCTTCTGGAGGAGGCCTACCAGCATTTTGCCGCACGTTATGACTCGGTCCACGGAGGGTTCTCCAGGGCACCCAAATTCCCAACACCCGCGAACTTGAGCTTCCTTCTCCGCTTGGGGATCTATCCCAGTGCCGTGTCGGATATCGTGGGACAAGAAGAATGCGAAAAGGCGACCGCTATGGCGGTTAGCACGCTCATCAATATGGCGCGCGGCGGTATCCGGGACCATATCGGTCACGGCTTCGCCCGGTATAGTGTTACGTCTGACTGGCTCTTGCCTCATTTCGAGAAGATGCTTTACGACCAAGCGCAGCTATTGGATGTATACGTTGAGGCGTTCAAGATTACACATGACCCAGAGCTACTGGGCGCCGTCTACGACTTGGTCACCTACTTGACATCTAGTCCCATTCAATCCGCGGCGGGTGGATTCCACTCTTCGGAAGACGCGGACAGCCTTCCAACGCCAAACGATAGCGAGAAACGGGAGGGTGCGTACTACCTCTGGACGCTGAAGGAGCTGACTCAGGTTCTCAGTCAACGGGATGCTGGAGTTTGCGCTCGTCACTGGGGCGTGCTTCCTGATGGAAACATTGCACCCGAAAATGACCCGCATGACGAGTTCATGAATCAAAACGTACTCTCAATCAAGGTGACACCGCGGAAACTGGCGAAAGACTTCGGGTTGGGTGAAGATGAAGTGGTGCGGATCATCAAATCGGCCCGACAAAAGCTGCGCGAACACCGGGAGAAGAACCGTGTACGGCCCGACTTGGATGATAAAGTCATTGTGGCATGGAACGGTCTGGCTATCGGAGCGCTTGCCAAGTGCAGCGTGTTGTTCGATCAGATCGAGAGCTCGAAGGCGTTGCACTGCCAAGAGGCTGCAGCGCGAGCTGTGAAGTTCATCAAGGATAACCTTTTCGACAAACCCACGGGTAAACTATGGCGTATCTATCGCGATGGCAGCCGAGGCAACACGCTTGGGTTTGCGGATGACTATGCGTACTTGATTCATGGATTATTGAACATGTACGAAGCTACGTTTGATGACAGCTATTTGCAGTTTGCGGATCAGTTACAGAGTAAGTCCCAAATATCTTACTCAATGGCAATGGCTAATTATTCCCAGGGTATCTGAACCAGAATTTTGGTGCCTATACCGGATCAACACCGGCCGGGTTCTATAGCACATCATCTACGTTGATCCCGGGCATGCCGGGGCCTCTTCTCCGGTTGAAGACAGGCACGGAGTCTGCCACACCATCCATCAACGGAATCATTTCCCGCAACCTGTTGCGACTCGCAACACTACTAGAAGACGAGGAGTACCGGACTCTGGCACGACAAACGTGCCGTTCATTCTCCGTCGAAATCCTGCAACACCCATTTTTGTTTGTCGGACTTCTGGACGCCGTGGTTGGGCTAGAAACAGGCACCCGACAAGTTACCGGAGTGTATTGCACAGTAGACATTACCGAAGCAAAATCAGGACACGAAGAAGGCCTTCTTGACCGCGCTGACGCACCGATGTCAGCTCGAGACCTAGTGGCGAAGCAGGCGCGTAAAGAAGCGGGCCTGGCGACGTCGTCGTCGAGCGCAACGGTGGCGCTGGTGGATATCCGGCCGTCTCATGCGGGCGACTTCGTAGGCAACCCTTCATTTTGGCTGCGGACACGGAATCCGATGTATCGGGAGCTGAAGGCGTCGGAGCCGGGGAAGAATTATCTACAGGTTTGTGAGGGGGGCAAGTGCCGCATGGTGGACGTCTAATTTTCTCTTTTCTGCATAGCTATAGTCGTTGTGATTGGTCATATAGAATTGAATCTTATTCAAGTACTTCGTTAAAAGAATGCGCACTGATCGTTGACGCTTCAAGTAGATGATGGCCATTACTGGGGTCCTAACCGTCAACAACGGCAGATCGGATCTACCGGGATCTGAAGCACTTGGCTGGAATACGAAGAATGAATGGGATAGGTCAATTGTCAGGCAGCCAAGCTTCAAGAGAACCGATTGGAAATCTCGGAGATTAGAAATGCCCTTAATTACGGTGACCAATGACCAGTAACCAAGACGGTGAAGCAGATTGATTAACGAGTTAAATGATTAATGGATTTCATTTCATAAATCTTGGGAATACGCTGGGCTTCTCGTCGTTTAGCGGTTCTGGAACCGATGGGTTTGGCTAAGGACTGCTATTTGCCGAGAAGTGAAATGAAGGAACAGGCGGAAAAAACCTGCGTATGCGTATGCGTATGGATCTATACCGCCATTATTATGTCAGAAACGACTCTTCGTATTCAGGCTGAAACTGAAACGGTTGGATGTTTTCGAGAATGCCGGAGGGTTACTGCCGGAGGATTTGGGTTGTATCGGTCATTATTCAGGTGTTTGACTTTGCCGGAGAACATACGCACTACGAAGTACAGACTACGGACATTAATAGTCTAGACTAAGTCCATAGTTGTTGGAGTTTGTATCAGTGGCGTAATACTATGCAGAAATAAGTTTTGGTGGCTGACATGCCGGACGGCCTGCACTGTACTCCGTACTATGTATTCTGTATCCGTACATGGGAGAAAAGCCACCAGCAATTATGTGCATACTACTACTGTTCTATCAGGTTAATATAATTCTTGGACAATGACAGGTTCTGGATTCATGGATTGAAAGCAAGCCAAGCAAAACGGACAGCTCCGGACAGAGGGCAGCAGCGATAATCTCCGAATCCCAATGAAAACGCAACATGAAACACTGCCTCTTCAGCGATGGGGCAAGTGGAGACAGTGGGATTGGGCTAGTCGTTGCCAAGTTTTGGTGCTTGTTTATCCTTCTTTTACGCATCGCAGTTTGTCTCCGGTGAATATGAGCGCGATGATCTGTGATTGTTTTATCTGGTTCTCGTAGAATTTTTATGGCGTACCACGGGTGTCTTGCATTTGGGTCTCTATAGAATTACAGCATTGTGCCGAAGAATACCAAAGTTACTGGAATTACAAAAGCAATACAAACCTGCGACACGGTGGACCGCAAAAGGAGCGGGATCATCAGCCATTTTGTCCAATCAGAGATGGTGCCTGACACAGACGGGCCAGGTCATATACTTTAAATGGTTTAGTGTACTGCCAGGGGCTCGGGAATCTTCAACCGTCGCACATGGGGTGTGACAATACAATACCGTATGATACCGTCGTCATCACATCATTCAGGGGACATCACATACGGGTTGTACTGAGTAGAGAAGAGAAGTACAGGAAAGTACAGAGATAGCGTACAGAATAGCTAGAAAATGGTTAATTGTTGACTATGAGAATGGCCAGCCACAGTACAGGTACAGGCCAAACAATGGCAGATAAGAATGTCGAATGGTATGCGGTGGTTGGTCGAGGTTTCAGGAGAATATGGTTACTGGCAGGACTCTATCTGTGTCTATATACTCTACTGGCAGCCGTGCATGTACACTACACACCACTCACCACACTGCCAGTCTTTCTTTTTTGATAACAATCTGAAATGAATTGAGGGCTATACAATGAGAGGTATCATTATCTCTCTCTAGTCCTCCTCATCCTTAACCCCCCCCCGCTTTCTCCCATAATTTGCCTCTTGACGGTCCCAGATCGCACGGCCCCACAGTCTTTGTGCCTGTGTCTCCTTTCCCACACTACTGTGTTGTCTCCTATTTCTTCTTCCTTTTCCCTCTTCCGCTCCCGCTCTTTTCCCTTCCCTTCCTTCCCTTTTCCTCCCTCCAAAGGCAGCTTCGTCCTCTCATTTATATATTGTTTTTTGTCTTTTTTCTCTTCTGTTGCTTTTTTCTCCGCCTTGAGGTGCACTTTCTTTTTTTTTTTTAAATCTTTTTTTCGCTCTTTTAAAAAAGAAGAAAAATTAAAGTGTTATCCAAGGCTGTCGTTCTTTTGTTTATACATTTTCTCGCCCAAGTACATACCATCCAGCAGATATATCCGCCGTCGCAAGTGCCCAGCGCTTAACAATTCATATCGCCAGCCGATCTCTCATATCGCTCCCTATTCGACGGACTTAACCTTGCGAGCTGTCTCTTTGATTGCTTGCCTTCGTTCCTTTTTACCTACTTATCGACGTTTATATCTGGAACTTCCCGGGGAAGTTTGATTTCACAGTTGACCTGTGTCATTATTCCTTCCTTGCCGCTCGCAAATTTACGGTCCCAGAAAAGAGAGCCTTATATCGACTTTGTTTTCCGAAACCGGTAGAAAGAATCTTCAATTGATATCAACATGCGTTCGACTTTGTTGCTGAGTGCCGTCTGTGCGGCCGGAGTCTGGGGTACGCCGCTCGACATGGACAAGCGCGTCTATGAAACCGACTGGAGCTATGTCACCCTCACCGAGACCTCCACTGCCCAGCCCCAAGTGGCAGCCACCACCACCTACGCCCCTGCGCAGGCCGTGCAGGAGACCGAGAACGTTGTCACCGCCGCTCCTGTGACTTCCACCTCCACCCTTCCTCCTGCCCCGGCGCAAACCACTACTTTGGCTCCTGCTCCCGCCAACAACGATAACAACAACGCCAACGCCAACACCAACACCAACACCGACAATGGCAACAATATTAGTGATGCTGTCGACAACATCCTGCCTACGGCCTGGACTTCTAGCTGGTCCACCGAGTGGACATCGACCCCCACGCAGGCTCCTACCACCATGTCCTCGACCACCTCCAGCGCTGGTTCGCAAGGCACCAACTCCTACCAGCACGCCATCTTGTACAACCACAACATTCACCGCAGCAACCACTCGGCCAGCTCCTTGACCTGGTCCGACACCTTGCAGGCTAGCGCCCAGAAGTTGGCTGCTCGCTGTGTCTATGAGCACGACACGTATGTCCTTTTTTATTTTGATTTATATATTGAACAAATTACTAACCTTTGTGTAGGAGCATTGACGGCGGTGGCTACGGTCAGAACATCGGCTACGGTGTCGAGGAGAACAACATCGGCCAGATGGTCACCAACCTGATGTACAACGACGAGATGGGCTTCTTCTCCGACCTGTACGGATTGGCCAGCCCGATCATGGCGCTGTTCGACAGTTGGGGTCACTTCTCCCAGATCGTCTGGAAGTCCACGACCGAGGTGGGATGCGCCACTGTCGTGTGTGACAACCTGGGCAACGTCGATTCCAGCGGATCCCTTCCGTTCACCGTCTGCAATTACAACCCTGCAGGAAACACCGGCGGGGAGTATGCCGACAACGTTCTCAAGCCTATCGGACAGCCCATATTCGAGGCATAAATTTGATATGTAAAAATGAAATATATAAAAAGACATGCTTTCCTGGGTCGTGTGATTGTTGGGTATGGCTGTTTCTTTTTGCTATCGACTTTGAGGGGGTTTGGTGGATGATGGGATCCACCATCCTACCTGCTGCATCGACTCACTCGGGAGGGTGGTATCATTTTTGCATCTCTTTCTCTTCTCTCTACCCTTTTCTTAAAGCTTTTTCTTCGCTTCTGTCAAACACCCTTCACGATTTACTCAATGTGAATATTACTTCTTTTCTTTCCTTTCTTCTGATCGATATTGGCAAATGTTTTGGGAGTCCTTGGCGCCATAGCGATTGAATTGAGTGCTTACTGGGCGGTTTCTACAATATGCCTGATTGCTTTCTCCAACCCTGAGGATTGACCAACCAAAGTAGCTCTTGAGATATTGGCATGGTGTGGAACGGATGATTTCTGCAAGTCGTATGTGAATCTTGCATATCGTGCCCATGACCACATTCCGAGAGAAGATTGTCTTTTTTCTTTGCTTTTCCACTGACAATTTCACTTCTTGTTACTATCCATTTGTTATTTTTGTCATTTTCACTTCTCTGGCCCTACGCTTTGATCGCTTGTTTGGCGCTGTGCGACTGATTCGGGAGTCAATTTTCTTCAGCCGCGCGCCTCATGACGTATCTTGGTTGGGATCTATTTGCTATTTGTGTATATTTTATTCTTCTTTCCTGGCCGTGTCGGTTCTTTCGGACCTGCATGCGATCAATTATTGGATTTGCTTTTGTAGTTTTGTCTCACGTGTGATTCGTCCATGTGCGCACTGCACTGATGCATAAGCACGTAGATGTCTGCTGTATTCTTGGCAAGCATTACCATACAAGCTTAATTACTTTAGTCTTGTCAAGCGTATTTTCTAGAGTAGTTCGCAGCGATGATGTAGCGCTGGCCAGTGCTGAAGTAATTACCACGTGATCACCCCCCCGCAAATTGCCCAACCAAACGCCCGAGCTTCTTCCTGAAGAATAGCCCAAAGAAGGGAACCAAAAAGCCAACCACAGCAGAAATTCCCTTCGTCCGAGACGTCACCGAAGGTACTCCGTGCCTAATTAGTACTGTTTCCCAGAGGTATGACGCTGTGCATGTGCCATGGGTTCTGATCCACTGACAATTCGCCTTGAGGATTTGCCCCAGACTTTTTAAGACTTCCGTTCGCGTTGAGGATTGGGCTACTATTACTACGACTATTGCCTTCTATTTCAGATCTTCATTTCTTCATTCTACATAGTTCTTCTATTCATCCTTTGTCTACTTGTCTGGCTTTGTGCCAATCAATCAATTCTATCAACCAAGAATTTTTGCCTCTGGTTTTGGCTCTTTTAAGGTGTCTTGATCCCCGCATGCTGTGGGGAGAAGCGACGGATCTCCATTGACCACCAGCCTTGATCGTTTAGCCAGGTCATAAGGCAAAGAAGAGTGATTATTGATTTATAAAGAGATTGAACGACACTGACTCAGTGAGCAAGAAAGAAAGAAAGAAAGAAAGAAAGAAAGAAGGAAGGAAAAGGTAAGGACAGAAGGAATCCTCAGATAATCTCCATTCCTCCACGGCAAACCAGTGGCTAACTTCTCGTTCTCCAGTTATCCGTTCCCCCGACACATCCTGGTTCCCTCGGACGCTCCACTGAGGACTGGATTCGACCCGTCAAAAGGTTTACTCATTACTAGACAGCCCTGGTAAGCGGCGCTGCTCCTTGTCTCCTTCCGTTGGTCTTTTTTTTTTTCCATCGCCCCGAATGGACTCCCGTTACTCCACCATCTCCAGGCGGCGACTCGGCGGGGTATCTATTCCTATATGTATATCTGTTGCTGCTCTTTATGTTACCTGCTATGTTCTTTTCCGTCCTTTAACACCCCTTGCTCTGGTCTGTTGTCTGTCTATCCGTCTTATATCCCCCCGTCAATGCCCTCGTATTGTTTGCACGATTGCCACTATTTCTACCGCAGTGCTCTACGTCTTTTGTCCATTCCTACCTTCCTCGCCTGTCGCTTTGCCTAGTTGATTGGGCACCTATCACCTGACGCTTTTCTTTTCCTTTCTCGTGACCTCCCACTGACGATCATGTCTTACTCCGACATGGCAGTTCGTTTTTTTACTGCCCCTAAACCTATCGGGGACACCATGACTTCCCCCAGACGTCTATCCCAGCCTACTCTCGAACCTAAGATTGCATCCTCCAACAACCAGGCATTAACAAACGGCGACATGTCGACACAACCCAAGACAAACGGTGCCGTACCGGCACCAGATGTCTCCTCGAAGGAAAAGAAGGGTCTGACCTTCGCCAACCAAGACTCTCTCCCCAAATTGCCTGTTCCCGAACTCGAGAAGACTTGCAATAGATACCTGGAGTCTTTGTCCGCATTGCAATCTCCCAGGGAGCAAGAGGAGACCAAGGCGTCTGTGCAGGATTTCCTCAGAACCGATGGACCTGTTTTGCAAGAGAAGCTCAAGAACTATGCTTCGTCTAAGACGAGTTTCATTGAGCAGTTCTGTATGTTGAACACACCCTGCAAACGAGTGACTGAAATGCAGGCTAACAAAACTAGGGTACGACTCGTACTTGAACTTTGATAACCGTATGGCATTTTACTCCGTTTAGTTTACCCTTGAATTGCTGTACTGACAAATGCTCCAGCCGTTGTTTTGAACCTGAACCCTTTCTTCTTGTTGGAAGATGACCCGACTCCCGCACGGAACAACCAGGTGACTCGTGCCGCCTCCCTGGCTGTCTCTGCTTTGTCGTTTGTCCGAGCCGTCCGGCGAGAGGAGTTGCCACCTGACACCGTCCGTGGCACTCCCCTTTGCATGTACCAGTACTCTCGATTGTTTGGTACTGCGCGTGTTCCGACAGAGAACGGCTGCGTTATCAACCAGGACCCTCGTGCTAAGCACGTCGCGGTACTCTGCCGCGGACAGATCTACTGGTTCGATGTTCTCGATGAGAACAACGACTTGATCATGAGCGAGAAGGACATCGCGCTCAACCTCCAAGTGATCATCAACGATGCTGAGCAGACGCCCATCCAGGATGCTGCCAAGGGCGCCCTGGGTGTGCTCAGTACGGAGAACCGGAAGGTGTGGTCGTCCATGAGAGACATCTTGACCAAGGACGAGGGTTCCAACAATGCGGAATCACTGAACATCGTCGACTCGGCGCTGTTCATGCTCTGCCTCGACTACACCGAGCCCCAAACCACGTCGGAACTGTGCGCCAACATGATCTGTGGAACCAGCGAAGTGGTACGGGGTGTTCAGGTGGGTACCTGCACCAACCGGTGGTACGACAAGCTCCAGATCATTGTGTGCAAGAACGGCAGTGCAGGAATCAACTTTGAACACACCGGTGTTGATGGCCACACGGTGCTGCGGTTCGCCAGCGATGTCTACACCGATACCATCCTCCGATTTGCCAATACGATTAACGGCCAAGCCCCCACCCTGTGGGCGACCAGCAGCCCTGACCCGGCCAAGCGGGACCCCCGCAGCTTTGGCAATGTGAGCACTACCCCGCGGAAGCTCGAGTGGGACATGGCTCCGGAGCTGAGCATCGCTTTGCGATTCGCCGAGTCCCACCTGTCCGATCTGATCCAGCAGCATGACTTCAAGGTGCTCGACTTTGAAGGGTTCGGGAAGAACTTTATCACCTCTATGGGCTTCTCTCCCGATGCCTTCCTCCAGATGGCGTTCCAAGCTGCCTACTACGGTCTCTATGGTCGTATGGAGAGCACCTACGAGCCGGCCATGACCAAGTTCTTCCTGCACGGACGTACTGAGGCTATCCGCCCAGTGACCAACGAGTGTGTCGACTTCATCCAGGCCTTCTGGGGCGACAACCCCCCGGAGCAAAAGATTAACGCTCTCCGGAAGGCGACCGAAAAGCACACGGCCATCACCAAGGAGTGCTCCAAGGGACAAGGACAGGATCGGCATCTGTATGCGCTGTACTGCCTGTGGCAGCGTTCGTTTGATGAGATTACCTCGTCTACCGCCAGCGTAGACACGATCTCCAACGGTTACTCCAGCCCCGTCGAGAACGGCTCGGTGGCTGAATCGCCCAAGGCCTCGGACGCTGGGCTGTCTGAGGACGGCCTCTCCTCGGCCAACAGCTACAGCCTTCGCGGCATGCGCCCCGTCCCCGCCACGCCGGCCATCTTCAGCGACCCAGGCTGGGACAAGATCAACAACACGATTCTGTCGACCTCGAACTGTGGAAACCCGTGCTTGCGGCACTTTGGCTTCGGCCCTACATCCGGCGACGGCTTCGGTATCGGATACATTATCAAGGACGACTCGATTTCGATCTGCGCTTCGTCCAAGCACCGCCAGACGGCGCGGTTGATGCACACGCTCGAGATGTACCTCTTGGAGATCCGCAAGCTGCTGCGCGCGACTACCCGCAAGACCACGAGCCCGCGCACGAGCCGCGCCCGTGAGATGGAGCAGATTGCCGAGCGGTCTGACAGGGCCGAACACCGTCGGGGCCGTATCGTCCGGGGTGATCCGAACCAAGTGTACCAGCGGGGCACCGAGACGCCGACGACGGATGGTGGAGAGCTGGAGGATGATGGCATGGGAGGATGTAAGTTTTTATTCCCTTTACTCCATTGTGAAATAAGATGCTAACGACCATAGATGGATTCTTCGACGCTGGAATGCTCTTCCACGCTCTCAAGGGATTGAACGCTGAACGGGAACGCAGCGTTGACCGGACCGTCAAGCGGCGGTTCGTTGGAAAGAAGTTGCATTTGAATGACTATTAGCGTGCTTATGATTGATTTTGGTTTACGACTGGCGTTATGATTCTTGATTCCCTGCAGCGTTTTCATGTTGATACGACTTTGAATTAAATTGTTACGAATACATACAATCTACAAACTGTTGCATCATCGCACGATTCTCTTGTGTTATACAGATCCTGCATAGCGAATCCCTGAGTCCCTTGTAGCACTGTAGTAATCCATGTGGTTTGACAATGCCAAGTCTTTGTGCCCAACGGGACTGCATCGGGTAGATTCCAAGGTCCTCATATGATATTCTTAGAGAAGCGTGCGTTGCGGACTAGGGATTCGACAGGGGGTGCATGTCCGTGCCAGGATTTGATAAGATGCCGTTAGCTGTTTCGGGACAGGGACATACATTAGTAGCTGTGTTCTGCAGCGGTATGTGCAGTGAATGCCTGTACTGAGCGTTAGTAGGGTACGCCGTATTTGGCCTGTATTGCTACAGTCCTCTTTGGGACATCAGGCAATATTGTGCTCGGCATAATATGAATAGCACTCTATTCCATTCCCTGTGTGTATCTGCAATGACTCTTGGGTTTATGCAACCAATCAGAAGCCCTAGCAATGAGATCATCCGATCTTCACTACTGTTCCCGGCAGTACGGGATATACTCCGACTTGCGTAGCTACAGGAACACCGGTTAGTGGTTTGCCGGTGAATATGGCAGTCATTTGGATCACGTGATTCGGTATCAAAGGAACCAACAGAGCCGCAGTTGTACGGTGTACGGCGTACTGTATCGGTAGCAACACGAACCGTCAATTGTTAGTATTGGTATGTATGATTCCTTTTGAATTGTTTATTGTCTCTATTTGAATATTCAGTTCGAATACTTCGTACTGCTGTATACAAGTTCTCTGCAAGCGCCTGGACGCAGCGATCCACCGAAACCGGAGTCAGCGGCCGTGCTGGGATCTGCTGGACTGGAGAAGCCCTGAGCATATCAGGTGATTCTGTATCTAGAACGGCTCTACCTTTTTCCCGACTGACCTCCTCTCCATCTGATATCGATCTTTTTCTCAGCCCAGTCCAGAACGCTTGATAACAGTCATTCTTGTGTTTTATCAGGGCTCCAATCATTACTGCTTTTTGCGATTCTTTTCATCTTTTTTGTCGCTTTCTTGCCTGTGCTTTCACGCAGCAGAAAAATAACAAATAACAGATCAGGAGACGTCACTTTCAACAACATATTTGTACCCTTCCTCTCCTTCATTCGACACCTCCCTCTACCTCCCCCGACCGCTGGGATTCCGCCTCTATCGCCGTCGATCAGCGGTCGCATCTTTTCCGACGACGGCTCCCTCCTTCCTCTCCCTCCCTCCGACCCGTCTTGACCCGATTCCGTCCTTCCCCATCATACCGCGATGATGGCCGCCGCGCTTGAGCAACCTCTCCCCAACAAACCCGCCGCGAGCGGCTGTCCGACCACGACCGCCGATGCTGCCGCCGCGTCCTTCACGCCCCCTCAGAGCGCCAATGGCAAGAAAGAGGTACCCGAAGGGGTGCCCTCGGAGCTTTCGGATCTGGAACTCGATCCTAAGAACGGCGCAGCTCCGACGTCTGAGGAGGAGGATGAGGAGATCGAGCCAGATCATTACTATGGTGGCGGCAAGATCCCTGTGTTCAAGCCGGTATGTGTTGCGATGGGCTCCAGGTTTATCCTGGTCTGGGTCGCAGGGCTGACAATGCTTGGAAGACTATGAACCAGTTTCAGGATTTTCAAAAGTTCATCAACAAGGTCGATAAGTATGGTATGAAGGCGGGTATTGTCAAGGTTATTCCTCCTAAGGAATGGTAGGTTTTTGTCAAGTCCGGTTACCTGTGATGATGACTGACAATTGTAGGGCCGATGATCTTCCAGCGCTCGACGAAGCTATCAAGAAAATCCGCGTCAAGAATCCTATCATGCAAGAATTCCACGGTTCGCATGGCACCTACACCCAGGCGAACATCGAGAAACAACGATCCTACAACCTCCCGCAATGGAAGGCGCTATGCGAGGAAAGCAGTCACCAGCCCCCGGCCCGACGAGGCGAACGACGTCGAAACCAGGAACGAGTGACTCGCGCTGCGCCAGCTCCCAAACCTCAGACTACGAGTACCTCGCCCCAGAAACGGCGCCCCGGACGACCGCCCAAGCGTGCGAACCAAGTCAAGGTGAAGGAAGAGCCGGTGGATGACAGCTTCGATAAAACGAAACTCGAAGGACCTCCAACCCCCGTGTCGCCCGAGTCGAACCCCGTCGAGACCAAATCCGAAGAGCTGAGCGAGGGTGAGGCGTTGCCGGCACCGAAGCCGAAAGGAAGACAGCCCAAGTCGGTGAATGCACGACGCAAGAACAACCGGGGTGATGCCGTGGACTTTGTGGACGAAGAGGCCTTCAAGGACTTTGACTATAGAATCCATGACAACGCAGACTACACGCACGAGAGGTGTGAAGAGCTGGAGACGGCATACTGGAAGTCGCTCATGTTCAACAATCCCATGTACGGCGCGGATATGCCAGGTTCGCTGTTTGACGATAACATCACCAAGTCGTGGAATGTCGCTAAGCTTCCCAACTTGCTGGATGTGATAGGCCAGAAAGTCCCCGGTGTCAACACGGCATATCTCTACCTGGGCATGTGGAAAGCCACCTTTGCCTGGCACTTGGAGGACGTTGATCTCTACAGTATCAACTACATCCACTTTGGTGCGCCTAAGCAGTGGTATAGCATTTCGCAGGAAGATGCTCCTCGATTTGAACAAGCCATGAAAAGCATCTGGACCAGCGATGCGAAGAGCTGTGACCAATTCCTCCGCCACAAAACCTACCTCGTCTCCCCCAGTCTTCTCAAGTCTCAGTATGGTATCACCGTCAACAAGATGGTCCACTACGAGGGCGAGTTCGTCATCACCTATCCGTATGGGTACCATTCAGGATACAACCTGGGCTACAACTGTGCCGAGTCCGTCAACTTTGCCACGGAGAAATGGCTAGACTACGGCCGCATCGCAAAGAAGTGCAACTGCGAAGCGGACAGTGTCTGGATTGACGTGGACGAAATCGAGCGGAAGTTGCGGGGCGAGTCGACTCCAGAGTACTACTATGATGAATATTACGGGAGCGACATGGATGACCTCGAAGGTGCATCCGACCTCCTTACTCCACCGCGTAGTGTCCCCGAAAAGACAGCCAGTACTCGTCGCAAGCGCAAGCATGACGGTGAGCTGACCCGGGCCAAGCGCATGAGGGTCCATATGAATGTTCCCAGAAGGATTCCTTGTCTGCTATGTCCCAATGACCTGGGATATGAAGACCTTCTCCCGACCGAGGATGGTCGATCGCACGCCCACCGTCGCTGTGCTTTGTATACCGAGGAGACCAGCATCCTCCGGGATGAGTCTGGCAGGGAAATCGTGTGCGATGTGGACAAGGTCCCCAAGGCGCGCATGGGACTCAAGTGTCTCTTCTGTCGCGAAGTCCGTGGTGCCTGTTTCCAATGCAACTATGGTAAATGCACCCGGGCATACCACGCCACCTGCGCTCTTCTGGCGGGCGTTCAATGCGAATTGGGCTCGGTCGCGGTGATTGCGGACGACGGTAATCAATATTCGATTCCCAGCGTCGATCTGAAGTGCAAATATCACCGACAGAAGCGACACCAGGTGGTCAATGGCGATTCATTCGAGCACGACCGTAAACTTCTCGACACGGCGCGGGGACTGGTTCCTGGCGATCTGATCCAGTTCCAAGCGGATAAGGAAATCAATGGAGCCGTGGTACTGGAGAATCGACCGGAGGAGTACTCATTGCTGGTCAAGATACTTCCACGAGGGTGAGTTTTCCCTTTCTGTTTTTGTGTTTTTGATGGTTTGATTATTTCTTTGTGGCTGTGGTTTATTATGATTGCCCCTCCATGACCCCACCACCATTTTTTGTTCCTTTATCGGAGGCTTTCACCCACGCACTTTGGCTTGACCTGATTCCTGCTTCTTACTGGCGGGTCTCGGTGGGAGAGTTGGAGTCTTTTTTTTTTTTTTTTTTTATATGCCTGACCGCATGTTGACTGACTCTTCTCTCTAGCGATGCCATTGAACTGCCGTACCGATGGTTGCTCATCGTTCGGAAGAGCAACTTCGCGTCTCTGGCTCCCGGGACTAAGCCACTCCCGGCGCATTTGGCGCGTAAACCCGAGAATCGGAAAGAACTCGATTTGCCGGTGGCAGGTAGCCCGTTTGGTGATGGGCCGTCGCCGTATCAGTGGGCCGAATTTGAGACGGTGAACGATGCAAGCCATGTCTGGGTCCACCAGCTCCAGGGGCAGCAGCACCGGCAGCAACAGCACCAGATCTGGTATTATCTGGGGCCATCGTCCACCGAGTGTAGGGCTCAATATACGCACAACCCTAGCGTGTCTGTCCACAATCCCCGGGCGAATTTCCTGGATAGCGTCCGGTCGCTTGGCGCGGTCAATCATGCTCAGCAGTCAGTGGCCGCGATTAATGCTAAATATGCTCGGACGAATAATAGCCCTGCAATTCTGCAACATCATGCGGTGACCCGGCTGCTCCCCTTTGCTGCTAATGCTGGTGCTGCTTCCGCCTCATCTTCGGCTTATCCCCACCACCGGCAGCACAACCACCACGGCCTGCAATACCATGCTACTACTAGTACTCCTGCTATTGCTTCTGCTGCCCCTCATCATAATACTACTACTCATCACCAACACCAACAACTTCCGACCCAGTCTCACCTTGTCCCTGCTGCTGCTGCTGCTGCTGTCACCGCTCCTCCTGTGCAGCGTCCTCTTGCCCCTCCTCCACCGCCGCCGACGTCGCTGCACGCTACGACCACCTCCTCTCCGTCTTCTTCTGCGATGCCGTCAGCCTATCGTTCCCTGCCAACTCAATCTGCTCGTCACGCTCCATATCCTCAGATCACCAAGGCCCATCTTCAACAAAATAATAATACCAGCAATAATAATCACAATAGCTCGCATTCCCGTTCCCCCTCCTCCCAACAACAGCAATCACAGCAACCTCAACAACTGCCTGCCAATACCTTTGCCAACGTCCGAGAGCTCATTGCCCGTCGTCGACTCGCCCAAATCACCGATCATGCCAATGTGTTCGCTGGGTATAATATCGTCAGCCCCGAGCTAGTCGTAGAGACGCTGCTGGGTCCCATGGGCTCGGTAGCGCCGTCCAATGGTCTGGAAAAGCTTGAGCTGGCCATGGCTCAGCAACGGGTGCAACCCCGGGCGGTCGATGGGACCTTGTTGCCGTTACAGCCGCTCAACATGCGGTCGGATGAGGTGAACCGATTGTTGCGAATGCTCCGGTTCTCGCTCGTGAGTCACCGTGAGCGATTGGATGTGCTGCAGCAGAAAAAAGAGTCGGAGAATAACAAGGCTGAATCGGTCGATCGGGGTAGTGTGGCTGCGGCCAAGATGGCTGGGAAATACGCGTTCCTTGATAAGCAACGGTCGCAAGTGCCGACCGTGTATCAGTCGCCGTATGACCACCCGTCCGGTTTCACCAAGCACGCCGAGGAGACTTTTGGTCTTATTCCTTGCGAACCCGAGCTGCCCAAGCCGTCGCTGGCCAACGATTATTTCGCCAGTCTCTCGCCAGAGGACCAGGAGAAGATCATGAAGACCTGCGGTAGTTATGTGCAACGAGCCATTGAACGCTCGACCAGTCATAGCCGGCAAGGATCCGCGTCGAACTCCCGGCTGGCGTCGGTCCTCGCTCAGCAGACGGACAACCCAACCATCGATATCACGCCGGTTGAGGACATGCCGCCGCTGTCAGCGCTCGACCTGCCCCTGCATGCGGATTCACCTTGCTCAAATTTCAGTCGGTCGCATTTGCGATTCCAGTCACCAAACGACTTCACCTCCCACGGAGTTGAAACTCACAATCATGACCATCATGAGCTCTTCGGTGACCAACAGGCCAACATGCGGTTCTGGCAGAATGGGCCATGGGAAGCCGGTGACGGGAATACACCGAACGACGAGAACCGACCGTTCTTTGGGCCGCATGAACGACTCAAAAATGACTATGCCTCGTCGGACATATCTCTCGGCCGGGGGCCAGGGTCTTTGCACTCGGTTGACATGGCTGGTTTCGGACTAGATGCGACAGACGATATATGTGCTGAATTGAGTCCGTGAGCGTGTCTTTTCTTTCCATTCGTTTTTGGTACTTGCCGTGATACGAAATCATTCATGTCTCATGTAACGATTTTCTTTTTATTCTTGGACTGATGACTGCATGACTGGCGTTTGATTGTTGTTGCGTTGCTACTTTCCGGTTCAGAAAAAAAAAAAAGGCGACATCCATCTCAGATGAGGCTGGATAGATGAGGGGAGACAAAAACAGAGGCAGGAAGGAGGAAGAAAAGAAAAGCGACCGTGGGGATATACTTGTCTACTTACTCTACGGAGTACAACGCGACAGCCAGCCTTGTCCGGTTGACCACGCTGGGCCGCCATTCGTGACACCGACATTTGCTCCCGGGCTGTCCTGCCCATAACGACGCGGGGTGTTGGGCTGGTTGATGGCCGGACACGCCAACGGCCCACCAGCCACCTTTCCTCACTTTCCTTTTTCCCCCCTCGTCCATATACACGCCTTGCCGGCTCCGATAAGGCAAAGGGCCTACTTCCGCCCTATGCTACGCTACGTTTACTACGTTTTACCACGTTTACATTACTCCCCTGTTTCCCTGTTTCCTTCGACGTGCATGATACGATAGACAAAAGCAGGAAAAAGAAAAGTCCAATGATCTTTGCACTTCCCTATTTCCCATTCCATTGATACCCCTGTTCCTTTCCCAAACCTTTCCTTTCTTGTCTTCCCTTCACTGATGAATACAATTTCTGTATCCCTCCTGATGTTCTTTTTTTTTTTTTTTTTTTTTTTTTTTTTTCCTCTCTCTCTCTCTCTCTCTTGTTTGGCGCTCATCCGGGTCTCTGGTCTCGACGAGGACGCAGACAAGGCCGGGTGTGGCAGCCGTCACTCCATGAATATATGGGTGACAGTCGATGTGATTGATGCTGGCGGCATGGTTCTTGGTTAGTATTTAGAGTAGTTAGACAATGATACCTTCGAATTGGTTATCACTGTTTTCGGTGTTGAGTAATCCGCTGAAATCTGTAGTGGGCTTTGGATTCTCCACAATTCTTCAGGTTCGGAGCGCTGGGTCAATCTTGTTTCCCATGATAGATGTTTACAAGTCCCATTTGTCGGGCTTCGCACAAAGCTGTTCGATGCGATTGCGGTCCGAAGGAGCTCAAATCCCCAGCCTGCATCCACCATGAGAAAGTAAATGCGGCCACTGCCGGTGCCATTTGTAACTATTCACTTGACACGATGTACGCCAGCGCGAAGTGAGTCGCGGGCTCTTACTGTATCTTCTAGTAGGATTGATTTGAATATCGGAGCCTGTTTTGTATGACGCGGATAGCTTAAATGAAGCAGGTGCTCTTGTTTTTTATGTGCATTTTTGCATGTATTTGGATTTGTGGCTTTGTTTTCGCACGTATTGCCAGCATTGTAGTGAGTTTCAGGTCGTTATATATCCAGGGTTGTGAGAATCGTAGTGGGATGTCAATACATCCAACTGAAGAATCATAAAACATCTTCCTCATCTATCATCTCCATTGAGATATTGGAGAAGCGGTAACGGGATGCAGCAGCACAAGTTCTTTGTAGGCCATGTCCCGTCTCTCGAATATATCTGGGTCTCTTCCTCGTCTGGTGCAACAATCTCGTTGATGACAGTCTTGACAGGACGGGTTCGAACAAAGGTTTTAACCTCCGTTTAGCCCCAGAAAGAGAGCGAACTTGCAGAAGGGATTTAAATCCGTTCATTGGCTTTGGGCAGCCTGGTGAAGAGAGTCCTTTGAAAGGCGTTGGGTTAGTCCCTGATGATATTACCGGATCCTGTTGAAGTGACTTCTCTTGTCTTGAATGAGAGTGCTATTTTTTACACAACCCCGGGCGACAACGAGTCGTCGAAGAGGGCTGAAATGCAACCAGACCTAACGGTGGTCCAAACATCCTACTGGGGTAGGCTTGTCTGGCGTGAAGGGGAGAGGGAAGGAACTAATGTTCCTCCGGTTCCTAGTACCATATTTCTACCTTATCAAGTGGCCAGAGAATTCCAGTCGTTCCCAGAGTACGGTTTCTAAGTCTGGTTAGACCGTTAGAGTCTCTTGTCGAGGGAAAGTGGGAAGATGTGACATATTTCAATAAAGTTTCGTTCTTTCGTGGGGACCATTATCATTTCAGACGTCTGGGGCAATTAGCAATACTCACAAGCAAGATCAACTAGGAGTATACATACAGAGAATTTCCCGTTTCGGGTGGCTTCCATGTGCATGGAGCCAAACGCACGTACTATCGCATTCTTGGAGTTGGATAATCCTGGGAACCCATTTAAGGGGCGCAGGCCTCGTTGATTATGAACATGAAATTATCATATCTCTTTCGCATAACTACCCTTTGTGTCCCATACGTGGCATTCATCCACAAAAATATATCTGAGCTGGCGTTCATCAGACGTCAGTGGCCAGCCATAAAGACAGCGCTGCGATTTATTTCCAATCCGATATATATCTCAGGCTGGGCTGAGCAGGAAAATAAAGTTTCCCTAATCTAAGTGATCGGGCAATGGTAGCAGTCAAACCGGCTGCAGAAGCTGATGTGACACATAAGCCGACTACAAAAAACATAGCTAAAGGGTTTCTGATAGAGCCTTGAAACAGGCAAGGGCAAATATCATTTTGCTCTGCTTCGACGATTATGAGATGGTTTCTGAAGTGGTGAACAAATTCATTGGGCCATGACGGATGATGTATAGGGAAACAGAATATAGTCGAACAGAATAACCATAATGTCAGCGGTGAATTGAGTTAGTATTAACGCCCATAAGAAATATACTACACAGTGCTATTGCTAAGTAGCACTAGTACTACAATGTACTGTGTATACAGAGACTCAGTAGAAAACGGGCTCTATATCCCTTTATTCCTCTCGAGGAAAACCCTCAGACCGAAAATGCTGACCACCAATTGGATAGAATCAACCAGGATCTGTGTTGTCCTAAGCAATCAAACAAGCTGGTGTCACACCCGGTTATTGGGTATACAACTGATACGCCGACAAACATTGACATTTCCATTTATTGTGCTGACATAGTGTGCATTTTTATGGAGTTTAACCTGTCATAAGCCACTTCGGATCTCCTTTCACCGTTCATAGCCAGCAGATAAAATGACCAACAGCTGCGAAAACCCGTGAGTCCTTACATCTATACATCTATATATATCTATATATATACCTACGCTAACCGAACTCCTCTCCAACCTTCTAGACCCCCCTTAACGGATCTCCTCCCAAGCATACCCAAGAAATCCGTCGCCGAACGAGATGTCTACCGCGTCCTGCTCGAAAACGGCGAGAGCTTTATCTTCAAGCCGGCGTGTGATGAAGAACCAGCTAACGACCGAGATGCATATGTGCCTCAGGATGAGCTAGCTGTGTATAACAGATTCAAGTATCTCCAAGGAAGGTACATTCCCATTTGCTATGGGATTGTAACCCTGCGTGGAAAAGTGGGCCTGCTGATGGAGGATTGTGGTTCAAAGACCTTTGAAAACCCCCCCCCCCCCCCACTTGATGAGAACACCAAGTTTATCCTCTTTCTGCGGGCTATGTGTGCAATGGAAAGGTGTTTGTCTGCAGGACTGGTGCACCAGGATGCTGAAATCCGTAATATTATCTACAATCCTGTTACCCTGCAAGTGAGGATAATCGACATTGAGATACCGCAATATGAAAGGTACAAGCCACAGGATGTATGGATCTCCATATTCCAGAATGTGACAAATGTTGAATTTGCAACAGCCTCCGGGTATGCAAAACTCCTTCGATAGGAGTATAATAAGATGGCCCCGGAAGTCAGACAGTCAGTCCATTGTGGGTATGGATCTCCCCACAATTCGGGAGGATAGATCGGACCGTTAGATCTTTATCTATCAGAGATCAGAGTACAGAGTACAGAGTACAGAGTAGATAGTCCTAGTACCAACAATGAGAATTAATATCAACCGCCATAAGAGATATATAGACCATGACACACGGCTGTTATCAGGCTCAATCCCGAGACCGGCGATTAACTCCTAAACTGGAACAAGAATAGGCTTCTTATCAGCCGCAGTGATGTCGTGCGGGGTTTAGTTGAAGAGCACGTTCCAATTGTTATCCCTGGCTTCAATCTTCAGCTCTGCATATATCTCGGTTCTTCCCTATATACAATTAAATCAATAATATATATTCTTTTTAGAATGCACTGAGATTGTGTCCATTGAACATGTCCCAAAATAAAGATACCGCCGACGAGGCGTTGGCCCGCATGGGCTACCAGAGCGAATTACCCCGGAATCTGAGCATGCTAAGTATTCTCGGGCTGTACACGCGACACTCCCTAGATATCTAAAGATGTCAATGCTAATACGAATGAAGGTCTTTCGCAATCATGGCCGCTCCCTTCGGTCTCAGCACCACCCTCACAATCACTTTAACAGACGGCCAAGCTGTTTCCGTGATCTGGGGTTGGGTACTAGTCACCCTAATCTCAACCGGAATCGCCGCCTCCCTCGCCGAAATCTGCGCCGTCTACCCAACCGCTGGCGGCGTATACTACTGGAGCGCGATGCTCTCAACCCGCGAATGGGCGCCCGTGATGTCGTTCATCGATGGGTGGTTAACACTCGTTGGCAACTGGACGGTCACGCTGAGTATCAACTTCAGTGGTGCGCAATTGATTCTCTCTGCGATTAGTCTGTGGAGGGAGGACTTTGTGGCTAGTGCGTGGCTGACAGTGGTCGTGTTTTGGGGGGTTATGGGGTTCTCTGTGCTGGTGAATGTGTTTGGGAAGAAGTATTTGGATCTGGTGAATAAGGTGTGCATTTTTTGGACAGCGGCCAGCGTCATTGCTATTATGGTGACATTGTTGGTGATGGCGGGTGACGAGGGAAGGAGGGATGCGAAGTGGGTGTTTGGGCATTATGATGCCTCGAAGAGTGGGTGGTAAGTTGTCCCTGTCCTTGTTATCTCACCCATACAGGCGCTGACGATGCAGGCCCTCTGGATGGGCGTTCTTTGTCGGCCTCCTACAAGCCGCATACACCCTCACAGGCTACGGAATGGTAGCATCCATGTGCGAAGAAGTGCAGAACCCTCATCGCGAAGTCCCCAAGGCCATTGTCCTCTCCGTCGTCGCAGCCGGTCTCACCGGCGTCGCCTACCTAGTTCCCATCCTCTTCGTCCTCCCTTCGGTCCAGCGCCTCCTCGACGAACCCAGCGGCCAGCCCGTCGGTCTCATATTCAAGCTTGTCACGGGGACCCCAGGCGGAGGGTTTGGCCTTCTGTTCCTGTTGTTGGGTGTTCTGTTGTTCGCCGGGACAGGTGCCTTGACAGCCGCAAGTCGCTGCACCTACGCCTTCGCGCGCGACGGCGCAATCCCAGGCTTCCGACTCTGGCGCCGGGTCAACCCCAAACTCGACGTCCCCGTCTACGCCATCCTCCTTTCCGCGGCCGTCGACTGCCTCCTTGGCCTGATCTACTTCGGCTCCGACGCAGCCTTCAACTCGTTCACGGGCGTCGCGACAATCTGCCTCTCCACCTCCTACGGTCTCCCAATCCTCATCTCCATGATCCGCGGCCGACAAGCGGTGAAGCACTCGGGTTTCTCGCTTGGACGGTTCGGGTACGCGATTAATGCGATCACGGTGTGTTGGATCGTGCTTGCGGTGGTGCTGTTTTGTATGCCCGTGTCATTGCCTGTGAGCGCTGGGAGCATGAACTATGCGAGTGTTGTATTTGCGGGTTTTGCAGTGATTAGTGTGGTGTGGTATTTCGCGTATGCGAGGAAACATTTTACGGGGCCGCCGGTGGGTGAGGAGGAGTCGGGGGTCATGACGGGTAAGGCGGTGGATAATGTAGAAGCTGAGCCGGAGAAGCAGAAGAGCTGATTGACCTCTCTACGAGTATATATACAGTGTAAAATAGACCCGTTATACTATTTTGTTTGCGATTGTTCAAGTGCATCCAGTTTATACTCTATTACTACTAATACCCCTGGACTCAATCACAAGTATCCAACCTCTCCGAGAGCCGCGGTCCAACAATTCAACGCCACGACAGACAAGCAGCGATAAACATTCTGTCAATTCATCCTTCGTGCTTTATTATTACTGTTAATTTATTCCACAGCGCAGAAACACGTTTTTCTCGCATAATCTGACGTCTGCCATTCATATCTAGCATATTTGTTTATCTGCGCGCGCAGTGACAGCTCCGAAGTCCGGGGAAGAAGCTTTTGCCCTTTCATTCTTCTCCCTTCGACGTTTGGATACTGGTGTTTCTATATAAGATACTCGGAAATCCTACCAATACTCGATGCTTACCGCATGAGCCTATTATCCATGCCAGTCACCGCCGGATGAGGATACCCGGAGTTCGAGTTCGCATTGAACCTACCTAGCATCATGTCGGATTCCGTTGGTGCGTTCCCCCCCTTCTTTAGTACATTCATGAAACAAGCTAAACTAAGGGATGTGTATTAGATCGCGTCTTCGTCCATGCCTTGAATACCGTTAAACGAATCCCCCGGACGGGCACTGCGCGCCCTCCGACGGCGGAGCGATTGAAGCTATATGGATTGTACAAACAAAGCATGGGTATGTACCGAGGATCGCGTGAACGGGGGATAATTGTTAACTGGTGAATAGAAGGAGATGTGGAAGGAGTCATGGACCGTCCCGTCGGGAATACAACAGATGTCTACGCGGAGTGCGAGAAATGGTACCAACCCAACCCCATACCCCGAGAATAAAGGTCATACAGGAACTGATAAATGAAAGGGACGCATGGTTCGCCCAACGCGGCGTTTCGCGCACAGAAGCCAAACGCCGCTACATCTCCACCCTAATCGAAACCATGCATCGCTACGCGTCGCAAACCTCCGAAGCGCGCGAACTTGTCGCAGAGCTCGAGTTCGTCTGGGACCAGATCAAGACCAACACCGCACACATGCCGCTATCGTCGCCATCGTCACCTGGGTCAGGGAGTCATGGGATGTCGCATACACAGAGGGTTGGGGTTCCGCCGTTGTCGCCGCCGGAGGTACGGCAGTCGCAGTTGCAGGCGTATTCACAGTCGCGGCTGCTGCAGCAGCAACAACAACAACAGCAGCAGCAGCAGCAACAGCAGCAGCAGAGGGGCTATGCGAATATTGGGGGACGATTGGCGCAGCCGTATGAGGATATGGTTGCTATTGCTACTGCAAATAATGGGAGGGAGTCGTCGAGGTTACGGGTGTTGAGCCCTGTTAGTCAACCAGATGAGATATACCAGCGACGGGGGAGGCGGATGCAGGGTTACGAGGATAATGGGAGTCAAGGGCAGCACCTCGATGACGAGGATGAGGATGAGGAGGAGCAGTACGAGGAGGCGCAGGATACTCTTTATGACGAAAACGACGACAATGATCAACATCACAGCAAACACACCTCCGATGAGGAGCTCAACCAAGATGGTGGAGACTCGTCATCCTCCGTCCAACAACACCAAGGCAGCAAACCCTCCCATAGCAACCATAACAACAACGACAGCACCCGCAAAAGAAGCAAACCATCAGACACCCGTCGCTGGCGACGCAGAGTCGAGCAGGCCTTGACTAAGATGACAGCTGAAATTGCCGCTGCCCGCGAACAAATGGAAATCCGCGCCATCCAACACCGTCGCCGCAACAGCGCCTGGGCCTGGTTGAAATGGCTGGCATGGGTAACGTTGCGGCAGGTGCTGTGGGACTTGGCGGTGTTGGCGATGCTATTAATATGGATGCGGATTAAGGGGGATAGACGGGTAGAAGAGAAGTTGAAGAAGGGGTGGAGTGAAGTGAGGAGAAGATTGGGGAGGTTGAGGATGGTGAGAGGGCATTCTGGGGTTATGTTGCCGTAATATCTCTTGCATGGTTTCTTTTGTTATATACCTGTACTCTGGCCATTCATTATATTTCCTTGGTTATATTATTATATTCTAGTATATAATTGGAGGTTATTTGTATATTGTCATCGTTACCGAGATAAACGTGATATTCTGATAGACTGAAGCACTCAAACCCATACCATTGATGCTAATATATACACAAACATAAAGTGCCCAGAACCAGGAAAAAGAAACCGAGTAAAAAAAAAAAAAAAAAAAAAAAGAAGTAATACAGTTCATTCTAGTACTGAGGACCGGCGTATTGAGCATACAGCTGCTTAGGCCGGAGATGTACGGGAGTCTGGTTCTCCGGAGCACCGGGGATATTCTTCTTGAGGCCCTGCACGGAGTTAGCAACGAGCCAGAAAACAAGGCAGTAACGGAACATACCAGCTTCTCAAAAACGCAATTGTTCAATTGCATCTCGGGCCTGCGGCATTCCCACAGGTTGTGGTTGTTGTTCTCCAGACACTCCCAGTGGGCAGTGAACTGCTTCAAGCAGTTGGTGTTGATATCCTTGATACTACACATTGTCAGCACTTCCCCAATCTCCAACCAACCTCGGACAAAGTGTAGACATACACACTAGCCGCACAACGAGTGACTTTGCGACCCTCCTTCAAACATTCCAGTTCCCCGCGTCCATTCGCCTCGCTCTTGCATTTCATGTAATCGTCGTTGAACGCCTGGCACCGGTCTCCAATAAAATACGCTGCGCTCGTCAACGGCGCTGACGTCGCTCCAACCTCTTCGACCTTGGGAATACCAGCGGGCATCGGGGTGGTGTCCACCAGGACGCTCTGGTTGAAGCTGCGTTCGTTAGCATTATTTGCTGATTTTGCGTTGTTATGAGATTGCGAGGGGCGGTGCGTACCGAGGGTCTCTGTCGGCCATTTTGATTGTCTGTCTGGCACTTGTAAATGTCCGTTGCTCGAGGGAGATGGAAGGTGTATTCGGAATGACCGCGAGTGAGAGCTGTGAGTTTGGATCGGAATTTGCTTTTCCGTGATTGGTTGTTTTGGTGGTTAGGTAAGCGGTTCTACAGTGTAAATGCTACGATGGACAGGAAACACTGTTTACGGTGGAATTGACACTAGAAAAAAGGTTTTTTTTAGGAATTGGAACCATTTAGCTATTCAAAACTGGACCGATTTCACCAGGTTTAGCGAGCAATGCTGTTTTGGTTGTCACTGACAAAACACGTGACCGCTGCCGAAAAAACAATGGGGCCGCAGCTCCCAGGAAGCTTCAGTGAGAGACTGAAGTGACAGGCTCGCCTTCCGCGCCGGTGTCCAACGCCTGTTATTTCATTGTTTGCTCTGCGCCAATGCGATCCTGAGGAGTCGCTTATTTCTGTTCTTTCTAATACTTATCGACTCGTCTTTGCACCGCGCGCGATACCGGAGATTGTTGTTCTTTTTTTTTTTCTGCCGGACAACTCGTTGCTACCCGGACTTTCCAATTTCCTCATCACTTCCTAAATCGCAGTAACCTTCTTCATACAAAGACCCTCTCATAAATCGAATCCGAGATGTCCCTCTTCGGAAACGCACCGCCCGCCGGTGGTGGTGGGCTATTTGGCTCCACCGCCAACAAACCCAGTCCATTTGGTTCGAATACAGGTACGGCCGGTACTCAGCCTAGCGGAGGAGGACTGTTCGGCTCGACTCCCAGTAACCAGCAGCCCTCGACGGGTGGTGGAGGATTATTTGGTTCGGCACAGAATAACCAGGGTGCGCCTGGTGCTACTGGTGGTGGATTGTTTGGCTCAACGCCGCAGAATAACCAACAACAAGGTGCTACAGGAGGTGGTTTGTTTGGCTCGACGGCGAATCAACAGAGTTCGACTGGTGGTGGTGGGTTATTTGGGTCTTCGACGCCGCAGAACCAGCAGCCTTCTGGGGGCGGCCTGTTTGGCGCTACAGCGACACAGAATCAGCCCTCCGGTGGTAGTGGTTTGTTTGGCTCCTCGACAGCACAGACTCAACCCTCAGGCGGGGGCTTGTTCGGATCCACGACTCAGCAAAAGCCTGCCGGTGGTCTCTTTGGCGGCGGCGGATTAGGAGGAGGACAGCAACAACAGACCGGGGGTGGTCTCTTTGGTGGCGGAGGACAACAACAACAGCAACAACAGCAGCAACAACAACAACCGCAACCACAGACTGGCGGTGGTTTATTTGGGGCTAGCACACAGCAGCAACATCAACAGCCAGCGCAGCAGAGTGTCTGGGGGAATAATACATTGGGTGGTCAGCCACAGCAGGGACAGCAACCTCAATTGGGACAAAGCACTGCGCAGCAGCCGGGGTCTAGTCTTTGGTCGCCAGGACGTGCTGTGACGGGAGTGCACAGAACCGTGCCGATGCAGATGGCAATTATCAAGGACAAATGGGAGAGCACGAGCTTTTCTTCTCCGTTTAGAACATATCTGTACAACAATGTTGGCGAGGAAGCGGCACCCTTCTATCAACCCGGTCCCGAGGACGACGAGGCAAAATGGGAAGAAGCTTTGCGGCAGAGACCTACGTCAGGAAACGTGCCTGTTCTCGTGAGAGGATTCTGGGAACTGGGAAAGCGCGCTCAGAGACAAAAGGACTTCTTGACCATGATGCAGAACCGCCTCCACGAAATCAACAACTGCCTCTCTGAATTACTCTCTCGCCACGACCTGAAGATTTCCGTCAAGATTGCCGACTGCCGGCGAAAGCACATCGTCCTGAGCAAGCGATGCCTTGCGCTCGCAGCCAAGACGCAAGTACTGCGAAATCGTGGTTACGCAATGGACGATACAGAGGAGGAGCTGAAGAAGAAGCTTGCTCATCTGGAGCGCTCTGTCTTCGACCCAACGCTGAATGGACGTGGAGAGGAGATTTGGGCTCGGATGCTGGCGATCCGTGAGCACTCGAAGCGTCTGCAAGTTGAGATGGACCGGGCTGGTGCGAACGCGGCTACGCAGGGTGAGGATGAGCTGGACGAGAATACCATGAAGATTGTTAAGAAGGTATGGACATTGCGGACTTTTCAGTATTGGGTTGAAGCTAACGATTATCAGATTCTTGATGACTACCACGCTCAGATCCAACACTTGCAGAAGGAGTTGAGCTCGGTCAGGAAAGACTATGAGGAGGCACAGGAGGCGCAGGGGCTTGCGGATTAGATTTCTTTTTTTTTTCTTGTTTTGGGCTCACACAACTTTGTCTCGCTATGTGATATGCTTCTGTTCCTCTTGTGTATGCGTGGTAATAGGTAATCCGGTACGAAAACATTCATGTAATGGAGCAACGGAGTTATGGAGACCGTTTGTCATTCTACCAATTGCCGTTCTATAAGTAGCAAGATCATGCTTTCCATTTCTCTATATCCATGACCCAAGACAAACGAAAAATGTACAATACTAATACATCATGCCATGACTCCTGTTAGTCAAGCGAGAGAGAAACACCAGACCATGTAGTATACGATGTATGTCATTTCTTCATGACAGCCATTCCATCACGGTCTTTTCGAATTTTCAAAGATCATCAGTTGGTTGGAGCGGGTGAAGTCGTGACGGGGAGGCAGTTTAGAGGAACTTCTTAACGAAGTCGACGGTGAAGGGGGCTATAATTGAAAGCAGACAGTCAGTATGAGTGTGCCCTAGGCAAATAGGACGAAGGGAACGTACAGAGGTAGAGCATGACGGCACCGGCGACGGCAGAGCGAATGGTCTGCGAGGCCTGGATTTCTCCAGCCTTGGTGAGGATTGTCAGAACCAGTCTTGGAAAATCCTCTTTATGCGAAGAGAGCGTAGACGACGAGTGTAACTGGGGTATTTACCTTGATCTGCTCCTTGGAGAGCTGTTCCTGGCCTGTTCGGTGGTTAGCTGTGATTCCCAAGGCGATGATAGAGGTGAATTCTGCGACTTACCTGGTGCGAACATTGTGAGTTAATAGAGTATTTGTGTATTGCAACTGTAGTACTGATGGTGACTGTGAATGTCGAGTTGAACCGAATTTCATGAAGCCTTTCATTCTGCCGGCGGCACAGACCACATGACCAGCCCCGACGGAGGCGGAATTTCTTTCTGCTGCTTGACTTCCTGTACTCTTACATCTGTTTTGCGGCGCGAGTCGTGGCCTTTTTTTTTTTTTTTTTTCTTCTTCTATTAATTGCTTGGATCCATACTCCTCTATTCTAATTACTCCATTCTTGATACTAAATCACTGAGGCGCGCGTCAAAATCCAATCGCGGAACCGCTTTTAATCACCCCGATTCGTATCCTTCCTTCGCTAGCTCCTTTTCATCTCTCACGTTCACTTCTCCACGACGTCGCATCATCTCACCATGTCCGCCAGCCCCGAGCCAGAGGCAAAGCCTACCCTACCCGCTGACCCTGTCGCGGAAGAAGATGGCCAGCCCGAGCAAGACACCAAAGCCGCCACCCCGATCGCAGGCGATGACGACAACGACGAGAACGAGGGAGCAGAGCTAAAGGCGCAAGTCGACGGAGCGGATGATGATGAGGACGATGAGGAACTCGCTAAGCCGGTGGCTGCTGCGGACGATGACAATGACGACGAAGAGGATGCCAACGATGACGGTTCCGACGACGAGTCGATTCTTTCTGAAGTCGATGAGGCGCAATTCGAGGACTTTGATCCTGAGAATGTCGATGTTGAGGATCGGCCGCAGTTGGCGATTGATGAGGAGAATTTGAAGTTGGTCGGTCGGCACAAGCGCAAGAGGACTGAGGAGGGTGGTGATGGTGAGCGGTCGTCGAGGAGGAAGAAGGAAGGACGGCGTGAAAAGAAGACTCGTCGGATGAAGGAGTTGGAGGAGGGTGGTGAAGATGATGAAGGGGAGGGCAAGTCGAGGAGGAGGGAGAAGAAGAAGAGAGATGCTACTCCTGATGAGGAGTTGTTGGATCCTGAGACGCGTATGTCTTTCTTCCCTTCAAATATCGATGGCATCTAACAAGCATTGCAGGTCGTCGTCGGGCCCTTGACCGAGCTATGGACCAGGCGCTGAAGAAGCCTACGAAGCGACGTGCCAAGAAGGCTGATGGAATCGTACGTCTTCGAGAAGTCTATATCATGGGTAATCTGGTACTAATCTGATTGCTCTAGGACCTCGAGCAAATGGCCGATGCTGAAATCGAGAGCATGCGCAAGCGCATGACCAACGCCGCTCAAATGGACGCCTTTGCCCGTCGGGAGGGCAAGCCCGCCATGCACAAGCTCAAGATGTTGCCAGAGGTTGTCTCGCTGCTCAACCGCAACCAATACATGAACAGTCTGGTCGACCCGGAAATCAACCTTCTGGAGGCTGTCAAGTTCTTCCTCGAGCCGCTTGATGACGGATCTTTGCCAGCCTACAATATCCAGCGCGATCTGATGAATGGCTTGGCCAGGCTCCCCATCAACAAGGAGGCCCTGGTGGCCAGTGGAATCGGCAAGGTGATTGTGTTTTACACCAGGAGCAAACGCCCCGAGGCTGGCATCAAGCGTCTAGCGGAGCGTCTGCTTGCGGAATGGACGCGACCTATCTTGCAGCGCAGTGATGACTATTCGAAGCGGGTTTACCAGGAGGCTGCATTCGATCCTACGTACGTGCTTTATCCATTGACTTTGTCCACGTATTTGATACTGACCTGAATAGGAAACTCACCAACCGCGCACCCACAGCCCAAGCGACTGCGGCAGAAGCCCGGGCACGAGAACTTCTTCCTCCCCGACTAGCAAACCGTGCCCGTGCCGAAATCACGCACACCAGCTACACAGTGGTGCCCCGTCCAACAATGGTGCAGGAGAGCAAATTCGCTCGTCCTCTGGGAGCCAGTGGCGAGGATCGGTTCCGACGGATGCGGGCGCGACAGATTGCAGCCTCGAAGGGATCTCGAAGATAGATACTCGTCTATACGGGTCCTTTCGCCATGGTTTTTCTTCTTATTTCCGGTTTTTTGGTCAGGTTGTCATGGCGTCTGGGCGTATTGCATCTTCTCTTATTTTAAATTGCTTGTGTATTATGCATCTAGAAATGGATATTATACGGGGTCCAATCTAATAATAAACAAAACAAGCATTACTCGTGCGATACGATAGACTCGGTAAAACCCGCCGAGCTATATCCGGCGGCAGTCGCCGAGCAGACCCCGACCGGACGACGTCACACCCGGTTTTTGGTCGGCCCTCCATTACGGAGAAATTTGATTATATCAGACCATCGTCCGGGGTCTGTGACTTCACTCCGAGTCACCATTTTCTTCGATCTTTCGTTCATACTCTGGAATTGTCTCCTTCTCTACCATCTTATAGAATTTTCACCTCTATAGAACCCTAATACTCCAACATGAAGCTCTTATCAAAGGATGAAGAGGATGCGCACTACAGGTACGTCGGCGTTCCCCCACGGAGAAACCACCACAACGCACTCACTAACAAAAAAAAAAAAAAACCTCCAGCTCCGTCCTCAAAGGCGGCACCCTGGGCACACTCGTCGGTCTCGCCGCAGGCGTCGGCGGCGTAATGTTCGCCCAAAAACGCTACGCCACAATCCGCAACCTCACCCTCCCCATGAAGTCCTTCCTCGTCACCTCCTCGGGAACCTTTGTCGGAATCATCTCCGCCGACAACGCCTCGCGCTCCTTCGAAGCCTCCCGCAACGCCGAACGCCAATGGTACGAGAACCGCGAGCAGCGTCTCCGCGAGGAGGGGCTGCAGGGCATGAGCTTTATGGACCGTGCATTCGCGTTTGCCCGTCAGGAGAAGTACAAGATTGTCAGTGCTACGTGGGTGGCTAGTATGATTGGGTCGTGGGTGTTTGTGGGCCGGAACCCGTATTTGTCTGGGCAGCAGAAGCTTGTGCAGGCGCGTGTGTATGCGCAGGGTCTGACGCTGGCGGTGTTGGTTGCGTCGGCAGCGTTTGAGATTTCGGATCAGAGGAAGGGTCGTGGGATGTTGAAGCAGGGGCGGGAGGGTAAGGGGGCGGATATGAATGCGGCGGCTAAGGAGAAGGTTGCGGAGGAGCAGCAGGGGGATTTGTGGAAGGATATGGTTGCTGCTGAGGAGGAGAGGTTGAAGCAGAAGCACCAGTCGTTGTACGAGAAGCCGCAGGCGCATGCTGAAGAGCCTGTTGGTCAGGGTGAGAAGGGTGAGAAGGGTGAGAAGAACGAGAGTGAGAAGGGGGGCGAGAAGAAGGAGAAGAAGAAGAAGAACTAAGTACATGCTTGATTCTGTTTTGACGACACAAGGCAGGTCCTTCTCTGTCTGTTGGATATTTGGGTGCATTTTATGTGGTAAAAAGGCGTTCTGTTATATAATGTATTCCTACTGTACGCAAGATTCAATCTCCTACTTCAAGACTTCCTGAACTTGACAAGATTGGAGAATTTCATTTTATTACATACTAACCAATCAGCTAGATACAAAGACGAAAACACTTTGATAGCCAACAAAATACACCCCCAAGAACCCTAACCTAAAACGTACCACAAGGAACGGCAACGGCGATGGCAACGACAACAACGTCAACAACCAACACCCACGCTCAGTGCCTCACTCTGCGGTCTCCAAGCTCCATCGACTCGGTCTCACTGTCAAATCCGGCATGTCTGTAACTTCCAGTATCATACTCATATCCGAGAACCGCCTGACTCTCCTCATCCTTCTTCCTAGTATCACCCACAAAGCAAGAAGCCTGAATATTGTTAAGCTCGTCTTCCTCCCTATCAAGACTGCGGTGCGAGATGTAAAACAAGTTCCCGCCAATGAAAGCCAGAATCGCAACAAAGCCATAGTTCCAGACGAGAAGGGGATCGGTCGAGAGAGCGGTCAGACCCTGCTGGATAGCAGACGAGATGGCGTTCATGAAGAGGAAGAGCGATTGCACCAAACTCTTCATGTTCTTTGGGGCCTTGGTGTATGCATACTCATATCCCGTAATCGACGCCAGGATCTCCGAGATTGCAACCAGGATGTATGGCACCGCCTGCACCCACACGTTGATCGGGGCTGGTTCTTTACACACGCTTGGGTGGTCACCGCAGGGACTAGTCTTGTAGATGTAGTACTGGGTGACTGTCGCAGCGACCATGGACAAAGAGGCGAGGATGAAGCCGGTGTAGATGCGCTTGAGAGGGGTGAATTTGATGCCCATGCGGCTGAGACCCGGGTAGATGAGATGGTCCATGATGGGGATGAAGATGATTAGGGCGAGGGGGTTGAGGTTGAGGATGATGTCGTTGGGGGCGCCGTGGAGTTGCATGGTTGCCGCTTGTGAGGTGAGGTTGTTGGTCATTTGGCTATAGGTGAGCCCTACTTTAGTTAGCTTCTATTCTTTCTCTGTATGTTGAGGGGAGGAGACGTACAGTAGAGCGGATACCAGAGGAAGATAACACAGGCCTTGGCGACACGACGGACCTCATCAACCCACAAGTCATCGAAAGTCATCCATTCGGGCCTGTGGTCAATCTTGCTCGGCTTCGTGTCCTCCCAGAAGGCACGAGACTTGCAGTTGCGAATACTAACATCGTTAGCCACTTGACCCTTCATGCCCTGGGGAAAAGCGAACTCACAGTGTCCTCGGATTCCACGACCACTTCTTCATCAACGCAAGCCACCACAACTTACAAGCCTTTCCCAACACAGACCCCGTAGGCGGCGTAACCGAATACTTATTCCGGCAAACATACAACACAAGCGGACAGAGCCCAAACATGATCGTTGGAATCAAGAACGCCAGCCAGAACCCGACGTATCGCTCCGCGTAGACCATGGAGATGGAACCCGTTAAAGCACCGACGTTGATCATGCAGTAGAAGTACATGAATATACGCGAGATGGTCTGGCCTGGGTCGACAATCACGCGTTCACCGGTTTTGGCGATGGTTCTGACGTAGAGACGTGTTTCTTTGTATTGTTCTGCGATTAGGGGAGAGATGTTTGACCTGCCTGGTTAGCAACGCGTTTTTAGTAGGAATTGGGACGGGAGGGAAGGCCTTACTTGAAGCCCCCAACGCCAATACCGAAGACAACCAGACCCACGGAGAAACATCCCAGAGATCCCTGGGGGTGTGTAATAACCGACGGCAACGCAGAGATAATCAAGATGATATGGCCCAAAAACGCAAAGACAATCGAGAGCTGGATAGTCTTGAGTCGTCCGAGGAACTCATCGCCAATCCAGGCACCCACGAGCGGAGTCACGTAGCACCAGAACGTGTTGACTAGATCATGAGCTGCTGGTTTTCAGAATGTTTGAGCAGGAATACTTACACGTCGTAAGACCAGTCGCGGCTTGCTGTCCCATGCCCAGAGCACCAGGCTGGCCAGAACCATCGGCACCGGTCGTCGAACCCTCAGGCAGAGGCTGCTGGATGTAGTTGACAACTAGAACAATAGTTAGAGCCTAGAACCGAGTTTCTCGGGGATGAAGACTCACAAACAGCAGCTGTTCCAAAGAACGAGAATCTCTCGCACAACTCCACAAACGCAATCGTGTAAGCAACCCAGGGAACCTTGCCCGACACGCGACGCAAAGTGCTCTCTTCTTCCACCGTAGGACGCTCATACTCATCGTCATCCAAGAACCTAGAAGAAGTAGAGAACACCGTGGACTTGACTGGAGAGACGGTGGCATTGGCACGCTCGGAGGATTTGTGTTCAGATGCGTCGGTCAGATGGGACTTGAAGCTGAGCCAGGACTTGTAGCTGTTTGTAGTTGAGCTTCGTTTTTCTTTCATCGTGGTGAGTTGGAAGAGGTGGACTTGAACACGAGATAAAATACAAGAGGGGTAGTAAACGAATGAACATCCACGAGGACGAGGACGAGGTCGAGGGTGGGGAGAAAAGGAGAAAAGAAGAAGAGGAAGAGGAAGCGAGAGAGAAAAACATAAAGGTTTGTGTGTGTGTGCGTTATTTCTGAACAAAAAAACATCTTGATCGATGGTGTATGTTTGAATGAGGGGGTTTCAGTGAATGACCAGAAAGAGATTTCACAGGGACATAGTTGTAATTAAGGGTTATACAAGTAAAGAGGGGCATTAGCTACTTTTTTACTATTTAAAGGAGAGAGACTAAAATGAGGGTATGCAGAGTATACTCGCGCTGGATTTTTTTTTTTTTTTTTTTTTTTTTTTTTTTCAATACAGAAGCTCTATATGACCGTATCCAAGGTTAGGGCAAGGACAAACAGACTGGGTAGGGCACGCCATGCATGCAGCAACAAAAAAGTGAAAGGAAGAAACAAGAAACTTATCGTGGATTCTCTGGCAGTTGTATATACTCCGTGCCCGTCTTCGATTCTTAGAACACGGTGTCAAGATATACCGAGTAAGGTAAGCAGTACTGCCGGGGAGGGTTGATGATTGATGCGATGCTGACTATTTGGACCTTTGGCAGTTTCCTATGCTTCCAGTGATCACTCAATTGCATGAGTTTCTCGAAAAAAATGCCTTATTCGAGGCTTGGAATCCCACATCTTGGACCGCCTTGTTGGAAGCTTACCGGTTCGTCGAGCAGCGCTGCGCGTTGCTGGGTATTTCAGCCACAATAAGAAACGAAGCGGCATGGGCAAACTTACTAAAAAAACGCTGGCTTGATAAATCGAGACCACGATTATGACTGTATACACATGTGCTCTGGTCCTTGCAGGAAATGCATGTGGTATCTTTTAGAGCCTCGCATACATTCAAATTTGGAAGTGTCTGGCACACTGTCTGTGGCTACTGTTTGTTTGCTGGAGTGAACCATGGGTATGTGATTCTTTGTGTGGTGGATACAAACTCGCTGCAGATGTAATGATACTCCTGTAGCAAGCATGATTAGGTCTTCTGGATAATATAAATCAAAATTCTATATCAAATACTGCTTGACAGCTTCATGTAGCTGCAATGTGTATAGAAGTCGGCTAACATGCCCGATCCGGAAACCCGCCATCTCCACGCGGAGATAACCTCTTGTAAATCTTGCATTTGCCTCCGACCAACAATACAAGAGACAACACAATAATGGCTCGACGCCAGAAATTAGTCTGCAATGCCTGCCGCCAGCGCAAAAGTAGATGCGATGGGGGCACTCCATCGTGCTCCAATTGTACCGCCACCGGCCGCCAATGTCACTACGACAAGGCGCCGTCGTTGGCCTACGTGCGCGCATTGCAGGAGCGCATCCAAATGCTAGAAAGCCGGCAAACTGTACCCAAAGAAGGATCCGTGCCGCTGAATTTTGCCGGGCAGGACGAAGAGTCCATTAGTGTGGACGCGCGGGGTGATTTGAGCTACCATAATCTGACTTCCGCCATCCACGAAACTCCGTCTGAGAAGGAGTCTGCTTCAACGATAGGGGCACCGCCGTCATCCTCGAGTCTGTCGGCAATAACAGCGACAGCGACACCTTCGGGGACGGAGCAGGTGAACGGAGCGGAAATTCGACGGGCTCTGGTGGCGCACGCGACGGCGCAAAGGCAACAAGAGAATCAGCACCTGGATCTTATTGCCACCCATACAGATATCCCTCCTCCACTAGCGAGGACATTGTTGGAACTGTACTGGTGCTGGCTGCATACTAGTTTTCTCTTCGTTTATCGTCCCACGTTTACCCGGGACATGCCGTTGCTGGTCGGGCAGGGGGGCCGTTCATATTGCTCGGATACGTTACTGAAAGTGGTTTACGCCCATAGTTGCCGATTTGTGCGAGACCCAGAAAGTACCTGGGATCCATTAGGACGCGATGAGACGTTCCAACAGTTTGCAGACCGATTGATGTCGGAGGCGCAGGTCGCCCTGGCGATGGAGACAATCAATCCACCATCGATCCCGACGATTCAAGCGTTACTACAGCAATCGGCGCGTGATATGGCTTATGGTCGGTCATCACAAGCATGGTTGTATTCGGGAATGGCGTTTCGCATGGCGATTGATTTGGGGATACACGTGTCAACAGAACGGCTGCAGCGATATGCACGGTGGTTGTCACCGGAGGACATTGAAGTACGGAAGCGACTCTTTTGGAGCCTGTATGCGTGGGATAAACATATCAGTTTGTATCTGGGGCGTATGCCTAACTTTCTGGCGGGAACTGACAGTATTCCCTTGGAGTTCTTGGATGATTATACCGAGACGGAGCCCTGGCAACCATTCTACGGATCCGAACGATTGGACAACCCAGGCGATTATCCCCCGACTCCTGGTTATGTTGTCTCATGCTTCACAGCTCTGTGCAAACTGTGCAAGACTCTGAGCCGCTTAATGCTCGAGCTGTACAGTCCCGGCACTAATAAACCAAAAAGGGAATCTGCCCAGGACTTCTCCAAAATGGCAGTCTTTGTTGCGATAAATGAGGAGCTCCAGGTATGGCAGACTGGGTTACCGCCGTTTCTCAAGATCGATCCTCAGAACATACCTGCCGTCAGTCCTCCCCATCACATCACCTCTCTCAACCTTATGTACCATACGACTTTGATCCTGCTGCATCGGCCACACGTGGCGGGACAGAGGGATCTGAACGCACCCGCCGTGCAGCGTAGCTGGAAAATCTGCAAGACGGCTATGCGGGCGATACATGATATTCTGCAGCTGTATGTGGGGACATTTGGGTTTTCGCATATCACCTACATGAATAGTTACTGTACCTACACGGCGGCTACGACAGCGGTGTATCAGCTGGAGATTGACGATGAGCAGCAGAAGACAATTGGACCAACACGGAACTCCATCTGGACGGAACTGAAGTTCTTACTAGATATCTTGCAGCGTACTGCTGTGTCAATGACAGGTCTCAACCGCAGCATTGACATTATCCGCTCACGGCTGAAGAAGATCCTCGACAGACGAGCGGCTTCACAATTACAATCCCTGTTCCCACCACACCTGAGTTCTGAGCGCATGCCGTCGCAGTCCTCACAGCCTCCTTCTCCCCCATCTTACTTCCAATCACCAGAGCCCACCTTCTCTGACGCCCGTCCGACATCATCCACGACGCCGTCTCTTCTTCCTCGACAGTCTCAACCTAACCCACTCAACCCCGGATTGCAGAACGAGAACCCACTTACTCAAGACAACACAAACCTGGAAGCATGGGCTAGCTGGCTGCCTGCGTTTCCAGGACAGGACGTGTCACTGGGGACAGAGTCGCTCTTTGACTGCGAGGCAGGGTTAAGTCCGGATACGCGATGTGCATTGATGGGGTCGAATCTAGATCCGCATTTGAGTCTTGATTATCCCTTAACGGGGGAGGCGATGGATGAGTATAGCCGGTTTACGGAGGGGTTGTAGATAACATTCTTATGCATAATGAATTACTTGATGTATTATATGCGGTACTGGTACATACATAGTAAATAGATCTAATGTTTTATCCCCAAATCGGAGGGGATCGGATACCCCACATTTCCCCGTCCCCTCACCGGTTCCTGTACACAACTTCTATCCTACTCTTCTATCCCATTCCAATACCATCAACAGCTCTAAAAATGACAGTCTACCACGTCGGTCTGTAACCCCATGCCCATCCCATAATAAAACTAACAAAAACCAGTCCTCTTCCGCCTCAAGCAAGGCGTGACATCCGCCCAACTCTCCGCCTGGAAGAACACCAGCCAGGGAATGGTAGGCAAGATCCCCGGCTTGATCTCGTTACACGCGAACTCGCCGTTGCCAATTTCTGTGCCCCGGGCTAAGGGGTTTGATTATGGGCTTGTGGCGGTTTTGGAGTCGCCGGGGCATGTGGAGGGGTACTCGAAGCATCCGGTGCATTTGGAGTGAGTTTTTCCCCCTAGCTTTGTGTTTTTGGTTACTTAGGAAGTAATCATTTTAGGGGAATATGAGGGTGACCAGTGACTGATGATTGTGATAGGAGCCAGAAGTTGAGGATGGAGTTGTGTGAGGATACATTGGCGTACGATCTGGAGTTTGAGCCTCCTACTAGAGAGAAGAAGGATTGAATGGGTTTAAGAGTAACATAAGGCAAAGGCTTGGACTGAACTAGGACGAGACGAGGTATATACAACGCCGGATATGATTGAATTAAGAATGGTTCTCTTGAACTGACATGACTTTTACCCGATACAATACTTTTATAAACCAGTCCCATGTGCTTGCCCGTATGAAGATGAGCCAAAAAGAAAAAAAGGAAAGAAACGAGATTACCCATATTACTCCTTGGAATCGACCTTCTTAGCTGGTTGCTCGCTGCCCTCTTCTTCGCGAGTGCGCTTCTGGCCAGCTTCGGCGGTGCTCTGGACGACGGGGACGCCGCTGTTATAACTGTTAGTGACATGTTCCTAGAGAGTTAACTTGTGAGTGTGACATACCGAGAATCCTTTTCATCGCGGGGCTTCTCGTCCGCAAAGCCCTTCTTCTGGTCCTCTTCCCGACGCTCCCTCCAGTCACGGCGGTCATCCCTGTTACCGCCACGGCCACCACGGCCACCACGACCGCCACGACCGCCACGACCACCACGGCCGCGCCCACGGTGGCCACCACGGCCACGGCTGGGCTGAACGCGACCAGCTTCGATCTCCTTGACCTTCTCTTCACAGTATTCCTTCTTGCTCTTGATGATCAGGTCCTGACCCTTCCACTGAGGCTTGGGGTCGAGCTCCAGGAAAGCCTTCTGCTTCTCTTCCGACTCGAATTCAACGAAGACGCTTCCCTTGAAGCTCTTGTCGGGTGTGCGACGGAGACGGATGGCGTTGGTGGGACCGTAGGGTGCGAAGAACGCTTCAATGTCGAACTGGGTGCTGGGTTCCTCATTTCCGAATCCCTTAACGTAGACGCTCCGGTTCATGGCCTTATTCTCGAAGACCTTGACGACGTTGGGGTCATGGTTGGCGGTGACCGACTCAGGGAGGGGGTTCTTGCGGCGCACGCCGGTGTCGTTGTCGGTAAGCTCGAGCACCTCAGACGACTTGAGAGCCTCGACGACGGCGCTGAACGGCTGGAAGCGGCGCATACGCTTGAAGGTGTGCAGGAGGTCAAGGGGAACAGAGTTGTTGGTGCTTCCGCCAACCTTGGAGAGAAGGAATTTGTCCGCGACGAGGTTGGAGTCAGAGAAGTAGAATTCAACTTGCTTGCGGATCTCAACGGGGTCGTCAGTCTCCTGCTGAGTCGAGGGGTCGAACTTGGCGTTCGAGCGACCCTTGCGATCCTTGTTATCGTAGTTTCCTTCCTTGGACTTGGTCTCCTCGGCGTTCTCGGACTTCTCGCCCAGCTTTGCGGCAGCCTCGACAATGCGAGCTTCCTCGGCGTCTTCCTTCTGTTCGGGCGCAGCGCCGTTCGCGGGAGCTTTCTGTTCAGCCTTCAGCTCGGCCAAGGTGTTCTGGACATCCTGCTCGGCGGCAGCGTTGACGTTGGTGTCAGACATGATTGCGACTGTAACGCGATAGCTTGTGAGTCAGACTATTGCGAAGCAAGATATATCTCCTATGTTCAATTCAATCGATTGTAAGCACCTTATCAGAATTCACCCTTAGGATTAAGAGGGTGGCAAAGCTGCGAAGAGAAAGTTGACTCAACATACAAATTCTTCGATAGCGCGTCCAAAAAGGTCGACACGAAAGCGGAAGAGGAAGTAGTAAGAAGAAGAAGGACCGTTTCTGTGTCGTCTCTTTCAGGGTATCAAGAATCAAAGACCAAAGAACGCGACAACAAATGCAAAAAAATCTGATCTGCTCCTGGGAGAAAACAATGGCTTGTTCTCCTCTTTTTTTGATGGGAAAATTATCCTAAAAATGCGCGGCGGGGGAAATTTCTGAGCGCCACACTAAAGCTTTATCCACGTTGCCTGAGGCATCAATGCAGCACCACGCTACTCCGAATATGGAATGATGTGGCTTTTACACAGGTATATGGCAACGAGTATCACGACTACGAGACAGGAAAGGATGATACTAGTAAAAGCAGGAGACATATTGCTGAATCTGAGAATTGCCATTCATTGATTACCAGTGCAGACCAAGTCTGGTTGTTACGAACCACAGATCCTCTATTACCTAGGGAACGGGAGTTCGAAGAGAAACAAGGAGCAGGTAAGCACACGTTATGGTGATCAAATTGGCAGATTGGGCGTAGATGCTGACTTCCGCATAGTAGAATGGCAGCTCTGCCCCTGTGCCTTCCCATCATGGCAGACCCGTGTGATTGCCGTTGCCGCGGGATTGGGGTGCGCCTGCCTCTTTCGTGCAATCCCAACTATAGGCGGCTTTGACCTATCTGCTGCCTCTTCTCCTCTTCTCCTCTTCCATCATGGTGGCCTTTGATCGGATCCAAGCATAGTTTCTATCGGGCATCTTTACTTGTTGGAAGTTTTGAATAGAGATACTTTCAGCATCATCAGCTTATTTCATTTTACTTCTGCATCGTTTCGATATCAGAATCGCCTCGAGGGACTCCTTCGTCAGTCAGGTACGTCGAATCGAGTGCTTGTAACGGCTCTGTGCTACTTCAAGAGCATCGAGCTTTGCTAACTATCATCTCTTTCAAGGACCATCCGAATCGTCTGTCGAAGCACCATACGAGCTATTCCCTACGACTGCCCTCATTATGCCTGCCATTGGTGGTCCACCGCCGCCGGCGCCATGGCCCGTGAAAGATGTAAGTCAGGGTCTATTGGCAAATCGAAACATTGGACTTACATGGGTGTCCAGATCATATACGTGGCTATAGTCGGTCCGGTCATGCTGGCAGCGTTGTTTGAATGGGTGCTTTGGCTTGTTGCATTCTTGTTCTGTCTTGTCAAGGTCTACACGAAAGCAGACCATTGGTCTGTAAGATTCCTCGCCGTGGTCATCATGATTTTCTTCACGTTGTTGAGGTAAGTTGCCATCTGTCCCAAGTCTGATGCTCAAGTACTAATCACTTCACAGAGCTATCTTCCTCCCGATTATGATTGTCACTCTTCCTCTGCCAGCACAAATTACCCGGTACTTTCCAGTTCGGGGAGTTACTATCCTGCAATGGTTTGCGTTTTGGTCATTCGCCGGGCTACTTATACTGCCGTTCCTCCTTTGCGTCCATCGGCTCGTCACAAACTCGCTTGGAAGGGCAAAGAGGATAAAGCAGGTTCTTGACGACCGTACTGCTCCGAAGACAGTTATCGTGATGCCAGTGTACAAAGAAGCACCGGAAGTTCTGATCAAAGCGATCAATTCAGTGGTCGACTGCGACTACCCGGCGAATTGCATTCATGTTTTCCTGTCTTACGATGGGGGTGTGGTGGACGAGTCCTATCTTCAGGTTATTCACCATCTCGGGATCCCGATATCTTTGAAGACCTATCCCCAAAGTATCGACGTGACATACAAAAACGCCAGGGTTACTGTGTCTCGGTTCAAGCACGGCGGTAAACGACACTGCCAAAAGCAGACATTCAAGCTTATCGACAAGATCTATGCGGAATATCTCAAGCGTCGTGACGATCTCTTTGTGCTTTTCATCGACTCCGACTGCATTCTCGACAGGCTGTGTTTGCAGAACTTCATGTACGACATGGAGTTGAAGCCGGGAAGTAAGCATAACATGTTGGCAATGACGGGAGTGATCACATCGACCACGGAGCGAAACTCTCTCATTACAGTCCTCCAGGATATGGAGTATCTGCACGGCCAATTGTTCGAGCGTTCTGTTGAATCGGCGTGCGGCTCCGTGACATGTCTTCCGGGTGCTCTTACAATACTGCGATTCTCTGCGTTTCGGAAGATGGCCAAATACTATTTCGCGGACAAAGCGGAGCAATGTGATGACCTTTTCGACTATGGAAAGTGTCACTTGGGCGAGGATCGCTGGCTCACGCATCTGTTCATGGTTGGGGCCAAAGAACGCTATCAGATCCAGCTGTGCACTAGTGCATTCTGCAAAACAGAAGCCGTCCAGACGTTTAGAAGCCTTCTGAAGCAACGACGCCGGTGGTTTCTTGGCTTCGTGACCAACGAAGTATGCATGCTTACCGACATCAGAATCTGGAAGCAGTATCCTCTTTTGTGCTTCGTTCGCTTCATGCAGCACACCATCCGGACGACTGCTCTGCTCTTCTTTATCCTGGTGATTTCCGTTATAACGACGTCCAACAAAGTCGAGAACCTCCCCGTGGGCTTCCTCGCTGTGTCGCTTGGCCTGAACTATTCCCTCATGTTATATTTCGGCGCAAAGCTCAAGCGATTCAAGGCCTGGCTCTATCCACTGATGTTTATATTGAACCCATTCTTCAACTGGCTTTACATGGTATATGGGATTTTCACTGCCGGTCAACGAACATGGGGAGGACCGCGAACTGACGCTGCCGCGGCCGATAAACACACTACCCCAGAAGAGGCGGTAGAGCAGGCAAGAGCCCAAGGCGATGAGTTCAATGTCGACGTTGGTACTTTTCGATTATCGCGATGCGAAGACAGGGGCGTCCCGGTTCATCCTTCAGAGAAAGTCGAGGGACGTTTTGCTCCTGCCGCGCAACTTCCAGAGGGTGGCTATGCCAATACTTATAACGACTCCGGCGTTACCGTCGCTCAGGTTATGTCCCCACTCCCTGGGGTTCCCCGAATTCATCTCCATCCCCGACAACTCTCTTCGGACTCGGGATTCACCACGGACTCGACTAATCCAATTTCCATGCCGCACAGTGTGGAGAGCCTTATGAACGAAGATGAACAGATCAGGTTATATCTCTCTCGTAAGGGACAGGGACCCATTAGCCACACGAGTATGGAAGTGTGTGCCGACATGGGTGACTTGGACGGTCCAAGCGACAACCGCACGTCGCAGCAGGATTTTGAAGCACAGCCTCTCGAAGTGATGCCGGAGGCGGACATTGCCAGCTCGAGACCTCTTTCAACAGAGCGACCGGAATCCGCGAGATCTGCACCGAACGCTACTCCCGTGAACGGCCCATCCGAACATAGCTCTCTTGCCGAGCATGTCATTTCAGATTCGCAGTCCTCGAAATCTCAACTTTGGAAGGAAAAGACACGGTCAATGGGGCCTGAAGATATGGTCTGACGGGCGTGCAGAAGGAAGAGTAACAAAGGGGGACCAGATATGTAGGGCGACAGCACAAATTGTTTTTGGGGTATACGATTGACCATGCTTTTCTATCCTTTCTTTTTGGCAAATAGTCATTCTTTCCTTGTTTTTGTTAGTGCAAATTGTTTAGCTTTTTCAGTACTAGTAGCAAAATTATGACCCCATTGTCTTACGTCAATTGATCATAAGCCCTAATTAGTAATTACCATGTTGCTGAGTTCGAATAGCCAAAGGGACTAGAGCGTATGGTAGTATGACGGCTTCGAATTGGAATAATTCTATCTTTCCATGATCCTGGCATTCCTTCCGACCACGGCTAGTATACGCGACGATAGGTATCCCCGCATTGGTATCACTCTATTACTCTTACATCCTCGGCTATGTCACCCAACTTCAAAGAACTGGCATCCTCATCCAAAGAGATACTCGACTTATCAGAGTAGTATCATGACGATTCGCGAACCAGAAATCTATTTCCTTGAGCCAACACGATGCTCACCGAATAGTCCACTGCCATCTGTTTATCGGAACGTGCTACCACAGCCGATTACAAGGGAATCGGCAGTGGAGTATCTTGAGACACGGATGGAAGGACTCTGTGTGCTGTTATTTGTTTCCGGTCTGTTATGCCCCATACTAATGAGATATATAGGGTGGAGTGTATACTCCGTCGCCTGCGCCGCACTTTCATCTCTATTCTCATGAATGTGTTGATATGATCAGTTATCAGCATGCCGCATACGGAGTACAATATTACACTAATATTACTGAGTGTATAGGCATCCTAAACGGCCCCGCAGACCTAATACTCGGTCTAGGAGCAGGCGATACAGATATCGAACCACAAACCGTTTCTCCAGGCTCTACAACCAAAGGACTCCGTCTTCCAGTCTCAGCGGGCGACATTGTCATCCACCCAGCAGGAACTGCGCACGGCCAAACAAATGCGAAGGATGATCGGTCCATTGCTGTATTTCCCGAGATACGTTTCCCTTGCATACGGATGTACATGTACCTATGGTAGAACGCATACATAGTACAGGACATTACCCATACGGGATGGTGGAGTCGAGTCCATTGATTTGCCGGCTCTGAGGGCTTGTACGATGGCGGTCCCTCTGCCCAAGGATCCGGTTGCTCGGGGAAGGATCGCTGCAGCAGTTGTGGACTCGAGCGGCGGATGGATTTTGGGCTGAAGGAGAGCTGGGAGCTGCCTGAGAATGTTCTGTGAGTCGAAAGAGTCTAGATTCTGAATTTGATGTCCGATTGATGTCCAAAATACATTGTCAGGCATTCAGTGCCTTAGGCTACAGTCACATGAGGTTATCGATAAGCCCCGCGAAAGGCGGCGAGGTTCTGCCGGTGTCTGGATGGCGCCAGAAGGTTCGAAAAGTGGAAGCCTCTCGAAGCGTCTCCGGGTTGGCATTTGCTAATTGAGTGATTGTAGGCAGTTTAACTGGCCATACTATTTTGGGGGCGACAAACATTTGGACTTTTAGGAGGATCTTTAGTCAAGAAAACGAAAAGCAGCGTTTAGATTGACCGCTGGACTAATTGAGCCCCACGGAGTCAAGCCACACGACGAAATCTGTGGCGCAGTGCAAATTATCCCCTCTTTCGCTTTTCTTTCTCACTTAACCGCAACGCTTCCTCTCCCAACTCTCCCTCTCTCTGTTTTTTGAGAACCCTTTTTTATCCACTTATTTCCTTTTTCCCCCTTTACTTATTCCCCCTTTTCTTGTCCGTCTATTAAACCGTTGACCATGAGTGTCGTCGGTATCGATTTCGGTGCCCAGAGCACCAAGATTGGTGTTGCCAGAAATAAGGGTATTGACATTGTGCGTACCCCTCGCCCCCCATATCATATCCGTGATAATTGAAAGGACTGCGCTGACTCTGATGCTTCTTTCCTTTGCTATAGATCACCAATGAAGTTTCCAACAGATCGACTCCGTATGTCTCAGTCCATACTTTTTTTTTGAAAAGATTTTTTTTCTTGCATGATGACTAACGGAAACTTTTTTTTTTTTAATTCAGGTCTCTCGTCGGATTCAACGCCAGAAGCAGAGCCCTCGGTGAGGCCGCAAAGACACAGGAGACCTCGAACCTGAAGAACACTGTCGGCAACCTCAAGCGTCTTATCGGCCGTTCTTTCAGCGATCCCGACGTTCAGCTCGAGCAGGAGTATAACACAGCAGCTCTCTGTGACGTCAATGGCCAGGTCGGTGCCGAAGTCAGCTACCTGGGTAAGAAGGAGAAGTTCTCTGCCGTCCAGCTGGTGGCTATGTACTTGACCAAGATCAGGGATATCACCTCTTCCGAGTTGAGACTCCCCGTTTCCGATGTCACCATCAGTGTCCCCGCTTGGTTCACCGATGTCCAGCGTCGGGCCATGCTTGACGCCGGTGAGATTGCCGGTCTCAAGGTGCTCCGCCTGGTTAACGACACCACCGCCACCGCCCTTGGATACGGTATCACCAAGCTCGACCTCCCCAACGCCGATGAGAAGCCTCGCCGGGTCATGTTCGTTGACATCGGTCACACCGACTACACTGCTTCGATTGTTGAGTTCCGCAAGGGTGAGCTCAACGTCAAGTCAACCGCCTACGACCGTCACTTTGGTGGTCGGAACTTCGACCGTGCTCTGACCGAGCACTTCGCCGACGAGTTCAAGCAGAACTTCAAGATTGACGTCCGCACCCACGCCAAGGCCTGGGCCCGGACTCTCGCCTCTGCTGAGAAGATGAAGAAGGTTCTGTCGGCTAACCCGGCCGCCCCCATGAACATCGAGTCGCTGATGGAGGATGTCGATGTCCGCGCTATCGTCAAGCGTGAGGAGCTGGAGGTTATGATCCAGCCCTACCTCGAGCGCATCACTGCCCCCATCGAGGAGGCCCTTGCTGAGGCTAAGCTGACCGCTGACGACATTGACTACGTTGAGATGGTTGGTGGTAGCACCCGTGTGCCTGCCATCAAGGACGCCGTCTCCAAGTTCTTCGGTGGCAAGACCCTCTCTTTCACTCTCAACCAGGATGAGGCCATTGCTCGCGGCTGTGCCTTCACCTGCGCTATCCTCTCTCCTGTCTTCCGTGTCCGTGACTTCTCGGTGCACGACATTGTGAACTACCCCGTTGAGTTCACCTGGGAGCAGTCTCCCGAGATCCCCGACGAGGACACCAGCCTGACCGTCTTCAACCGGGGCAACGTCATGCCTTCCACTAAGATCCTCACTTTCTACCGCAAGCAGCCTTTCGACCTCGAGGCTCGCTACGCCAACCCCGAGCAGCTCCCCGGCAAGATCAACCCTTGGGTTGGTCGCTTCTCCGTTAAGGGTGTCCAGGCTGACGCCAACGACGACTTCATGATCTGCAAGCTCAAGGCTCGTCTGAACCTGCACGGTATCCTCAATGTTGAGTCTGGTTACTACGTTGAGGACATGGAAGTTGAGGAGCCCGTTCCCGAGGAGGGCGATGTAAGTTTTAAATCTTTCACTTCACATATACCAGGATGCTGACTGACGATAGGCCATGGAGACTGACAAGGCTGAGGGCGAGCAGCCCAAGAAGACCCGCAAGGTCAAGAAGCAGGTTCGCAAGGGCGACTTGCCCATCGCCGCTGGCTCCACTGGTATTGACCAGTCGGTCCGGGAGGCTTTCACTGAGCGTGAGAACGCTATGTACATGGAGGACAAACTGATTGCCGAGACCGACGAAAAGAAGAACGAGCTCGAGGCCAGCATCTACGAGCTCCGTGACAAGATCGACGGTGTCTACGCCGAGTTCGCCAGTGAGGAGGAGAAGGACAAGCTTAGATCCAAGCTCCTTGACACCGAGGTAAGTTTCCATCTATCACCGATATCTGAAAACGATACTAACATACCATAGGACTGGCTCTACGAAGACGGCGAGGACACCACCAAGTCCGTGTACGTTGCCAAGATGGACGACATCCGCTTCATCGTTGGTCCCATCATCCAGCGGTACAAGGAGAAGGCCGATGCCGAGCGCCAGGCCGTCCTGAAGGCCCAGGAGGAAGAGCTTGCCAAGAAGCGTGCTGAGCAGGAGGCCCAGCGCAAGGCCGAGGAGGAGGCTAAGAAGGCGCAGGAAGCCCAGCAGGAGCCCAAGGCCGACTCTGAGATGCAAGACGCACCAGCCGAGGGTGAGGCCGCTCCCGCCGAGGAACAGAAGCAGTAAACCAACCGCAAAGAAAAGTTTCGCGCCTATGAGTTGACGTTTTGATATCATTTACGGCACGGTTTTTGAATTCCGTGCGAACTTCATGACAACGGCCATGACAATACAAATTTCTCGTTTCATTTTTCTTATCTTATTTTACGCCCCCCATTTTTGTGATGTTGAAATCTAATGTTGTAGACCGTGAGTTTGCTCTGTTTTTACTTCTCTCGTTTCGGTTGCTGTTTTTATGGACGTTTGGTTCCCTTTCGCAGGAAGGAGTCAGGTTATAATGCATGGATATACGGTAATGTGACCACGGAATGAATAGAGGCAGTTGCTGTTGCTATGGTCCGTTTGAGGAGATGATTTTGATATGGATAGATACGAAAAGCATACAGTAATAGAAGAGTTGAGTTGGCTACTGCGCATAAGTAGATCGTAGTTATGCATGTATTACTCATCTTACTCAGCTAACTATGCATCATATAATACCTGAGGCAACAATCTTATCGGCGCTGTTATATCCGGCTGACAAACGCAATCACCGTCGAAGTCGATCGAATGTCGTCTTTGCCTCAGTCGCATTCTTTATAACTCATCTATATATAACTCTCTGCGGACGTCTTGATCTTTCAATGCGAGCGCAGAACACATCCAATCCTAACGCCATGGAGCTAACAATCCACCACCACGGCACCTCTCACACCTACCACCTCCCCCCCGACGCAACCCTCCAAGACCTCTCAACAACACTCTCCTCAACCCTCCATATTCCCATCGAAAACCAAAAACTCCTCATCGCCCCGAAACCAGGCATGCAAAAACACCCCTTCCCGCCAGCCAGACTCGACACCATCCTCCAGCTCGACTCCCCCAAGTTCAAAATCACTCTCCTCGGCACCCCAACAAAGGAAATCGACAATCTAAACGCCGAAGGCGAGAATACGAAACGGAAACTCGAAGCGCGTGCTACAGCGAGGGCTTCTGCTGCTGCGAAACCGACCCCCGCGCGACGGACGGGCGGGATATCTACACTCGGCGAATCGAAGGAGTCGTATACATTTCATCGCTTGTTACCACTCTCTTATCTTCCCAACCCGGACCGCTCGTTACAGTTTCTCATGCGTCTGCGCGATGATCCTGGTATTCGCACTGCGATGGCAAAACACCGCTTCTCCGTGCCTTTGTTAACAGAAATGAACCCCGCCGAACATACAACCTCCGAGTCACGAACGCTAGGCCTAAACCGCAATCAAGGCGAAGTCATCGAACTACGACTCCGAACGGACGCGTACGATGGATATCGTGATTACAGAACGATAAGGAAAACACTGTGCCATGAACTTGCGCATTGTGTGTTCAGTGAGCATGATCGGAATTTCTGGGATTTGACGGGGCTGATTGAGAAAGAGGTTGAGCGGGCGGATTGGAAGCACGGGGGGCAGAGTGTGAGTGGGGAGGAGTTTTATAATCCTGGGGATTGGGAGGGGGTTCAGGAGGGTGGGTTGGTGGTTGATGAGAAGGGGTGGAGTGGGGGGAGTTTTGTGCTGGGGGGTTTGAGGGAGGATGCTGTTGGCAGTGGTAGTACTAGCAGTGGCGGTGCGAGGCCGGTTGGGGTTGAGGGGAGGAGAGAGGTATTGGCGAGAGCTGCGGAGGAGAGAATGCGACGAGAGAAAGAGCAAGGGAAGAGGGAGAATTGAACTGAACATATGATACCCATGTATATAAACAAGTTGCATTTTGACATTTACACGATAGTGATAATTTAACTAAGCCTGCTCATTCACAAACAACCCAGCCATCCCCTGTCCAGTTCCAATACACATACTAGTAACAAGAACCTTCTTATTTGTCCTCTTCGCCTCGTTCAACGCCGTACAGATCTGTCTCGCCCCCGTAGCTCCCAGCGGATGACCAAGCGCAATCGCACCACCGCACGGGTTCACCTTAGCATGGTCCAGACCCAGGTTGTTCAAGCAGTACATCGCCATCGAGGCGAACGCCTCGTTGATCTCGAAGAGGTCAATGTCGTCCTTGGTCAGGTTGAACTTGCCCAGGAGCTTGGGGATCGCGGCTGTAGGTCCGATACCCATGACACGGGGAGGGACACCGGCGACGGTGGCGCCGCAGAATTTGGCGAGAATGGGTTGGTTCAGCTCGATGGCCTTGGAGCGGCGCATGAGGAGGACGGCGGCGGCTGTATAATCATCAGTGTCTATTTGATTGGGGTCTAGGGGTTAGGACAGAACTTACCGCCATCAGTGACTTGACTGGCATTGCCACCAGTAGTCCTGTTACCAAACTGAGGGAACGCAGGACGGATCTTGCCCAATGACTCGGGCGTAGTACCATAGCGAACACCCTCATCCCTCGTCAAGGTAACCTCCTTCTCCTCTCCCGTCTTAGGATCCTTGACCTTGGTCGTAATCGGCACAATCTCATCATCAAACCAACCCGCCTTCTGCGCGGCCTCAGCCCTCCGGAAAGACTCAGCCGCATACCGATCCTGCGTCTCCCGATCAATGTTAAAATCCGCACCCACATTCTCCGACGTCTGCCCCATCGGCTGCATACAATCCGCCGCCTCCTGATTTTTCAACACCTCCTCATGGAACGGCTTCGGAATCCGATCCCCATTCCCACTCATCAACTCCGCCCCCACAGCTAAACCCACATCAATCGCGCCCAACTGGATCTGATTCGCAATATCCTGCACCGCCTTAAGACCAGACGAGCAGAACCGATTCACAGAGCTGCCACCGGCGGTATGCGGGATCCCGGCTGCCAGCGCGGCCGCGCGGATGATGTAGGCTGCTTTGCCGTCGCCGACGTTTCCGAGGCAGACGTCTTCGATTAGGGAGGGGTCGATGTTGGAGCGTTGAAGGGTTTGTTTGAGGAGGGCGTGGATCATGTAGTCGAGGTCTGTGTCTTTGAAGCCGCCTTTCATGGCTTTGGTGAGGGGGGTGCGGTGAGCGAGGGTGATGACTACATCGTCGGGGTTTTTGGAGGTGCTGTTGTTGTTAGTGGGTGTGTTGACAGGATGCGATAGATGGACTTACATAGCAGACACTCCGGTGTTGCCGGAGGGCTTTAGGTGGTTCAAGATCGAGCTCAAGCGGTCCGTCATCTGTGATGGTGAGTTGGAGTTCGCCATAGTTGCCACCGGAGACTTACTGTGATTGTTATATGTATTTGGGTATAGAATAATAGGACAGAGTACCAATGAAAGATAAATAGTTATACCAGAAGAAGTGAAGAGGAATGGAGAAAGTTGAAGTTGTTAAGTTCTCCAATTTATCGAGCGATCAGCCGAAACGAGCCGAGGTCCGTTTCTGGAATGTCCGCCTTTATTCGGAGATCCAGTTGAGTATGATATCAAATGTCCTCGGCTGGTTTAATCGTTTTATATAAGAGAAGTGAATGAAATCAAATATAGAACTCGATGCTTGTACAACTGTCGTTGCTGGCAACAACATAAACACGCATACACTAGCCACCAGGATTCTTCTCCAATCTACACCTGTATTCTTAATCCTGTGTTTAACAACAACATCCTAACAATATGGTTGTCATTGAAATCGAAGTAATCCACGACTTTGTCTGCGCTGTAAGTACGCTGTACACTATCCTCAGTAATGCAAATAGTTAACAATCGCAGTGGTGTTACATCGCCAAGCGCACCCTCGACCGCGCCATCTCTCTCTACCAAAAAACTGTCCCAGGAGGACGCTCCGATGTCTTTTCCATAAAATATCGTCCCTACTACCTCGACTACAACCCACACGCTCACAGCGTCGATAAGAACGAGCTTATCGATGTCCGACTACGCGTCATGACCCCGGAACAGCGCACGGCGCTTTTCAACCGGATGAATCAAATCGGGCGGTCTATGGGTATTCTTTTTAAGGCCGGGGGGAGGATTGGGAGTACGAAAGATGCGCATCGGGTTATTTATTATTGTCAGATGAGTGAGAGTGAGAAGGGTGCTGATACCGCCACTACTAATGCTCTCGTGGAGAAGATCTTTGAGGCATATCATGAGCGGGAGATGGATATTTCGGATCCAGATGTGTTGAAGGAACTGGCTGCTGATGCCGGAGTGAGTGGGGATGAGGTAAATAGGTGGTTAGATGCTAGTCCGGCGGCTGTCGATGAGGAAGCCCGGAGGAATAAAGAGGAAGTGAAGTCGGGAGTTCCGGTTTACATCATCCAGGACGAGCATCGCATTGATAGCTCAGGGGACATAGCTGAGCATCTGGAAATATTCAGCAAAGTGAAGGAGACTGACAATGTGAAGGATCACAGCACGGCTGCAATCTATCATGGTCTATCAACGGCAATTTAGCAACAAATCAGTGTCAGAAAGAAAGCAATTGTCGATATCCTGACAATCAACTCGTATTCAACGGGTACCCCCGTAATCTGACAGCGAAGAGTTTTACATTCCTTCGATTCCTTTCTATGCAAGACGACAAGCCGCAGGCAATGTACCACATCCGCCCAGCTTGCTTCAAAATGTCGCCGCCCCTTTTTGTGATTTTCAATTCTCTATCTGGGCCAGACATTTCAAAATGCATGCCATTTCGTTATCTGTTCTTCTTTTCTGTGCGGTTTCAGCACTGGGAAGTAGTACAAAGATCAAATACTCTACTAAGGGCGCCAATGTCTCTTATCCGGTCAGCCTCAATGGCATTAGTCTGCTCTCAGCATCGATGCAGGATGTCTCATTTGCATTGTCAAACGGGACGGTAACGACGTTGGAGCTGGTAGACGCATATGTTGCACGACAGAAGGCGTTGGATCATCGCGGTGCGCTTGCGCTAGCAGCATAGAAAACGACGAAGAGATAATCAGCTCACAATATCTCAGGACTAACCTTGCGATCTGTCATTGAAATTGCTCCTACAGCTCGCGAAATCGCCCAGCGATTGGACGAGGAGCGTGCTAATGGAACCCTAAGGAGTCATTTGCACGGAGTCCCCATCGTTGTTAAAGACAGTAAGTAGCCCCCCTCCCCCTCTATTTCTTATTCAAAGCTCACGTTAGAAGACTACAACACAGACCCCGAACTAGGCATGAACACCACCGCCGGCTCCTACGCCCTCTTCAACCAAAAAGTAACTGGCGATGCATTCGTCGTCTCCAAACTCCGATCCGCCGGCCTCCTCATCCTCGGAAAAGCAAACCTCGACGAATTCGCCGGCATGATGGGCAAAGACAACTCCTCCGGCTTCAGCGCCCGCGGAGGCCAAGCATCAGCCGCCTATGTCGTTGGAGGCTTTGCAGCAGGAGGCGACCCATCTGGTAGTTCGGGGGGTTCTGCGATAGCTGTTTCGGCGGGGTTTGCTGCGGCGTCGTTGGGGACTGATACGGATGATAGTATTGTGAAGCCTGCGTGTCGGGCGGCATTGTTTGGGCTGAGACCGTCGACGGGGTTGACTAGTAGGAGTGGTGTTGTGCCACTTTCGCTTTCGCAGGATAGCACGGGTCCGCTTGCGAAGTCGACTTGGGATGTTGCGACTTTGTTGAGTATTATGGCTGTTCATGATGAGAAAGATTCATATTCGCAGGCGGCTGAGCCGTTTCGCAAGAAGGACTATACTGCATATCTTACCAAGGATGGCTTCAAAGGTCTTCGGATTGGAGTACCTAGATACCCTTTCTTCAATGCTAGTATTACCGGAGCACGGTCTGAGGCCAACGATGTCGTCAACAAAGCACTGACCGAAATGCAAAAACTAGGAGCCACCGTTATCGACCCCGTGACGTTCCCCAATGCAGAGGAGTTTACCTATGCGTATCCCGGATTAGCGGAACGGTCCAATAATGAAACAACCCTACTTCGTGAGATGCCCTTCCCTAAAATCAAAGATGCATACTAAACCCGGGGTATAGAATACGATCTCAAAGAAGACCTAGCCACATACCTCCAAACCCAACTGATCAACTCCACCATAAAATCCCTCCAAGACATCATCAACTACAACGAAGCCCACAGCGACATCGAATTCCCCCCAGGCCAATGCTGCCAAGCAACCTTCCTCAACGCGAACAATCTCCCTCCGCGCGCCTCATCAGCTGAATACTGGATCGCCCAGTATCACCAACAACGCCTTGACGTGGAGGGTATGCAGGCCACCATGCGACAACATGATCTGGATTTGTTTGTTGTCCCGACGGAGGGTTATTCGGCGAGGATGGGGGCTATTGGAAGGAGGCCGGTGGGAACGGTGCCGTTGGGGTATGATGGGATTAATCTTCCATTTGGTCTGGCATTTGTAGGGAAGAGTTATGATGAGGGGACTGTGCTTAGGGCGATGTATGCTTTTGAGAAGGCGTTCCCTAAAAGGCAGGTTCCACCGACTTTGGATTAATTTGGTTAGGGTTGGATGCTGGTAGCTATGTGGCTCGAAGAACTAATAGTCCAGTATATTTGTGCTAGAGGGCGATAAAAGTAAGCTAAAAGCAAACCTGCTGTCATCGCGTTCTTAAAATGACCAACGCCTAACCCACAAGTCCGTCTCATACGAGTACACATGATATGTAACCACCATTAGCGCCGTTCCCAGATACCCATTATAAGCGAATCCAAACCCATAAGCCAGCTACTCATGCCAGACATTGTTATAGTTGACTTCGTCATTACTGATCACACTACCGATCTCTGACCAGCCGGCTGGAGTGACAGCTCCAGACCGTAACTGCTCAAGGTCACTCAAGGTACCATCGGACGACTCATCTGCCGCACACTCGTATACATGACTAAAGTCACTAGCGGTCGACGGCGTAGACGGACGCTCGGGGTATCCTTGGCCCACTGACTCGAAGTCAGAAAACCCAGAAAATGGAGACCGGAGGTTTTTATGCGTATCGTTAAGTGGTGGCTGCTCTAGAGGAGCATAGTATTGCGTGGACAAAGTACCCTCTGTGTGGCCGACTGACGAGCGGCGAGATTCCGGTCGCGAGCGCATCAAGCCAAAATCCGGTTCTGGTTCTTCGGAAGTAGGAGTCAACTGCACAGGAGTGGCGGATCGGGATTGCGGAGCTGGCGTGTCAGGCAGCGGCTTATTCTCGTCTGAGGCTGTGCCTGGTTTGCCACGCTGAACCAGCTGCGATGCTCCCAGGTCTATAGCAGTCGAGTTCGCAAGAAGACCATTGGCAAGCTCAATATCATCCTCCAAGCCCAACAGACGACCTTCCTGATCGACTATCGCATCGAAACTGGATGGAGGCGAGCCGCTGCTCTTCCTTCTACTCCGCTCCATAAGCAGTGCGCTCCGGCGCTCTAGTTCCTCCCGGATAGCCCGTCTTCGCTCCTCGGCCACCTGCCCGGGCTCTTCGGTCATCGACATTTCCTCCCGGAATGGCGATAAGGACTCTCGAGGTTGGACCTCATCTCCTAGATTGTGTAGCGTCTGCGCGAGTTTACGTCGCTGGTGGTAAACCCATTGTCGGAACTGGGGGGATTCGTAGACTGCGATGCCAGCAGCGACAAGCGCCGAGACAGTGATGATGAATCCTATACATATTAGCCTTAGAACAATGAGATTGTGATGCTTGTACAGAGTAGATGCAGTTGAAAGACAGTCTCCATAGATAAGCACACCGCCCGGTTAAACCCGGAGATGGCCATCAGAGCATACTAGAAGTAGTATAGAGCAGTAGAAAGGGTAAAGAAACTCACCCTTCGCAACCGGCGACATCGTTGCTTGACTCTATCCCCAGATCTTCAATCGTCCTCCTCGACTGCGCAGAAGTACAAGGGAAAGCGAGGAGAGTATCGGCGTCATCCTTCGGCATCCCCGCTGACTGCACGTGATTACAATCTACCCTTATCCATGGCCCTAATTTTCATCCGTTTTGGGAATCCCGTGTTTTCCCCGCCGCAACAACATCAAGACTTTGACTCTTGATTTACCAGCTAGCTACTACAGCGCTACTCTTTATTACTATCCAACATGTCTCGTCCATCGTCAATGGTACAGCGTCCCCTGACGCTGACGGAGGAATTGGAGAAACTCGAGCAATCCATCACCCTGACGCTGCAAGGTAAACAATCCCGATGCCCAAACTGTAAACAAGATGGCTAGAGACTGACACGCGCAGAAATCGACCATAATTTCAGTCAAGCCCATCGGATCGTTACTACAAGCATCCTGCCTCTGGTAGAGCAGTACGCCGAAAATTCGCGCGACGTCTGGCAGGGAGCCAAGGTGAGTGGTGACACCCGAGTCAAAGAGCACGGAGAACTAACAGCAACAGTTCTGGAAACAATTCTTCGAAGCAAGCGCCAACGTCTCCCTCTCCGGCTACGAAGAAAAACCAAACGAAGAAGAAATCACCGTGAACGATGAACACACCGCGACGGAAGAAGCAGACTCAACCGCCATGTCCGAAAACCCCTCAGCCTCCTACGAGACCCAGTCGTCCCTCGACAATGAAGACAACGACGACGCCGATCTCACCCAGAACAAACCCGACGACCTTGATCTGACCTCCCTCACCCTTACCGGTCACAGTACACCCCGGGCACCGACAGAAAGAGCCGACGCAGACCCAGACCTCACCTCCACCTCCTCGATCGCATACTCCTCCAACTCACCCTACGAAACCCTGAAGCAACAAATCAACGAGTCCGAATCCCCCTTCGATCTCGAAGACTCGAACCTCCCATCTACCCCGCCCGGCAAATCATCGTTTAGACAATACCACGGAACCCCCATGTCCCCCGGATCCTCGCCATTCGTACCCCCGGTTTCCCATGAAATAGAAACACCAACAACGAACAGAAAGGGCGGATATCACCACTCCAAACCCTCCGACCCAGTTATGCACCGCATGCCCGACAAAACCTACCGCGTGCAAGCCACCCCACTTGGCAAGGGAGCAGGAGCTGGCCGGTCCAAGTTCAACGTAACGCCCAAGAACAAACCATCCGCCAGTAAATACGCCTTCGACGATTCTCCCCTCTCCAGCCCTGAACCGGAAGCCCCGCAATTGAACGATGAGATCTTTTCCTCACCCATCAAATCAGCATTCACACCCGGTACGGACCGCAAACGCAGCCGTCCCAGTCTCAGCGGCCATCTGCGCGTTACGCCGCAACCAGGTACTAGTGTGCTTACACCCGCAAAAGGCGGTGCTAGTGGCAAACGACCTGGGTTCTGGGATAGCGATGATGAGGAGATGCCTGAGGACTTCGAGGATGACGGGTTCAGTCCCCCGAAGACGATGCAGTTCCATATCCCGCAGAGTCGGTTGATGAAGACGCCTGCAAAGGAAGCATCGAAGCGCATCGTGGAGGATCTGCTTGTTACCGCTGGCGCGGATGACATCACGGATTCG